CCCTTCCTTCCTCCCTCCCTCCCTCCCTCCCTCCCTCCCTCCCTCCCTCCCTCCCTCCCTCCCTCCCTCCCTCCCTCCCTCCCTCCCTCTCTTACGTGTTGGATTGTGGCGGCCTTCGGAACGCCAGCCTGCATGTCCATCAGCGCCGGTCGCCACCCCCCCGTCTGATCCTCACAAGGCCGGGTAGGTGATGCCGCTCTCATCCTCCGCCTTCTTCTTCAACGCGTTACCGCAGTTCGCCCACATCAGAGGTCTGCCGCAGGGATGAGCAGAGGAGGGCACATGACGGACACACTCGCCGAAAGGCCGCAGGCCATCCTTCCTTCCTCACGATCTGCGTCAGCCGGTCTGAGGAGAGCTTCCCGTTGCAGTCACCCCCCTACAGGAAGGCAAGCAAGAGTCACTGCCATCGTCAGCTGCTGCTCTCCCTTCTCCTCCCTCTGCACGCCCCCCATCATCGCATGCTCCCCTGAATTGTCTCCAGCAGAGTCCCTTTCCCAGGAGCATCGTTGCCTCATGCCCACCCGCCTCTCTCGTGCTTGAAGCGGCAGCATGCGCAGCATCTTCTCTACCTCTGCCATGGCTTCCATTATCGCACTCCTGCATCTCGCCTCCGCCATCCTCACGGCGTTCGCTGTCCCTGCCGCCGCCATTGCTCCGTGGCCCATGGCGCACTGCGGGCGGTATGAGTCCAACCTAAGATATAAACAAGATTAACGAGGGGAGGGGAGTTTGTTTGAGAGTGAGAGAGAAGAGACAAGGAGCTTATTTGTGAGAGTGAGAGAAGAGACAGTGTGAGATCAAGGAGCAGGCAGGGAAGAACATCCAACTTTCTAGCTTCAAACACCATGCGCTTCCTCTACCTTGCCCTCTCTTTGCTTCAAGCTTTTTCTCTTGCCTCAGCTTTCGTCTCCTTCCCGACAACCTGCCCTTCAAGACTCACGAGGAGAAACTTGAGGACGCTCTCCATGTCCATCACGGAGCCAAGGCCTCCATCTACTTCTGTGGGCTCCGAGAGGTCCAGGCCAAGAGAAGTCCAGGCTGACGTCGTTTACAACTTTGCGTTCGGGAGCAACCTCAGCCCAGACAAGCGCAACTCCCGAGGCGCCAACGGCACTGCCATCACCACCAAGTCGACATGCCCAGCATATGTCGAGGGATTCAGATTGGCCTTCAACATGCCCATGTTCCCCCCACTCGAACCCGGCATGGCAGCGCTGACCAGTGCAACAAGCGACGAATGCTGCCATGGGCTGCTGCTGGAGCTGGGCAGGGAGGAGTATGAGCGCTTGTGGCTGTCGGAAGGAGGGTCAGCTGCCAAGCCGCCATACGACGAGACCGTGGTGCTCGCTAAGACGTACGACGGGAGGGAAGTGAAGGCTATTGCTTTCACTGCTTCTTCTCACTCGGCCAAACCGTATGAGCTCCCGCCGTCAGCTCGTTACAAGGACATCATGCTCAAGGGAGCGAGAGACTCCGGACTTGCTCCTGCATGGATCGACTATATTCAAAACATCCCCAGTTCCAACCCTACCAAGATCCTACAGCTTATCTGCGCATGCTACCTTCAATTCTCTATCTTCTTGTTCCGACAGGGCGGAGGCTTCGCCAGGGACAGAAAAGGTCCCACGCGCTTGCTTTTGCTCACATCTGAAGGATCACAGGCTGGATAGGAAGTCTTGCTCGGGCCATGTCCGCGGGCTACAGAGCAGCTCTCGTGTCTGTATATCGACATGTCGCATGGCAAGGGAGCTTGAGGCTTAAGCCCTTTCGAGTTGTGGGTCCCAGTGAGTCGACCTGCCCCCCTTCCAGCTCACAGACGCCCCTCCTCCAGCTCACAGACGCCCCTCCTCTGGCTGAGTCTTGTTCCTCTAGGCTCTGAGGCTAACTCGGAAGCTACACCGTCTCTCCTCCTGCATACGATGAGGTGGGCGCATCTCAATCGCAGGAGGTCGCTAATCGACCAGCAGGCTGATGGCAGCTGAGGTGGCTCTCTCAATCTTGCTTCTGCCAGGAGCCCTCATGGTGCTTGTCCTCGAGACCTTGACCCTGCTGCCCGTTTAGTGACTGACTAGAACCGCCAGGGCATTCTCATTCGAGCCATCCGGACCCTTCAAGGCAAGCCCATGTACTCCTTCGGCCCTCCCAGCAAGAAGTGAGAGGACGGGGCCAGTCTCAAGGGATCTGAGCCAGATCAAGAGCTCGTCTCATTCACTTAGCTCGAGAGAAACCTTCACGACCCGATAGACTTGAGCAAAAGTGGGCTACGGGCGGGCGAACTCAAACCACGAGGTTGCGGATGTTCTCAAGCAGACGCTCTACAGCTGCCCGGTCAAGCTAAAAGTCGTCAGACTCCATGTCTCATAGGATATCATCGCAGTTACCATGTAATGAAGCACTGCGCGGCAAACAAAGTCATCTTTGGCTCCAATCAGCAACCCTCTGTCGTCAGTTCAGTGCAACAAATGAGCTCTCCCATCCGCCCTCTCACACTCTGCCTCCTTGCAGAGGCCCGTAACCTTACCTGGTCTTGAGATCTGCAGCAAGCTGTCTGGCTCCTCCTTTAGTCAATCGGAAGTAAACTGGCAGGAGGCTCTCAAACGAGCCGATGCAAGCCGAGTCCTACCGATGTTTGTCTGAACCGACAGCAAGTCAACTTCAACCCCAGCAATCTAAGGAAGTGGGTCAGGACCAGCTCTCTCCTGTCCTGACAGCAGGACCTGAGAAAGTCCCTCGGCAAGGAGCCTGGCATTGTTGTGGTCCTCTTGTAGCCGACTCGTCATCTCGCGGAGGGACACGAGGCCACATGCAGCAAGCACTCCAGCTTGTCGCATCCCCCCGCCCAGCACCTGCTCCAGCTGTCAGCACGTCAGTGTCTTCATCCCTGTCTCTCCTTCCTTTCTCATGCGCCGTGCAGACCGGATGAAGTCTGGTCAACCTCTAAGATCCTCTACTGCACACTTGTGAACCTCTACCTTTCGTCCCCAGCAAGACCGTTCCAACAGGAGACGCCAGCCCTTTGCTCAGGCACACAGACACGCTGGAGGAAGAGGAGACTGAGCGTTGCAAGCTTCTCATTGAGCAATCAACCTGTCGCAATCGCGGCATATCCGAGCGACGGAGGTTTGAGTCGCGGTGGCCGCGTTAAAGATTCGAGCTCCGTCCATGTGAAGTTTCAATCTGCCACTCAACATCACCACGAGCCCCCCGACACTCCTTGCTCCTCACCCGTGTGCTCTACATAACGATCCAACCTTGTCGATATAATCCACCGGCAAAGCAACTCCACCGCAGAGATTGTGCGTGTTTTCCAGGCAGACAAGCCTTGAGCGAATGTCATCGAGATCGCCACGAAAGGACGTCAGAGAAGGTGCGGGGATGGTTGAGGTACGGGCGAGACTTGCTAGCAGTTAAATTGCATGCAAGGCGAATGAAACATTCCCGAGGACATGCTCACCTTGTTCTTGGAAAGTGAACGTCGTCGACCCTGATATTCTCCTCGATCTCTTTCAGCGATATCCCTCCAACTGGGGTCGAGCTGTGGAGGATGTCAAGGAGCCGGGCTCACAGCGTACTTTTCTCTACCTGTCATGCTCTTCCTCCGTCTTGAGCTGCCTCGGGTGAACTCCTGCTATGGTCGACATGCCTCCCTGCAATTCTCACTCAACAGGAGAAACAATTGACAAGGCTCGACCTGCTCGTAGACAACAAGATGGTTCTTGCTACCCAAGATGACTTCACTTCCTCTGCTATCACAGTGAACCATGACCGCAATCAAGTTCCCCATGGTCCCGGAGGGCACGAACAAGCCTGCCGTTCTGGGTCATCGACGTGGGATACAATCGAGGCAACAACCCGCTTCCTTCTCGAACAAGCGAGCACACTCTTCTTCGAGAGCGATCACTGTGGGATCATCTCCGAACACGTCGTCCCCAACTTCGCTCTCCACCATCTTCGTCTTCATCGTCGTCGTTGGCTTCGTCACCGTGTCCGACCGAAAATCGAAAGTCTCTGCCATAGCCTAGTAGAGCTGAGGGTAATTCGGGCCCCATCCCCGCTCTGTTCCAAGCAGACTGCCCCCCACCCACCCCTCTATCAAACCTGTCAAACACAAGTACCATGCTGTATGGAAAGTTACTCGCCTTCGTTCATTACCCCCATATTTACTAGTATTTCACCTGGTATATGTACCCGTAGTCAATCACCCACCACTAAGCTCTCCAACACTGACTGGTACACTACCCCACCATCCAAGTGTCTCCAGGATTTCCTCATCCCTTCCGCTATGTGAGCGCGCGGAGGCGGTCAAGAAGGAGGGGAGTGAGGGAAGAGGAGGACGTGTAGATGATCAGAGGAGATCATGCCGTAGAGACAAACACAAGGAGACTGGTGTTCATGGTCTCATGTCAACCGCAACGACATGCGTGAAGCGGCTTCTGCTCTTTCGATACTTGCATGGTCTGTGTTGGCTGTGAGGATCGAGAGGGTTTGGGATTGACCGAGGGAGATGGCATGTTTGAGTGATTGACATTCTAGCAGCAGTGCTGTTACATCTCCTCTCTTCGTCTATGTGCTGAGGTTGCAGCAACCGAGTGAAGGGTAAGCGGAGGAATATCTCTCTTCCTTCTTGCTTGTGCAGCACGTGCATACCTGACGCATCCTCCTCTCGTGTGCTCTCATCAGGTGAATGATTACGTTACTTGGAGTAACGCTATCACAAACTATCGGTTCCTTGTGGGTACGTGGCTTGAGCGTGGCGTGAATGGTTCTTTTACTGCGCATTACTAGGAAAGCTTAGTAGGGCAGACGGAACGGAAGCGAAAGTCTACGAGTGAAGGCATTTCATGGAATCTCACCCAACTTACGCCTGACCCTTGAGAAGACTCCAGAACCAGCAAGAGGATGCGCGCAAGCTTTGAAAACGGGGAGAGGAACCATGACAGCAAGAGGCCGGCGTCCAGTAGGCTGACCTGCTGCTTCTATGTCATGTTTACATTTATCAGGCGTCCGTCAAGGCACGACTGGCGTGTTCGAGTCTCATGCGTCGACTTATGGATCGAGATCGAGTGCGTGCTCTCTTGTCTGTTGAACATCCTCTCACATGGCGAGCAAGACGCATATGTCGCCTCCAGCAACGGGGTTCATAGTGCAAAGGGCACTTCAACGAATGCTTCCCGCTCGCTCGCAGACCCTTCCCCCGCAATGCTGTCGAGTCCGGCAAGCTTTAGGATTCACTTGCGTAGAAACTTCCCTCGTTTCTCCTCCCTCTTGAGACGTCGGACGCAGATCGGTCGACCCCAATCTACAGGATCGAGCCCCCGCTCAAGGTCTTCGAGTTATTTCAGGGCTGCACCTGCGTTGATTCTTTCCTCAGAGTTCACCTGCTGGTGTAGACGGAGACAATATCCTGTTACCCAAGACAATTTGCAGCCCTGAACAGTTGGGCTTCGCGGAAAAGAGAGACAGGAAGATGAGGCGAGATATTCCTCCTCCTCCTCCTCCTCCTCCTCCACTACCACCACCACCACCACCTCCTCCTCCTCCTCTTTCACCATCAATACTGCCTCCTCTTTACCAATCTGCTCCTTTGTGCATCCTCTTGTTAAACACTTCCTCTGCTCCAATCCTTCCCTCTTCTCCGCCTTGCCAATCGCTTCCCTCCCTCCTTCGCTTCTCCCGCCTGGCTTGTCATCGGGGGATGTTGAGTTTGCTGCAGGGTCTCTGAGAGCCATCGGAGCATCCGGATGCAGGAGAAGCACTACAAAGAGAGCAGCCACTCCCCCCACGAGTTCTCCCCCACCTGGAACGCGTTCCGCTCAAGTCCCCTCGCGCACAGGTGTGCTGCTATCCTTGTGCTTGCCTCCTAGTTACCCGCAGCAGACAAGCGCCGCAGTCCTGGGGTAACCCCTGGCACCTCAACTCCATGAGGGAGAAGAACGGCGTGCATGATGATGAGTCGAAGAGGCGGGGGATGGTGGCGGAAGGGTTGGGCCAGGAAAGCCCGACCTCTCGTCCTCTGGTTTGGAATCTCTTTGTGATACCGTGCAGCCATCTGAACTCAGTGACGCAGTATCTGCCTATGAATGTGCATGAGCGGATCTTGTTGAAAACTGTAAGTCAGACTTGACACGTCTATCTCACTACCTGGCGAGGTCCTTGACCTGACTTGATGTCTGTTTCTTTGCGTCCTCCAGGCCCTGCTCGAGAGGAAGCTTGCTGATGTAGAGCTCGAGAAGCAGCTGCAAAAAGAAGAATATGAGGTCCTTTTCTCCTTCTTGTGTGATGACGTCATGATGACGTTGTATCTGCAGGCCAAACTGCAAGCCTTGACGTCTCAGTTGTCTGCTTCTGCGGTGACCGAAGGTGACTGTCAGGCTGATTTCTCGTCGCTCTCGCCTCACTTTCTTCCTGCAGGACCCAAAACTCCCTTGGAGTTAGCGAGAGGAGGATCAGTGGATGGCCGGTGGGCGCAACTTTTGCTGCTGCCTGATGTTTATCCTCCGATGTCCAGGTTGCTGGATACCATACTGGCTCAGCTCGGACCAAAGGTGAATGTCACCAATTGCCACATCCCTGAGTGACATGGAGAGAAGGAGCTCATCGCTGATCGATTTGACATCGACGTGACGAGAGAAAAGCTGGAGTGCATGCGAGACGGCGTTTGGTTGAACAGTGAGGTAGAAGTGTGCTGCCTCCCCTCGTCCTCTGCCTCTCTCCTTCTCCCTCTCTCTTCTCTTACCGGTTAATCGAAGGTCATCACTTGGTGGCTCGAGTGGTGGAGGGAGGAGCATGGTGGAGGGTCCCAAGGAAAGATGCCGAAACCTTGTGAGCCTGGGAAGGAGAAGGAGATGGTGAGGCTCGTCCTTCCTTCTCAGCGCTCGATGACGGCAACCATAGGGACCGAGATGCTGGTTTGCAAACACATATTTTTACACAAAGCTTCTGGATGAAGAGAACAAGGTGTACAGCTACAAGAATGTGCGGAGGTGACACCGAGTTGCTTGGGGTGTGAACATCTTCTCTGAGATGCGAGACCAGGTGGACGAAGAAGATTAACGTCTTCGATTGTGACAAGATGGTTGGTCCCTGCTCCTCAACAATCTCTTCTTGGCCCCTGACGAAGCCTTGCCTCACTACCCGCTATCAGATCATCCCCATCAACCAGGACAACGTTCACTGGTTCTGCGCTTGCATCGACTTCAAGAACAAGAGGACGGAGGTGGCGCAACTTGGAGGGTCTACGAGCAAGTGGCGCTGACTGCTCGCCAGGTCTACGACTCGTTGGGCTCCAACAAGCACGAGTGAGTTGCCGTCATGCCCTCAGATGTGCTGCTGACACGCGAGGAAGGGACGTACACGACAACCTGCACAGGTGGATCAAGGATGAGCTGAAGGACAAGCAGAGCGTGGTGCTCCCTCCTCGCCGTCTGCTTGACTGATGCCTGACAAGTCGCCGGTCGCAGGACGAGGACATGTCGGTCTGGAAGCGCCTCTCCCCTCGAGAGACGAGGTCCCTCGGCAGCTGAACTGCTGCGACTGCGGGGTAGGAGGGATGGGAAGGAGGCGGTTGAAGGTGACCAGCACACAGGTGTTCGCCTGCATGTTCGCTGCCTACCTGAGCATCGGAAGAAAGTTTGACTTCTCCCAGAAAGACATCGACCTCATCAGGAGGTGAAGACTGACTAGACTGCTCTCCTCGTCTCACCTCTCACTCTCTTCCAGGTGGATGATACAAACAATCTACAAGGAGGGAGTGAAGATGGGACAAGTGCGTGCCGGTCTATGCTCAGTCTGAAGCAGAGATGTGCTCTGCGTGATTAATACATAAAGAAACCTCGCATGCTGACACTCTAACTTCCTATTCCTCCTCGTGCTTTCAAACAGAAATCAGATCCATGCTTGTGTTCCACAGCCATTTCGCCAGTGCTGCATCCTGGGATAGAGTTGACGCAGTTGCGACTTTGCAATTATCAAGATATCTGCAGCATCACCGTCATGGTCAAGCTTTCTCTGCGCGTGCTCTCTCACAGTCCCCCGCGTCCCTCGAGCTCACGAGATGTAGCCGCATACACTTGGGTCATCGCCCCCTGCGCCCCAACCACTCGATCAAACAGGGAGGGAGGGAGGGGAAGCTGAGGGGCAGGGACTGGAAGAGGAGGGCACCAGACCTGCATCGGGTCTCTGGCAAGCAGGGGTCTAGTGAGGACAAGGAAAGTTTGGAGCCTGTTCGTGGAGGCTCAGCGACAGCCTTGTGACGCTACCTCACTCCTCACCATCTCTTGTCTCGCTTTCCGAAGGAAGTCTTCACAAAACCTGCTGCTCTCATCACATGATGGCCGACAAGTGCGAAATCTCGCCTGGATGCACAGCGTAGGAGTTGATGCCGTACTCGGACAGCCTTCGATCCATCTCCCTCGATATCACCACCTGCCAGGCATCAGCACGCTGAGACCAAGTTTGCTGTCTCACACCTGCATCAATTTGGTGTCTCCGTAGACTCCTTCGACGCTCTCCTTCATCCGGCGCTGCTTCAAGCGTGAGGAGATGAACGGCTTGGCTGCAAGGCTGCCTTGAAGGACGACTCGTCGGTGTTCCTTATCTTGGACGAGTATACGCTGCTCTCTATCACTCCGAAATGGTGGGCTGAGCTTGAAACATGTACAATCCTGGTGTCATGAGCCGGGAGTTAGCACGCACCAAGAGAGTTGAGAGGAGAGGTAAAAGTAGAAGGTGATGACCTTGCTCTCCGACCATTCCGTGCTGCTTTCTTCATAGGCTCAAGGAGTTCGATACTCAACAAGAAGTGTCCCAGATGGTTGACCTTGCACTCAGTCAGGACCTCGAACTATCTTCAACAACTCTCAGACCTGATAGTGCAGCTCTATTCCATCTTGCGTTATTTCCAAAGCATGGTATCGCACCCCCGCATTGTTTATCAGCACATTCAGTTGCATGCCTGGGCAGGTCAGCCTTCTTGCAAGACATCGGGTGTGAAAGCTTCACCGCTTGCTCGGAACTTCTGAGCGAAAGTTCGAATGCTATCGAAGGATTCAAGGTCAAGTTTCCACACCAGCACCTTGAGACCGTTAGGTAGGGGGCAGCGGGATCAGCAGGAGCTACCTCCCCCTTGCTCGAAGGGCTCAAAGAAGATCGCACGTCCTTTGCCGCCATCTCTCCTCGCTTCTCATCGCGGCAGGCCATGATCACAGTAGCATTCCATCCAGCCAACATCCTGATAAGATTGAGCTCAGTCTGAACCCCTGGTCACCACCCGTGCTGACCTGACGGTCTCTAGCCCGCAGCCACTGTTTCCTCCTGTCACGATCACAACCTGACCTGTCATGTCCACAGGGACGACGCCGAGCGTTGGCGATATGATCGACTTCAGCAGGAAGATGCCCACTGCAAGCATGGCAGGAGTGAATAATTGCAGAGCAGACTGGTCGAGGTCACGAGACGAAGCGAGGCAAGAGGAAGAAGCATAGCAGGGGAGGATGGGAAGGAGGAAATACCTCCTAGCAGCATGACGACGAAAGCTGCTCCCTGCATGCCCCCTACCCACAACCCTCCTGCAACCATTGCCAGCGCTGCTTGGTTTCTCATTTCGCCATCCTTTTGCGGAAACACAGGTAGACTGATCGAGCTCACCTCAGGACCTTGTATTTATAAACAAAAAGACAGAAATAAGTTCCACCTGAGAACAGTGAGAACTGATATCGAATTATGAAGACAGCAACTTTGCGCTGCGAGTTCGATGGTACTGAGAACTCTCACTGAGATGCGAACTCGGAGTTCAGACGAGTAGAGCCGTGAAGGGAGGCAGCACTTGTACTGAAATCTATCACAACAACAACACTGATATCTGCCGCAGTCATGGCTCTATGCAGCTCATCAGTTAAGTCAGTGAAATGGCAACATCGTGTCAGTGATTATCTACAAGCATCGGGGCGTCTTTCCGAAGTTTCTCTGATGCCTCGGTATAGTGCCAGAAGAGCGGTACTACCGTACCATGCGGTAGAGGCTTTCATGACCAAGCGGCGGTAGTTGGCAGAGCCGTCAGTGTCGGCAGCACCATCACTTAGTTTGTTCTCTTGTTTTCTTTGCGACTGTTGCCGTTCAGTTCGCAGAGCTGAGAGAGCAGTGTGCTGTGCGTCGTGTTGTTATCAGCAGGCTTGCAGTCATCAGCTGAGTGCCAGAAACCAAATGCTGAGAAAGAAGCGACTGAGTCGTTACATGTTTCATGTCGCCCTTGTCATGTGTCTTGCACGTCACTGTGCTGGGGATGACTTGGGTTGAAGTGTCCCGCCATCTTCTTCAGTCGCACACTGCCAGCAAGGAGAATCAAAGTGGAGACCCTGCAGCGAGTGACGGTCTCACCGGCAGAGAAAGCAGAATTGGATTGAGCAGTTGTTGCAGGTGATGTGATTGTTGGTTCCTCGCTTCATGATTTGCTCCTGGCATCATCCTTGGTAAGTTCATCACAATCTGAATCTTCACTCACCCGACAGTTTGGACAAGGAACCGCCTACACATTCGAGTCAGGCGAGTACAGAGCACAAGACACGTACCCTCGGATCGTTGACCATCGCTCGGCCGAGGCGGTTCCGGTAGAATCCAACGGCTTGCGCCCTCGCGTCTGCTCGCGCTCCTGCCTGCTCTGGTTTCAGATTCTTCCCTCCGTCACGCAGAAGAGGTTTGCCTACCCCCAGAAAGCCTTGCTGCATCCTAATTCGCTCAATGTCTGCAGGCCAGGACGAACTCTCATCAGGCCATATCGCGACTGATAGACATCTCAACTTGTACCTTCATCGTTGAACGCCTTGCAGCCTGTTGATGAGAAGTGATCATATGGATTGCTCAACATGATCGCCTTCCCGCAGTTCCAACAGAAGTGTGTGCCACAAAACCTGTCCAAAGGCGTTCTCATCATGAATGTTCTCACGCGATCAACAGAAGTGCTTCACGTGCAAAGCATGTGATTGCAGCCTTCTGTCTTCTCGATTGCTATCGCACATGTAGGGCACGGCACTATACAAGTGCAACCAGCGATGAGACCTCGTGAGAGGCAGGAGAAGCAAGGAGCTGACCGGTGCTTTGCTGGATTAGCCTCTGAGTGGCTAGTCGCTCTTGCATGGACTGGAGCGAGTGACGGACTGTGCGCAATGCTTCAAATTTCACCTGCTGCAGCCTTGGGTTGCTGAGGTCAAGCACTTGCCTGATCGGAACAGCCATGAGCTCCTTCCACTGAGTTGCTGCTGCAGGAGAAGAGACTCACTGGAACTCTCGGGACTCGCAGGAAACTCCTGTGAAATCCACGTGAGATCGTGGAGAGTTTCAACGGACAGTCAACGACCTGGATGATACGCCCTGAAGCATTTCCCGCAGAACGTGAAGCTGCACTGCAGGAAGCAGTCACAGCGCTTGCCATTCGCTCGCACACACTTCAACGCAACACCTTGGGACATATGTAGAGGTTGAAATCTCCTGCTGTCTCTGGCACGCACGGAACAGGCTCGAAGGCACCCTCCTCGGTTCCCTGCGGCACCAGTCATAGAGGAGTATATAGAAGATGCTGCCTAGACCGCTGAATGAGCCTCTATCTGATCCAAACTTGCACAACGAGGACAAAATCGCAGTCCTTGCAGCATGAGAATGAGAAAACAAGTTCCACCACACTTTCTGTATCCTTGTAACACCTGTTATCTTCTCGAGAGACTTCTTATGAAACATGGTCTGGTGTGGAAGATCAACAAGAGTTTCCATGCAAACAGACCAGACGCACGGTCTTGTCACCTGAAATCGATTGTAGAGCTCCTGGTTCGTGATATCTTTCACAACATAAGGAGCTATCGGAATACGGCAATCTCCCTAGCGTTCAGCAATCACATACAAGGTATACAACACATCACAAGTACCTTGGGGCAGATCAAGAGATCTATTGAGCCTTCTGAGACATGCAGATGAAACATGGCTAGCCAACAACGCATCAAGAACACGTGCATATTGTTAGCACAGGCATTTTACATGACAAGCAATCTGTGCAATAATAATGCCCACAGTCCAGCACCCGATGTTTGCTGCCCAACTTGTACACAAACAAAACTTGTTTCATCGCACGCAGTGTATAGCACTTGCTCACCTTAGATTCCAAGCACAAGTCACACGTGTGTTGGGTTTGCAAGAATTCCCTGCAAACGAGTGAACCAGTCCCTGCCCAAGGAGAGCAAGCAAGGAAACCTTTGCATCTCTGCATCGTTCACTTCAAAACAACGTCTCACAAATGCTAGATACTTTGTGACAAAGCGATCATTCAACAGACTTGATATTTGTTCTTGATCGACAACATCTGATGTTTGGTCCGGTCGCAGAATTACCGCAACCTCCTCTGCTGTCGCTGAACTTGGAGCACAGAAGGAAATGGCGCTCAGACCACCATTTGTAGGATCCTCCTCGTCGATCCAAGGGACTAGTCGAACCTCTTTTCCGAAGCCAAGGGACCGCATGCTCTCCCTGTGCCTGCAAATTTGGTGGCTCCGTCACTCGATGAATTTCACACAGAGATTTTACAGGAAGTCCTGCCATAGGAATATCACTCCGCTCCCTTTCACTTCCTCCCACATCCCTAGCATAACCCTGCCAGACTCAGCTGAATGACGAGGAGCAACATCCGCAGCTTACTGCTCCAGTTGCTTGATCTGAACTGGACTGAGCCAACTGCACGCGACCTCGAAACGGGGAGGATCATCGGATGGATAACCTGAAGACGAGGATGACTTGGCAAGCTCTAGGTGAGCTAGCGGAAGTTACCGTCGGGGACAGACCACAACAAGTACAAGGGGGGCAGGCAATGGATTTCCAGGGTCGGTAAACTACTCTCATAACCAAGGTTCTTAGCTGGAGCTAGCATCACTTTCCGGAGCACATGGAGTTCGTCCACCTTCACAAAACTTGATGATGTCCGCTCCTGGCATGTTGAGGACTGGGAGAACAAGCAAGAGGTCATGGAACATGCGCATGTCAAACTTGGCCCACATGTCTTGAACTCAGAGGTATCCGCTGGAACGACGAGCTATTTGACCAATCGTTACTTTGTCCCGCTGAAAGACACAATGTTAACACCTTGTACATGTAGCTCTCTTCCCTTTCATCTCCATCTGAGCATGACACCGCTGCTACCTCGGTTTCGTCATCTGCGAAGCTACAGGAGCAAACACGGATCAAAACAAGGAAGGACAGGAACCTCAAGGAGGAGCACCAGGAGAACTCGTGGGGGAAGATGGACCTCAGAGCAACCTGGAGCACTGGACTGTGAGAATGATTCAATGTCTGCGAGCTCTGCCATCAACCTCCTCATCGTGCTGGTCAAGTTTGTTCCCCTCCCTCCCTTCCATGGATGTGGAACCAGGCAAGGGAAACAAGGGCTGAGTAAAGTTAGCTAGTTGGTTACTGGCGTTGCCCGGGAACTTGATTAGAGCTCATCAACCTGTCTCCGGATTTCCAGACCCCTTGGGAGCATCATTGTCCTGATTATGTCACATAAAAAAGCGCGCTACTTGATATATCTACAAGTATAATTGAAGGACGGTTACTTTTCCGGAGCATGGAGTCATCGTAAAATTTTGGAAGATTGATCATATAATTTCAAATTTGATAAAATAGTTTGAAAAACTTTTAGTGACGTGGGCCCAATAGATGTGTAGTAAATCCGAAACTCCGATCCGGCGGCCCCACCCGACTCCGAAAAACCCTTTGCCTCCTTGCGGTCAGCGTTGCGGTCCCTACTCCTGGCCTCCTCCCCTCCAGTTCCCGTCCTCCCTTCCCAGCTATCTCATCTGCAGTCCGTGCATCGCAACACTGCGACTGCATCACCGTCTTTTGATCCCCTTTCTGATCCAACCGCCATGTCCGCAGAAACGTTGCCCAAATTTGACCTGGCTTTTGCTCTGCCGTCGTTGGATCAAGGCTTAGTGACATGGTGGAATGATATGTTTTCAAATCCCGACCAGCCTTTGTCGCCGACGACTAGTCATCGAACGATCATGCGGAGAAGCTCGAGCACGGACTCTTTAAAGAAGACTGTGAGGTTCAGTTTGGAAGTGTCTTCGTCGGAACCTGATTTGACCACAATGAGGCGGGAGAGCACGGACAGGCGTTTATCAAGACCTCAAACTTGGGCCAATAGAAAGCAGAAAAAATGAAGTCGATCGCGCAAGCAGACTTCACTTGTTAGAAATCAAATCAAGTTTTAAGGTAGGTCACCTGCACCTCTTAAGACACATTTATTCTTTTTATTTCTTGGAAACATGTTCATGCAAGGTTCAAAATAAAGAATCAACCTCTCTGAAACAAATATCTCTAAGAAAAAGAGCACATTCAACGATTCTCTCAAATCAAGTATGGAAAATTATTTTGAAATGCCATTCAAAGTATGCGACGGAAGGGGCGGCCACTTGTAGTATGAATCAATGGCAGGGTTAGCACTTACAGCATTGCGTGCTGTAATCTGCCTGCTTGCTGAAACAAACAGGCAGAAGATCTACAAATTTCAGCAAGCAGGCAGAAGGGCCACAAATCAACACAGATCTCCTTCCCACAAGCAAATGATGACAGTGTACACTGAAACCAGAAGGTTCATCATATATAACAAGAGCGCTGAACCTACATGACTTATTGAACCACCCCTGGTCAACTAAGAAATAAGGTCAGTTATCTTGAGCGTTAGTACGGGCAGAGAATCCATAAGATATTCGCTTGACTTTACTCTCCTGGAGACAAATCAAGTCTGCTGCTTCTCGACTTTACCTTGACCCGATTCCTGGGTTACATACCACACCATTCCTGTATTCAGAGATCCTTCCTAATGTAAGTTGTATACCAAGGCCCAAAAGCATGAAAACTAATAAAAGATTCAAGACAGTGACTTTGACCTCGATTGTGTTGCGATGTTACTAGAGTGCTGCTAACTTTTAATCAAGCTTAAAAGCCTTTTGCAAGTTTGATTATACGCAAACGGGGTGCTATTTCTTAAGCCCAGAGCTACGAAGAAGGACGGGCCAAGATCAAAGAAAAACAGGAGACATATTAGATAGCAAGATTGGGATGATTTCCGAGCTCACCAATATGCTGTGACCATTTCGCATTTTCATAATCTCGGACAGGTGGGACCGTGACATATAGCCCTACCTCGGGTTGTATATTTCGACAGTACTTGAGCTTTCCGATCGTCAGCATGTCCAGCGATGTAGCAATCATATGTAGCTCGATACTTGAGATAGAGCTTGATCGTCATGATTTCAGACGTGTAAGGTGCAATCAATTTGATTAGGATTTCGTTCAGTCGACAGAGCACAACTATGGCTGGAGCTACGTAGTGAATGCCAGGCTTGTTTTCTTTGGCGATCAACTAGAGATATGGTAGCTTTGGTAGAATCATGGCAATATGTCAAATCTTGACACATTGACCTGGCGCATTCCAATATGTATATGATCGTGCTGGATTGGAACCAGAAACATGTCTCCAGATCGGACACGATTAAAAAGGCAGGAAATTTGCGTTCCCCGACAACATTGTTTATTCACAACGAACACGAGCCGAAAATCAACAAGACTTCCTATATCATAGAATCATGACGCCACCCTGAAGAAGTCTAGAACTTCTTTCAGGAGAGTGCCTCCTAGGTTTGTTGTGAGTGGGCTTCTCGTTCATGTTTCCAGCAATCGATCTGGCCATGAGTGCATGTTTCATGGCAAGGTTTTGAGCATCAGAACTTTGTTGACTTGTTTCATGGTTGGAAGCGCCTGGTTCGGGAGACAAGGAACTTCTGACCATAATCGGCGAACTGGGTCGTTTGGGCGAAGTCTCCTTATTGAAAGTAACGACTCGGTTGAAGTCGTGTTGAGAATTGCAGTTGTCCAGCCTCCGTGCAAGGTCTGCATCCGACCAGGGTGCATCGCCTGATGCGAACTTGACGCTCTTTTTGCATTTTGGCGATGGGCTTTTGGAGGAACTCAGACAAGATCGCAATGCAATGCTACTGGCGCTGCCGACTGATTCTTTTCTCTTTGAGTCTATCTGTACGTTGACATCATTAGATTGCGATTCATTTGGGGTTTGGTGCTTGCCTTTGTCATCAACCACATCAAAAATGCTCTGCATCCAATGGATCAGATTGTTGGAGTCTAGTAGAGTCTCCATGACCACAAAATTTCCGCAAGGAATGAACCAAGTTTTGAATAGGAGGGACAACGAGACTGTAAACTTAGAAGTTCTAAGCAGCTGTCAGGGGATGAGAGGGCTCCGGGTGGAATCTGAACAGCGTCGGAAGGAGTGCGGTGGTGAAGGAGGAAAGTGAAGGGGTGGAATATGCTGTCCAAGCGGGGGTGCAAGCACGGAAACGATTGCACAAACTATCACGGGACACATGATCTGACTCTTCATATTCAAGAGTCAGAAACTCCGACAGTCGCTCCTGTTAACCCCTTGTAATTATAGGGAATATGGGGGTACATCGTATGTCTGGCAGTGTCAGCATGCGACCTTTGACACGGATAGCCGTTTCATAATTCCTAATCTTATCCGAATAAGTGTACTTTCGTTTTTCCGTTGTCATCATGGTGGCCTGCAAAAATCCTTAGGACTGTCTTGGAGCTTGACTCCTTACACCTGGATGAGGCGGGCTTGCAGAGGGCTCTGAGGCAAGCTTGTAAGGTCTCTTAGGCGGGCTCATAGTCGGTTAGTTCAGAGCCGGAGGGGGCGGATGAATGGCAGCCTTCATGCATCGGCAGCAGGGGAGCTGCTGGACTCCCTGAGCTTCAGCAGGACGAGGAAGTTCTCGAGCAGGGTTGAGGATGAGCTCGACCACCTGCTCCGATCCTTCATGCGCTCCAGAGGCGCTCAGAAGAGGATGGTGTTCCCCCCGTTGTCTCAGCCGCTCCGAGAGACCCTCTCTTTCCTTGCAGACCGCTATGGCATGAGAGTGATGGTGATGCCTGAGGGAGACCTGGAGAAGCCCACAAGTGTCGAAGTATGTCAGACTAGTCGGTTTCCTTGTCTTAAGATACAGGATCTTGCTCCCCGATGTTGCGCATTGCAGTACCTACATCGCAAGGATTCGTCTGAAACATCGGATCGCACAATGACCTCGATTGGAACAGAGGCAATGAGCAATGAGAATGAATCCCAGAGACAGATTGAAAGCTCACGTACACCGGACGCCCGAGAGGTTGACAACAGCGTTGGAAAAAGAGACAGACCTGCTATGGCCATCTACCGTCCTAGACAGGGTAAGCCAACAGTGTGGTCCTGCAGGCCCTTACTTCATGCAGCACGGGTGGGCGGAGAAAGTTCTCAAAAGAATGAGCATGACGATCAGCACAAGACTGATGACCAAGTGGGGCAGGTGAGCCTACGCCTGCGAGACTCCTTGTTGACGTGCTGCAGGTATCAAGGCCTTCAGAGCGAATTCCTGAGGAAGACAAAGCTTTGCAGGAAACGATCTTTGAAATGGCCTCCAACCCAGATGAAACCTCTCAACAGACCGACTGCAGGTGGAAATGTCAAGCTTGATTCTTTCAGTGCGGCAGCTCACTCCTTGTCAGTTTGTTGTATGATTACGAATCGTTTCGCATGGATCTCACCTCATCTCGTGTCTGGGAAGACCAGGTTACAATTTCCCCTCACATAGAGCTGCTCGCTGATACCTGCGGCAGCCGAAGAAGAAGACGTATCTAGAGCTGAAGCCAAGCTCGAACTCGAGGTTGCAGATGTTTGTGCCAGCCACCCTTGCCTGAAATGTCATAAGCAGGTGTCACTGGGATCCCACTTGGCAGCTCAGGGCTCCGGACAACGGTTTCTTTAGTTTCACTGCACAGGTCAATATGTTCTCATTGGCTGTCAAAGATGTTTAAAGTGAGAACGGCAGCCCAGTGAAGCGCACGATGCAAGGATCGTGGTCCACTTGAGCACTCAGAAAGGCATTTCTTCCTCGTGATCGTTGCCTTGTGCAAAGTAATTCTCCTGACAGGGCAGTTAACAACTTTCTATGAAGTAGAAGTTGACACCGTGAAGCATTCCTGCAAGATCAGACATGTTTCGAATGAAAACTTGATTGAGACATGCGAGGTTGTAGTACTTGGACCACTACAGCACTGAAGGTCTGATCAGAATGGCCCGAGCAATTTACAACAAGCTTCCTCTTCCTGTCGTCCGCCTCCACAATCATTCTGGATTGCTTATCGTCATGGAACGGTGAAGGCAGGATGGATGGGTTTGAGAGTTTGATGCCTGTGAAAGATTGCTGTGGGGAAGGGAACTCGTCTGGTCGACAGCACCATCTTGTGCAACATGAGAGCATCGGTGATTGAAAGGGGTGAGAATCGTCTTGAAGAGTCGAACTCGACGCTTGATTGCTCGATCTTTCGACTGTCAGGCATTCAAGCTATAGGTTTTTCTGTCCCTTCTGATGCGAAAAACATCTCTCTCTCTCGCATTTTCTTTGGAAAGAAATTGTGCAGGTGGGCACCTGTTCAAAAGTATTCAACCAATCATTTGGCTGATAGGAATGTGGCATCTCTTTCCCACATCCGACTTATCAAGGCAAACGACAGCATCTTCGAAGAGGTAAACCATCTCTTCGTTCAAGTGTCTTGAGGGCATTACTAAGGCGATGGCAAAGGGGCTGATGGCCTATCACAGGTAATCAATCGGAAGAGAACACGAAATCATTTCGAAAATTTGCCTTCTGTCATAACCTGGAACAGCAAGTAGATGTATTCTGATGATGAGCTTGAGGAATGACATTTTTGTCTTGTTCCTTTGGATTGCATGTACAGCGTTGGCTCGAGAATGTTTGAAAACGAGCTCCTACGTCACATCCAGGTAGGATCGTGCACCTTTGTCACATCTTCACATGTTTCAAGGAGGTGGTCGGTTGCGACAACGTAGCTTTCCGCTGCAAGTTTCCGAGCTGGGGTTGGGCTATCTTCTCGAGCTGCGGGGCGGCAGACAAGCTGCAGGCGGACCTCTTGGGTGATCTCTTGCATTCTCGTGAGATCAAATTTACGTTTGCTCAGGGATGAGGGAGAAGGGCAAGTTTGCACAAGTGCAGGTGATGAGGTGCGAAGAAGCAACAAGAGAAGAGCTCTTGGCCTCTGGTCTGCCTGTCACGCGAGATCGACCCAAGGCCACAGCTCGAGTCGCCAACCGCCTCATCTCCTCGGCGCTGAAGGGCGTCATGTCCGGCAACAACAGACGACGGTGAACTACAAGTAGACCTTTAATGTTCACATTTCCAAGTTGCTCATATAAACTTCTCTTGCTGACAAGCAGCGACCAGTAATCCTTTTAGATCACTCGCAGAAAATGATTCACTTGTGCAAGCTCCAAGCTTGATCGAAGAACTCAACCTAAAGCATCACCCCATGAGACCTCTCACCCCATCATGTCAGTAGACGAGCACCTCGAGATCTACCGCCCTGAGAAACGCGGCCTTGCATCTAGCGTAGCTCTCGTCGTCCATCTGTGCATGACAAGTCAAACAACTTGACAGGACGAGCATTTGGCTCACCGTCTCTCCTGCTTTGTCGAGAAGGCCTCGAAGGTACGAGACGACGCTTTCGAAATACTCGCCGCAATGAAGATCTACAGGACTTTCAACTCAAACAAGGGCTGAGAGATGCCTTCCACCGATCCACTCGTTGCACCAGAATGGGAGCTCCGACAGCCTCCCTCCTTTCACACGATCTGCAAACAACAACACTCATCCCTTGGAAGCTGAAACCAACCTACCCACCGGCCCATGAGAGATAGCTCCATTCAGCTACCACGAGCAAACAGAGCATCTATCCATCTGGTCAGACGCGACAGGGAAGGAGAAAGGAAAAAAGGCTACTTCGTCGTATTTTCCGCTCCTTGCCGTGTTCAGCATCAGCTCCTGTCTTCGGAGGTGAAAAGCAAGAAATGGACACATGAAACAGTCACCATGAAGCCGTTCGTTGCTGATGAATTCGGAGTTTCGCATCTAAAAGTTCCTCAGCCAATGAAATACCGAGGCGGATAGTAATTCAGCTGCGATGTACCTCTCCTTTTCGCCCACTCCAAGTGCTTCAAGAGATCTCTCAAAGTACGTGTTCTCCTTTCCCGTGATCAGTCCAAGAAACTGGCAGCCAGGGATTCTGTCCTGCATCATGAAAGGTGTAACATATACGGAAGGAAAGACCATCAAAGCGTCACACCTTCAGACTCGGTGCATTTGCAACCATCGAAGCAAGCAGAATCACAAAGTTGTCAAGGAATCGGTGGTCCTGAATCAAGTAGAACTTCATGGCCTCTTTGCCGATGGATCCATTCGCAATCGCGTCAGTGAATGGGTGGTTCACGATCTTCATCCACTGTGCACCGGCTTCTTCCTGTTTGCAGCGTTATAACCAATCTTCGAACCCTCGATCCCGTCTCGATTGAGTTTTGAGCACACGATGCACAAACAAGTCCACATGAGGCGCAAACTAGTCCAGCCATGGATTCGAGGGTGAAGAGGAGATGTACTCAGACCTCACCGAACCATCTTCAATCTCCTAACCAGTTTTCAGCCTCTCCCTCCTCTTTCCCTCTCTTCTCGCCAAATGTTTGTGCATCGCATACCTTCAATCTTTCCGTCAATCTCGCCATGTTCCGAACAGCAGTGATAGCAATATATAAGGGCGTATTAGATATAGAATTTATACATTTTCGTGGTCACGGCTCAGGAATTGTTCAAAAGAGCAACCCCGTGACCTAAATGTGCCGGTCACGGCATGAAAATGCGCGCATTGAAGACTGCAACAGGGAGCGCGTGTGGTGAACAATGGGCCCTCCTCTCTGCCTGTTCCCTCAGGGTGCTCAAAGATCGAGCGAGATGTCGAAAGCAGATAGACTTTTTGTCAGAATAGCATGATGTGAGTTTCTTCCTCAGAGCTCGCGGTCGGCCATTAGCTTCCCTTCGTTGCCAATGAACGACCATCGCCACTTCTGCTCACTGCAATCACGATCGAGACAACTTCATTTGCGAGCTGATACAGGTAACATTGCTTTTTCACCCAAACTGATCTGAGACTCAAGGGCCCCACTTACACTGAGAGCAATTCCAAAGATCCAGAAGATGGAAATTGTTGGAATCTCACATGAATGTGTAGCATTAAAAGAAGAGTACAGAGAAATGGCAAGCATTTATTGACTCAGTTGCATGCATACTATCGCCAAACACAACCGCTACTTGCCAGTCCACCCTGGTCTCGAAACTGATCGTGACAAGGGTCCTCTAAGTGAATTTTCGTTCCATCCAACAAATGCATTCGTTGTCCGCCTCATCTGCATTTCGCGCAAACCTTCTTCGATTTCGTATCTTAAAGCAAAAGCAATCTGACTACAAAGTTCCTTTGTATCATGAGAGAATTTCGATATTGTTTCCTCCAATTGACCATTCCATGCCGATGTTGCTGAGAAAAAGCTCGATCTTGAGCATCTTGAGGAAGTTTCACCGTTCTCACTATTTGCAATTGTGTCATCGTCATCGGAGTCATTGTACATATCAATCATATCCCAATTCCTGTGGAAGTTCTTGGGTTCGTGGCGAGAATTCGAGCACCTTTCAAGTGACCTTCCATCCACGTCATCCCAGTGAATTGACGGTGTTGCACGATTTGCTGGCTCGTGAGCAGAATTTTGGCCGAGATGTCTCCCACTCACCATACAAGATACATTTCTGCTTTCAGAAGACCCCGTGTGATATGAGTTATATTTGCTGCATTCTGAGCTTAAAAAATGCTTTGATTCCGTACCAACGCGCACTGGGGTCAAGCATAGTGGGCACAGTTTCTTCAGGTCAGATTTTTCTCCTGATCGATTCGAGCATCTTCCTGATCGCCTGCAGGACATTCTGCGCAAAGTAGCCCCAAGTTACCAATTCTTTTGTTTGTCCGCTTGTTCCAATTTTCGAGTTCTGCAAAGATTCTACTTGTTTGACTGAACGGAAGGATAAGTGCTGTTAGCCCCTCACAAACGTCTCGAATCTTGATCTTCACCAGTTGTCTGTCTCTTCTGCCCGCCGCCGCAGCAACAGGTTGTAGAGAGGAGATGAGGACAGCGAGGTTCTGCTCACGGTCCCCAGTGCCAAAGGAAAACGGGAGAGAGACCGGGTAGGGGGTGAGGGTACATTTTTGAAGAGAGGGGTATTACCGGAAGGTTTCCTGGTGAGAAGGGTGGGTGGTATGAAGACGGGCAGACAGACTGCGGGTTGGGTCCACTGAGATTTGGGGAATGTTTAGATTAGTTCACCCAAAGGGTGGGTGGTCGCAATCACACTGAAAGTCAGGGGGTGGGTGAGACCGAGAGAGGTAGAGGAGCAGATGGTGGGTGGTAATCTTTTTATGTCAGACCATACGACTGTTGGTGGTAGCTCAGTGGTAGCGAGGGGGGTGGATAGGAATTCATTCTATGTTGATGGGGGAGGTGGGTGGTGATCAGCAAGGGTTTTACTGGATCGAAAATAAGGTATTTCGGAAGATTAAGGGTCCTATGAGGTGCTCAGTGTCATTCACCCCTCTTTTTAGCGTCGTTCACCCACCCTTGCAATACCTTGGTCGACCACCCTGTTGCAATCTTTGGATTTCAGGGTAGGGTAGTCATGAACAGCATGATGTAGTCGAGGGGCGGTTGGGTGCATATCTGGAGGCACCACCCCTCCCTCTCGATGTCGAACAAAAGGTGTGGACTTGTGGGTACGAAAGCGATAATTATCCCACCCCCCAAAACCAGTGCAAATGCCGGGTGGTGGAAGGGTATGTTGGTCACCAACGTCATCAAGCGAAGTCAGCATGTATTTCGTGACCCTATCCTGTTGGGTACCCCTACAAACCTCTGGGAAAATTGGGGTCCATTTCTGACTTGTCACGGCCTTCCTTCCGGTCCTCCGAGGTCACATCCCTGAATTCATGTCCCACCCATACCTTTCAGATTATGTTTCGCTCAATAGGTAGGGTGGGGTAGTATCGCTCAATGCCGAAATTTCCGGGAGGCAGATTTGGAATAAAAGTTTCCGTAAAACTTCACTTGTAACTTCAATCTCAAAAGACGAGGTTGACCGTCATCGTCGTGGCCCCTTGAGATATCCGAGTCAAGCTCACGACCAGCGACCAGCCCAGGGCCTTGCGGGCCGGCCCGGCCGGCCGCCGGAAACGGAGACGGAGACTGATCGAGTGAAGGTGCCTGGGGGATTGCATTGTCAGTTACAGACGGTTTCGCAGTGCAGGCGGCTCTTGGCAAAAATGGTGCGTGAACGTTGTTGCAAACATCGGTTCAGGCGTTGTGTAGTTGACAGGAATATGTTCTTTGATGAACTTTGAGCTTCATGTTTGCATGAATTTCCGTTATCTTTCATTTATGCTTGATGGATCGCACGGAATACTCGGTGTTTTCGTTTCTGCAATTGAATTGCATTACTTTCTAGCAATGAATGATATTGCGTGCCATGCTTTTTAATTCTTGCTGTTATTCGATCTTACATTCCCATGTAGTTCACTAAGGCAGAGAGCATGTATGGATTCTTTGGGTCAAAGGCCCCAACGCGATCCACTCCTGCAAGGTCAGTCAGTGTTGGCAAGCAAAGTCAGCATCTGAAAGCCGTTTTTTTTCTCTTTCCAGATTTCAATCTGTCAAGGTTTGCTCAGGATTCTTCTATTCATGTGCAAAGAGTGATGCTCACCATGAGTAAGTACTATTTTCTCAAGAAAGTAAGATAAACTTTGCTCGCAGGCCGCTCCTTGAAAAGAAATTTGGAATCAAAGTTTAAAAGCCTCTCTAACAGACCTTCTCTTCCTTTCCAAAGCATTATCTTAATCCAGAAAATAAACAAAGTGAAACGCTGAAGCGTTTTGTTTGCGTGTCGAGATAGCTTCATCGACTCTGGAAACGTGCACGGGAAACCCAAGTTGTCCAATTGTGTTGCGAGGAAACACCAGGTGATATTCAATCCCTCCGTTCTCCTATTCTCATGTACTGGAAATTCCAAGAACTAATCTCTAACGTGTATGAGTCGTCGGACACAATGTTCCGTAGCAGAACACGATGTTGAATCTCACATGCGTTGGGATTTTGACAACTAGTGTGATTTTTCCATTGTGTGCCTTATCCGAACACAATCATGAACGGAACTTTCATCTGCGGAGGTTACACATATGAAGAGATATCAACACAAGACATATTGCGATTCAGGCAATATCATTCGACCAATTGTGTTTTCAATTACAGGCTTTTGGAAAATTAAGATGTTCATAAGTTTTCTAGAGCAAAAACGCGCAAGGAAGAAACAGGTTCGAACTTGTGAAGCTAAAGACATTATTGCGCGGATGTACGTTAAGCGCCCTCTGAAAGCCAGTGCGGTAGAGGGCGAGATCATGGGCACTCAACCTTGTTGCAGGTTTCATGCGTATAGTTAGCGAATCACTGGAATTGTCATCTAGCTCAGCATAGCCTTGAATTCTTCATAGTCGATCAGGCCGGAAGCATCTGTATCTGTCTCTTCGATGAGTCTCTCAATGTCGATTGTCAGCTCAAACTTCTCTATAGTTGCGCGCAACTTGTCCGTGTTGATTTCACCAGATTTGTCAGGGTTACCTCCAAGAGCGACAAATGCGGAAACCATGTCCCAATCTTCTCCAGTCGATCCGTGTGCATCCTAAAGGTCCGTCGTTACTAAGGCAGGCTTACACCTCAAGTACATACCTTCTGCTTCTCGATGACTTGAAGGAACTGCGATGTGTTTCAGGCTGTGATTTGACAACCGAGACATTCCCAGGAACACAACGCACCTCCTGAAAGTCGATATTGCCGGATCCATCAGTGTCGACTTGCGCAAGAAGACCAAATACCTGTCACAGTTTGTAAGGCAACGCGCACATCGGCTTTCTGAATCTTGAGAGTGAGATTCGTGGGCAACCAACCTCCTCATCTGTCGGGTTCTGGCCAAGGGACTTCATGGCCTCCTTGAGCTCCCATGCGTCGATGCAGCCGGAATGATCGACGTCGAACTTCTCAAACGCGTCGTGCGCTTTCTCTATCTCCTGCTGCGACAACACCATAGCGCGGTTTGAGTCGTTTATCGACGGTTACTTGACTTTGACAACCGTTGCGTTTTTTTAAGGGAATGCGGCGGCAGTGACGTGAGCATCGGAGGACTCATCTACTCTCAGCTAGCATATCAGGAGGAGGAGGAGGAGGAGGAGGAGGAGGAGGAGGAGGAAGACGGACTGTGTAGAGAGGTTGTCATGAGCTACAATTTGTTTCTCTGGAAAAAGCCTAGTAGTCAGAAACGAGAGCAGGATTAAGATATCGTTTCCTCCGTATTCTATGTTCAGTTACTATTGTTTCAGCGACGAAATTGCTTAAAATATTTCTGTCTCAAACCATGAAACTGGATCGAACCTTCATCGCATTTGCGACTTGTTCGGTGAACATGTGGGTTTCTACATATTTGAAGAGCGCATACCAGAAAAATCCGTAAATTTCTGTGTTGGGCGTTCACCTGCAGTTCATTCCCACATATCCACAAGAAAGGATAGGAAGAAGTAAAAGAACACAAACATCGATTTGAAAGTCTTTTCTGTTGAACGACGCCCTATGTCTCTCTCTCTGCCTCTGCTTTTGATCCTACTCTTCAGTACTTCGCATCGAATGCTGCACTTAACCAAAGGATACATAGGCTTTCAAACCACATGACGGCAGACGTGGGAGTTTGTGTTTCATGCTCCTCCTTCATCCGGCATTTCCCTTTCTTCAGGTCGACTCCTTGCCAGACCTCGTCGCTCCATTCTCCACTGACTGTGGAATCTCCCGTGTCCTCTCCTACCAGTCGTCATCCTAGATATCTGGCAGTGCTACACTGAGAGAAAAGAAGGAGAGGGCGGGACGGAGCAAGGAGAAGGTGCAGTGGGCCGGGATCAGCAGCGGGAGCAGGAGCAAGAAAGCTAATCCTACATTTTCGTTATTAAAAAAAGCCGAGTGGGGTAGTTGTAGTAGTAAAGACGCTTTTGATGCTGAGTGGAGGGGGAGGAGGCTGTAGCGAAGTAGCGTCGAGGAGGAGAGGAAGTTGAGCCGAAGAGAAGCAAAGACAGCTTCGATCGCTTCCTGCCATGGCAGCAATGCCATACGTTGATGACAATAGCGGCTACACTCAAGAGGAGGAGGACGGACTGGCTGTGGTCGTAACCAATCCAGTCGCGTGCGGCTCATTCTGAAGTTTGATTGCCAGTCCTCATGGAACGTGCATCAGGGCTACTGGATCGTGGAGCCGCTGTCGCACAGGGATGAGGTTTCCTCCATCCTCCTTGAAGACTTGCCATGATGCTGCCGGCAGGAAGCAGCAGGGAATCTTGATGGTGACGAATCTGCCTTGATGCACAATTTCACTCAGAACTCCCTCGTTTCTGTCTTGATCTCGGTGAGATTGGCATATTTCTTGCTGTCATCATTGAGCTCCTGCAGGATGGTGTCGCCATCGCTGCTTGGTCCATGCTTGCTGGCTCTCTCCGGCAATCCCACACGTTCACCGTTCGACTTTCGACGCTGCTCGTGTGTGCAGGAGTCAGCTCATCCTTGCAGATGTACGATCGCAGCAAGAAGGTGACTTGATCTGAACCCTCACGAACGTCCTTGACGTACCGCAGAGCAGCAGTGCAACGGAAGCTACTGGATCGTCAGGTGGATGGGATCACCAGTGACTTGATCCTTGACGAGACTTGCACTCCAGGAGAGGAGGTGGCTGCTGCGTCGTCAGAGGCAGGAGCTGTTGACCTAGGATGTCATTCGGCGAGGTGAATCGAACACGGGAGAGGAGCGGGACGTGGTGAAGTGTGAGAAGGCGAGCAGGCTGAGGAGGTGGCTCGTGGTGATCAATGCGGCGGTCCTGGGGCTGAGGACATCCTTAATGATGGAAGAGAGAGACCCGTGGTTCTCGTCCCTCCCCGTCAAGTCCAAGTGTCTCTCCAGCTTCGGGCTCTCCTGCTCTGTGCTCCCTTGTGTGGTCAGTCCCGTCCTTGCCGTTTGCTCTTGCCTGGTTGACCGAGCACAAGGTCATAGCGTCATCACGTACGAGGAGGGTGGTGAGATGAAACAAGTCGAGCATCGCTTGTGATGTGAGGGCAGGAGGACGGAAGCATGCTCCCTCTACCGCTCATAGCCCTCAGCTTCCTTGCCGGGTGATGGCTCCGCTGCTGGGGGAGGGGCTTTGATCCTCTCGTCTAGTTGTGCGATGTTGACGAAGCGGAAGCTGGACGTGTCGCTGTTCACCTCCCTTGCATGCTCCCTGCGTCTGAGCGCAATCCTTGGCCTCCATGCCATCGACCTGCTGAGGAAGAGCCGATGTAGCAGGTGGTTGCTCCTCCGTGCTTTCCTTGCACTTGACCCTGCTGCTGCAGCCTCCGCGTGTGGTGCCCAGGGCTGAGAGGAGGAGGAGACAGGAAAGTCCGCATGTGGGATCTGCACAGGAGCATTCTCAGGCGTGCATCCTTGCTCGATGAGATGATGTGGCAACAGGTGAGACGCGCCGCCATGTCGAAGCAGCTGAGGCTCGCAGGTCAACGACTTCACCCGCATTATGCATTTCCTGACTCAAAGCCCCAAGGAGGCTCTTCTCTACGGTGACGCAAACGCCGTCCTTACCTACCTGATGTCGTGCAGGAGGAGCGAAAATTCTGACCAACGCATTGCTGACATGGTGGGGCGAAGTAGGGGGGGAGTTGGCAGTGGGCACATAGTAAACACTTCATTGAAGTCTCAAGTCACCGGTCTTGATAGGAAGAAAGCAACAAGAGCAGCGAAGACCGCGACGACAAGAGACAAGGTCACAGGCGACCACCTCCTTCCCATCCCCCCCTGCTGTGCAACAGGAGCTCGCTGCTCGCTGCCAGCCGGTTGCTCCTCGCTCGTCCCTGTCCTCTCCTCTCGTGCACGGACAACAATCCTGACAGAGGAGCTCTCTGAGGGCAGCATGCTTGTGTGCATGGTGACTGCTCGGATGCTCCAGACCCCTTCCTCATGCAGGACCAGCGGCTCTTGGAAGAACCCCTGGCGAGCCCGCACCCGTTGACCTCCATCCCCCTGCGGCTCCTCCACCTTCTCGAGGGTGAAGTGAATCTTGGCGTCTGGAAGTACTTCCCACGTGCGTGTCGACATGGAGATCTAGCGAGGCAGTCAGAGGCGAGGATGGGCCCAGCTAGAGGACGAGGAGTCAAGCGCAAGGTCAAAGTCAGAGGAACCTTGTTGCCAGCGCAGAGCTCGGCGACGTTTGGGCTGAAACAAGGAGGAGCACATCTCGCTTTCACGATGTAAAGGGCACGAGACTCGAGGCTGTCGGCCATGCCGAGTTTCATCGCAACCGCGCGGATGTTGAAGGTGCCTTGCCCGAGGATGAAGGGCCGGTCGTACGACTGCACCCGACCCGTCTCCAGCTGCTCGTCGTTAAGAGGGTCGCTCCCATCCATAGTGTAGCGGATCGTTGCACCCTCCTGCTGGATGATGAGACGACGGATGGAAGAGGGCGCAAAGGAAGACAGGAGGGAGGAGGAGGAGGAGGAGGAGAAGGGGTGCGAACGACCTGGCTCAGCATGGAGACGAGCACCTGCCCCTCATGCACTCCTGCTGGTGGCTGGAGGGAGGGAGACTCTGTCCTTACCTGCAGCCATCCACAACATCACACTGTGAGTCTCCCATGTCTATCTGCCCCCTTCCCCCTCCTCCCTTTCCTTCCCGCACCACCAGGCTCCTTTCAAAACTCACCAGGCGACAAACAGTGACGACGAAGCGTCTCAAGGTCCATCGGTGGTCACGAAGCTGAACTGCACGCAAGCCGTCGTTGGAGGGATCGGCCACGAGGCTCCAGTCTCTGCCTCAACACAAGTGAGCTCTCTCCTGCAGTCTTGTACCTCATGACCTGTCCTCCTCCCCAAGCACCGACAGACCGAGCAGCAGGCTTAGCTCTGCTCCTTCGTCGATGTCCTCCACCCCCTCCACCTCTAGTCCTGCTCGTCGCGCAGCAAGGGCAAGAGCAGCAGGCAGCTCAGTGCAGACCAGCTGGCTCCCGCCCTTCTCCAGAGAAGCTTGGTCCAAGTCATCCAACAGGTCAGCAGCGACGACCTCGTCTTCCCTCCTCACTTCCTCCAGGAGTTTCTTCGCTCCTTTCTTGATCCCCTTCAGCATGTCGCTGCTCATCGTCCTCCAGCTCATCACAGCAGGAAAGCCTCCGACACAGACCTGCCAGCCTGCCCCCCCCTCCTGCTCCCCCTCAGCCTCGGATCCTCCAACCTCTAACCCCTCCAGGGCAGGAAGAGCAGGAGGAGTCCACCGGCTCTCCCTCGTCTCTGCATTCCAAAAGAATTTCCTTCCTCCCGAAGGGCCCTGCGCACATGCTTCCTCCCTCCAGCCCTCTCGTGCCCAGACGTCAAACTGCAAGGACCTCACAGACCCCGCGAACTTCTCTTCCACCTCCGAGCTCTGCAGCACACAGACTCGCTTCACCTGGAATCCGAGCTCGACCAAGGAGCGCCCGCAGCTTGTTGCCTGCTGGAGTTGATGCTCGATGAAAGAGATCTCCTCCTCAAACCGAAAGTCTCGAGCTGCTCCTCCCATCTGCCTCTCCAGCAGAACCTGCAGGCCGGGGTCCTCGACGTCCTTGATCGCTGACGTGGCAGAGGCCGTCCACCTCCATGGCCAGCTGATCCGCGAGATGTCAACAACCGTGGCATCGTCCTGCTCGGCCCAAGGCTCCGAGGGCTCTGAGGGAAACGCCTCCACCTCCTCTTCTCCTGCTCCCACCTCCTCCCCCTCCTCCTCCCCCTGCCGTGTGGAACCGAAGTCTGCAGGAGCATGCACCATTTCTGGCTTGGAGCGATGCTGCAAGCGGGGCAGCTCGGGCCAGCTCTCCTGCATCATCTGCTGGTGCTGAACGATGCCTGCCTCCTCGTCGTCGTCCACGATCCTCGACTGGACAACGTCTTGGCGCAGAGGGGGAGGGGCCGCGAGGCTCAACGAGTCCTCCACCCGACGAGGACGAGGCTGACTATGACGCCTTGACGGATAATCTCTCTGAGCGTTGGAGAAGAGCGATTGGAGGATCGACTCGGCCTCTCGTTGCAGCGCCTGCCGCGCGGATCAGACAAGGGCAAGAGAGCACAGGTACATCTGCGACACCTCCAGGTGGTTCCTGCCGTTATCAGTCTTGTCGTCCTTGAGGTCGAACGCGTGCACTACTCCTGCCTCGCCGAAGCCATTCTTCTCCATGTAGCCGTCCAGCCTGCACAAGAATCATAAGACGGGGAGCAGGCAGCAGGCGAGAGCTACCGCACGCATTCGGCGCGACCCAACGATCTCCTGCTCACGGGGTGGGAGAAATTTCCCGTCGAGACAAGATATCTGGACAAGACCTTGCCGTCGAAGAAATTGTAGGAGTCTACCCAACCAGCTCGACCCCGGTCGGCTGGTTCGTCCCCTGCATTGGCAGGAAGGAAGAATGGTTCATACGAAAGGTCGCAAAGGGGATCCAAAGAGATGACGTCATCGCCATCGAGCGAGGACCACCAATCTCCTGCCCCTCGCTTGCTCGCGCTTTTGGCCTTCTGGTTCTTCTTTTTGTGCGCCAGTTGATGACTCGTCGGTCTCTTCATCAAAGCAGGAAAGTCTCCTCCGTCACCTCCCCCAGCCCCCCGCGCTCTTACAGCGAACTTCTCCCCCCCATCCTCGCCATCCTCATCACCATGTTTAACGGACAGGTGTAGAGTGCTGTTGGTTCTTATCGAGCAGTCGCTGTAGAGACGGCAAGTTGGGTCCGTCAGCTCTCTGCCTTGGTAGATCAGCCTCACCCTCGTGCTGGGGGTCTGGAGTCTTGCCTCCACATGACGTTTGAGCTCCTCGACCGTCGCGTCCGCCTCCACCTGCACTCTGAGCCGAGTCTCGTCTGCGCTGGATGTGGAGACGAGTATGAAGATGTCGGAGAGAGAAGGACGGATGTCTTCGCTCCTGACCTCGTACTCCCCGTCCTCCTCGTACCCGACGAACTCTACCTTGGAGACCCTGAAAGACCTGGAGACAACTCTCGCAGGATACCACTTGCGGTCCTCAGGGAACACTGCGTCGAATCCTCCTCGTCCTCGCGCCTCCATGTCATCGTCGATGATGCAGGAGGAAGACTTGGGCGGATCCTGCGATGGGCCATGCACTTGCCTGCGATTGATGAGCCTTGAGCGACCAGTTGCCTGCTGCTGTCTGCCACTTCCTTCCTTGAACCCAATCTTCGCCCTCCCTCCTCCTCCTCCTCCTCCTCCTCCTCCCTCTTCCCTGCCTCCTTCCCCTCTTGCCCCCTGCTCCCACTGCATTTGAGGCATATTACAGAGCGACCCACCCCCTCGGTTGACCTGACAGACCCCTTGCAATCGGACTTGCGGTGTAGTAGTCATGGTCGGAAGGCGACAAGCGGGCAACAAGGAAAGCAGGAGGGGAAGGGAGAGGAGGAGGAGGAGGAGGAGGAGGAGGAGAAGGGACGAGGACGAGGAGAAGAAGGACGAGGACGAGGAGAGAAGAGGAGGGTGGAGGAGGGGAAGAGGAAGGGGAGGAGAGATCGGCAGGAGAGGAAGGAGAACGAGAAGAGGAGACGGATGAGGGCGAGTAAGGTTACGAGGAGAATGCCGAAGAGAGCGCTTGTTTTGAGAACTGGGCAGGGAAAGGAGGTGCGATTGGTGAAATGAGCAGCAGTTGATGGTAGTTTGAGATCGACGGAAGGGGAGTGTGTTGGTTCAAACACCTGGCGGTCAGAGCAGTCGGGCAGAGCTGACGAGGTGAACGAGCTGAGGAACGATTCTCAAAGACCAGTAGCTCACAACACACAACACTAGCATCGCCATGTCTGACAGTCTGAGCAGATGAGGCGGGGGAGGCAACTTGCGCTGGAGTGAGGCCAGGCATGTCAGAAGGCAGAACCTCCTCCACGCCGAATGAGAGGCAGAGAGAGATTCTGATCCTGGAGGACGAGCTGGAGGACGAGCTGGAGGACGAGCTGCATTCGAGCGGGCTCCTGTGAGGGCTCGGGCTCTCCTGCCCTGCGATCTGATTGCCCTTTATCTCAGGCTCATAGACTCTGCCGAGCACGAACCTTCTGCTGGCAAGGACGCCAAGTTTCTCTCCCCGTACAGTGATTCAGGTGAGAGGAAGAGGAGGGAAGGCGTGATGATTGCAGCTGCAGGTGCGTTCGTCAGACCCAAACGCTTCCTGCAAGATGCGACTGGTGCGGGGGCAAGGAAGCACGGGGAGCGTAAGTCTCCCTCGAATGAGCAGAAAGAGGTCTCGCCGCAGGAGAATGGCAGCAGTCGCAGGGCTGCGATCCGCAAGTCCCGTGGGAGGCAAAGGACGGAGGAGAGAAGTCAGAACGAGGTCGCCATAGACGCTTGCACTGTACCTGAAACTCTTGCAGAGGGCACCCGATGTCAGACCGACGGGCAAGGAGAACGAGTGGAGTATATCCTTGCTTGACTCTGACGGTCTGCGCGCTGCTACGGCTCCCCCGAACGAGGATCGACAGGCCGAGGTAAGGGAAGCGTCAAAGGTCCAGAAGTCTGAGACTTGCAGCAGGAGTCAAAGCAAGGCTCTTGGCTTCAGCAGGATTCTTCGTACTTCAACGACTCCAGGACTACCGTCACCTCTGCACAGGGTTGCGCGAGCTATGATCCCCTCCTCCTGGAGCTGACACGGCGCGTAGGGGGCCGAATCGCTGACCTAAACAACGCTCTGCGACGTATGCGACGCCCGAAGTCAGAAGTTCCTCAGGTCCTTGACGCGTCTACCAGGCGAGGGTCTTTGCTCCTCTGATGCCTGCAGCAGGTGGTGCAGACCCCCGATTTTGAGTTGGAATCCTCGTCCTCTGCAACAAAGAGCAGGGCTGGAAGGCTTCGGCCAGGCACTGAGGAGGCGGCTCGAGAACGATCAGCGGGGGCGTCTCCTCCCAACAGTGCAGGCGATGGGAAGGCCGTCACGATGTTCAGGAGGAGCCTGCGGTCGGAACCCTCATCCTCCATCCCTGTGCAGATCGTGAGACCCAAGGCGGAGCCGGCGGTCAGAAACGACCAGGTGGCCTCGTCGCAGATGAATCATCGGAGGTTTGGATCCGGGTTCCTCTCCTTGTCGAATCCGAGCCCTCCAGCTGCTGATGATGCTCGGGGGGGCTCGAGGTCGCCGGAGGATCGTGAGAGGAGGATAGATCGCGACTCGCTCTACAGCCAGTGGGCAAGAGGCCCTGCTTCCTCCAGCCAGCTGCCAGCTCGTTCCGTCAAGCTCTCAGGGACCAGGTGCGCAACTGCGCTGAGGGTTGAGAATTGGCTGACGTGGCTATAGGGAGTCAGCGGACTCGAACAGGTCGTCGCCGATCTCAATTCGCAGCAACCCCTCGCCTCCGCTGCAAGAGACGAGTTACCTCAGCGACGATGACCTGATAAGTCAGCAAGAGTTCAACATCAAGACGATGATCAAAGTTTACTCTCCCTCCGATCAGCACTCTGCTGGTACCTCGGATCACTTTCCAGACAAGAAGTCGCTGTATGCTGCTGCGGGCATCTACAACGATACCTCCACCTCGCCCAACCCCTCGAAACCCGAAGATTCTCCGACTGGAGCACGAGATGGAACGTCAGGGACCTCGGAGGACAGTGATGATGGTCAGGGAAGGGATTGGTCATTCTCGCGCACAGATGAAGAGATAGAAAAGGCGTATGAGGCATATCAAAAGAAGAATCAGCAGAAGGTGTGTATCTCCTGTCAGGCCTCGCCCTTTGCTTGTTCTTCTAACTTCGTCTTGTCAAGAGCGCTGGCCGGCGCCAACTGGCTGTTGATCGGTGTGAAGATACGCAAGGGATAAGCGAAGGAGAACCGCCCAAATCGAGGTAAAGTTTGCTTCATGCTTACCTGCTGACTGTCATTCACATGATGCTGTCAGCGATAAGGCCTCTACTGCCATCACTCATGGCCGTGAGGCCACAAAGTCCGAGCTGGCGAGAGCAGGATCGAGCGAGGGGAAACGCGAAGGAGGCGAGGGGGGTAAGGCAGGTTCAAGGAGGGCAGCGGCAGCTGTCAAAGGATTTCCGGAGTCGAATCGCAGGGTGGTATCAGCAGTGCCGAGGACAGACGTTGTCATCCCCTGGTTTGAGAACCAGTTTGAGATGCGCACTCGGAGGACTCAAGAGAAGGAGCGAGTGATCGAGCCCAAACCACACAAGCCGCCCACCACGAGGACAGGGCGAGCTGGAATCAGATCAGCGCAGGCCGACGAGAGGAAGATGAAGGCAAGCGCGCCTCCTGTTGCTCAAAGTTCTGTCTTGGAGCAGGAGAAAGACTTTCAAAGTCATCCTCAAGAGGGCCGAGGGATCGACGACATCGAGCAAGTTCACCCATGGTCATGGATCCGAGACTTCCCGCGTCCTCCCTCCCGTCAACGTCATCCCACCCAGAGCTTGCACCTCGGAGAACCTCTGGTGGGCTCGCGATCCACAGGGAACAGTGAGAATGCAAGAGAGCGAGGAAGCGGAGGAGTCGGGGGAGGTAGCGGCGGGGTAGGAGAAGGGGCAGCGCATATTAAGGAAGCATCACCCCTGGAGAGGAAAAGCACATCCGTGACCCTAGCGATGGGCGTTGAGAAGAAGCGGCCATTCACGCAGGAAGGAAACATTTTCCGCTCTCCTCCCTCCAACTTCTCGGAGGAGATGATTCTCAGGCCCGGCACCTCGGTCCTCACAACCAACGGAGACTGGGCAGCTCCGAGGACCAACGACAACCTTGCAAGCCATCTCTCCTCGCAAGAGGAGGAGGAAGGTGCAGAGCTGAAGCAACTTGAGCTTGAGAGCGTCTCAGAAAGTTCTACCCCCTCCGTCTCTCCGGTCAACAACATGCGGCAGTCGAGCTTGCAAGAGGGAACACACGTAGAGAGGGCTGCTCCTGTCCCAATCGCTGAAAAAACTCTCAAGCCGTGGAGCGCCAACCCGGAAGCAACAGCGAGGGGCGGGTATCAGCCTTCCTTCAGGAAGTACTTGTCCAAGGGCAGTGGCGGGGCCGACAGGGCTGTCGCCTCGTCCTCGGAGAGATCTCCTCCGCATTACTCCCGGGCGCATCATCGCCTGCTCGGTAACACTGACAGAGAGCCTGACGAGGAGGAACAAGAGCTCCTCCAACCAGAGACCAGCGAGCAAGCAGCGTCTGCAAAATCCGAGTGGTGAGGTGACGTTACATGTCTCTGTTCTCTGATGCGCGTTGCAGGCGCGTGGTGAAGGATTCGACTTCGATTTCTGCTGAACCTTACGAGGCTCTCAAGTCGTCGACGAGGAGGCCGTACTCGAGGCAGCAGGAAGCAAATAATCAGATAGAGAACTCAAACTCCTCTGCCCAACCCCCGGGTAAGGATGGTGGCGTACGGCTCGTCCGGAGCGCCAAAGTCTTCCGTCAGGTTACGACTTGAGCTCCTCTTGCCGGTGTATGATGTGCGACCAGAGTCGTCCTGAAACAGCTCGGGGAGGCTCGTCTCGGAGCAGCAGGCTAGCTTCTGCTGGCCGAGGTGGTTCGAGTGTGAGTAGGAGGGAGGCTGACGAGAGGCAGGGGAGCGTTCGGTCTCGAGCTTAGGGTTCTACATGGAGAGTCAGCAGGTGGAGACAAGGAGTCACGAGATTAGATCGCTTCAGCATGGAGCGATGCTGCAATCGCGGCAAGCAACAGCAACGACAGAAAAACGGTCACTTGCTTCCCGCTTCACGGTCACGTGGTATGTTGAGCATGGAGCAGGCAAGGAACCTCAAGCTTTCCTGTCGAGCTTGAAGACAACTCGAGCCGAAAGCTGCTTGATCGCAGAGCGACAGGTTGAGACGTGACCTCTCCTCGTCGATGACTCGCAGGGTGTGCAGGGCTCGGTGAAACAGCTCCGGATAGAGACTTCGACTTTAACGCCATCGGCGGGTCGCCATGGGCCGGAACCTCCTCCTCATCTTCTGCCGGCAGCTCTTGTGACATGTTTGCTCAAATCTCACTGAGATCGGTCAGGGTCGTCGATCTACGACATGAGCGAGGAGGAGGACAACTTCGACAGCGACATTCGACCTGACACAGCACCTGCGGCTTCTTCTGTCCACTACTCCTACGTCTCATGCCCGTCATGCTCTTCATCTCTTACTGTGTTGTGCAGGTTCTTGACAAGGCTCGTGTAGCTTCCTCTGCTCTACGTGCAAGACCGGACACTGCTGTGGTCCGTTCTCCTGATTCTTCCGAGCTTGAGGCGAGCGGGGGAAGGGCAGCGTATGAGGCCCCACTTGATCCGATGAAGAAGCGAGACCCTTGGTACTCCTCGGCTTCCTTCAAGCCGGAGGGAAGGTAAGCAGAGAGGAGAGCTGGAGAGGTGCGAGGATGTGCATGACGACGAGCTAGGGGTCCCTGGGCAAGGCCTACGAGCGCGCAGTCAGCATATCGACCTAAGGTAGGATGACGGCTGCTGAGAAGCACTCATAATCTTCCGCAGTCTGCAAGCAACTCGTCCAAGTGAGATCGGTAGAAGTCTCGTCCTCCTCGTAATCCTGTCGAGCTCGCACTGTATTCCCTTGTTGTAAACTATAATTCGCTTTGCCCGTTGACACCGCTGGCATCTTCACCGCTGGCATCTTCCGCATGCCCCGTCGAGTGCACACGTGAGGATATTGTGACTGCAAGCTAAGACCGTCTAAGCCTTACTCTTTCTCTCGTTCTCGGTTTTGATCCTTTGCCGATTGATCAATCTGCCGAGTCTGTTAACTGAAGCAGTAGAAATCAAATAATACTTCATCAGCCTCCGTTGTTCTTGATAAGTCAGACTGTGAACATCTTTATCTGCATCTTTTTCTAAATCCTGGTGCAGCAATAAAGATCAACAATGGTTCTTTGATATACTTGTTGCTTTGACCTGCATCGTTCGCCTTGGCTTCAAGAGTTCAAACAACCATTCTGGATACTTGTCGTCCTCCATAATGACAGGATCTACTTGCAGTCATGCGAGAACATCAACGTTCAAATTTGATTGCCTTTTCCATCTTTCATGTAGTTGAGACCGGGAATGACGTCCCCTGGCTTGCTCGTTTCAGGAACAAACTCTTGCACTGGAACCTAAAGTAAGCTGCTTGACCTGCAAGTGAAAACCCTACCAATCTTTTTCTTTTCCACTGCTGCAGCTGCTGCCTTCTTTGGCATTCTCATCATGGGAGGGAGCCCGCTTCGCATCCATCGCGTAATCCAGAGAGACATCTCAGACTAGCTCGCTCTGTGCCAAAGTGAAATCGTCACGCAGGAATGAGCACGATATACCGAAAGAAACACGAAACATAGGTCAAGCTACGGGCATGCAAGGGGAGGCAAAAATGAGCTGAAGCACTTGGAGCGCATCGAGCGGGGCTGACAAGCGAGCACGCGCGGCATAGCGGAGAGAAACTGCAACACCCCCAGTGCAGTGCATGCGAGAGGAAGCCTCCGCCGATATTAATAACGAGCCTGCCTCAGTAGGAAATAGAAAGGCAGCAAGCAAATATGGTTTACAAATAACACAGGCAAGGGCAGCAATGCGCGAGTAACATGTGAGTCAAGAAGCATGTAATTGTATTATAATAAAGGAGAATTTGTATTATAATCAGATTCAAAGAGATGTTTGCTAACTCAAAGAGATGTTTGCTAACTCAAAGAGATGTTTGCTAACTCATAGAGATGTTTGCTAACTCATAGAGATGTTTGCTAACTCATAGAGATGTTTGCTAACTCATAGAGATGTTTGCTAACTCATAGAGATGTTTGCTAACTCATAGAGATGTTTGCTAACTCATAGAGATGTTTGCTGACTCATAGAGATGTTTGCTAACTCATAGAGATGTTTGCTAACTCATAGAGATGTTTGCTAACTCATAGAGATGTTTGCTAACTCATAGAGATGTTTGCTAACTCACTTCTCCCACCCGATAAGTTTACGCAACCTCTCGCCAGTTGACATGTTGGTTTGCGGCAAATGGCTGCCTGATGATGCGAGGGCTTTCAGTGCCTTCGAAGGTTCGGACTGACCGCCAGTGAAGCTCGTCAGGACTCGCAGCAAACAAGAAGCGAGTGTTCGACCTTCTTGAAATTTCCCGCATGATCCACCGTCTTCATTCTTTTGCTGGACAAAAGAACGAATTCGATCACCTTTCCTGCGATAAGTTGAGTTGAGAGGGATGATTAGGTGGAGGTCACTTGTTGGTTCTGCTGGAGACACGAGGATCACGGTCTCCTTGATACGTTTGCTGAAATCGAGCGTTATTTGCCAATAAAACTGTTTGAATGCACACCGGCTCCAATCAAGATACTTCAAGTTGATGCTGTAATAGTCCGACGATTGTACAGAAGACGATTTTGTGCTGTTTACCATTTGAGGGCAGTCCCTCCGATCCCTCGTCTCTTCAAGCTTTTCTGTCGTTCTATCAACAGACACGTCAACCTTCAAGTGCTTTCCGGTTTCTGAAACTCACATGCTGCTTTTGTTTGCAACTATCTTTCCTATCGTGTCATCCTCAAAAGATTTCGCTTCGAACTTCGCATTCTTGAACCTAGAAACACCCTCCTGTTTAACCTTGCAAGTCTACCACTGACAAGGACTTGATCACCTGCAGGGGGAGGGAAGGACACAAATACAACAAACTAAAGGCAGATCGCCTTGAGAGATACAGTCAGTAGAAGTTGAAAAGACAGAGATGTTAGGAATACAGCGTTGACTCTTTTCAGCCGCCTGGGTATCAAATTCATGGTTTGGACAGACAAGCGAGTATTTGTAATACCTGGCAGAGATCGATCGTCATCGTTGGATGACACGTGCAGAGTTTGTGCAAGAACTCTGGGCGGCACTGAGTCTTGACTTGAATAGTCCGTTTTTTAACCGATGTCGCAGCGAATTGCTCGAATGTAACATGTAAAAGATAATCTTCCACACTCAGGACATCAAGAGTTTCTTTGGAGGCTCGAGACGCTCGAATATCTGTTTGATCTCTCCACACTGCGAAGATCCCACAATCAACCGTATGAGTCTAGCAAGAAGCTTCGTGTCAGACATCCACAGTAACGATGCTTCGACGCACTGTACCTTCGTTTCGACATGTATTCCTCTAGAATGATCAGCAGGCTGATGGAAGTATATTCTTTGAGATATGTATCCATCGAAATTTGATTCAACCAATACCACCCAACATTTTCCAGTGACATCCATACCTGGAAAGTATAAGAAACATTTTCAAGTGAAGATCTGCTTGGCACAAACCAGTCCCTGGAAGACTCTTGATTCCCTTGCACTGTAATGCACACAGAATCCTCTCATTCTGATTTAGTAAATCCATGAAGTCTATTGGGGCGTAAGAGTGCTCTTGAATTCAAGATTCCAATGACCTGGTGAAGCTGTTTGGTCGGCATTGTGTAGGTCTAATGTATCAGCTTCCGCGTCGATTCTCATGATTTCTTCTACTCGATGTGAAAGCTCATCTGGCGTCACATGCAGCCAAATTGATTTGCTTCTCCTCGTTATGTAATCCTTGTCAACGAATGGTTTCACTGAGTTTGCATCATGAGAAAGGATTGATACCTCAGACAGTCCCCCTTCGCTGCTCCAAGGCGAAGGTAGTTCCACTGCCTTCTTGTCAGAGTGAACTCCGACTTTCATGATCTGTTCTCTAGAGTCCTGCCTGTCATCCAGCAATCAGCGCTCTCACTCGTGGAGGCAGCAGGTGTACATGTCATGCAAGACAACCGCTGATTCGCTTGAATCATGCTGCGCAGTTAAGATGGCATTCCCCTTGCTGGTTATCCGTCGATATCCTGATCATCAACGATTACACATCGAGATGTTTTTTTTTAGTGTCTGTTCACCTTGGGATGCATCCATGAAATGTGAAGCATTCTGAGAGAGCATCGTGTGAGCAATTTACACATGCCAATTGAGAATACGTCGATATTGGCATCTTGTGGATCAGAGAGAGCCGAATCCAACCTTATTTCCTCCTGCATTGACGATGATATGCACTTTGCCGTACAATGTTCATGTACCTGCCGTTGTTCTTCCTGCATGTCCGTCCCACCACCAGACGTCGCGAGTGATAGCTTCGGTATTTTGACTGCAGCAATGATGAGTTTCTAACTCGTCTGCACGATTCTCACGGCAAACCTGTGGACTTGAATTGCTCTGAAGCCTCATAAGGAGTATCAGGAACAAACATCTCGCTCTTGTGGGACTGCTCCATCGTGGAGAACTGCGAGAACAGCAACAGATCTTAACATTCGATGCAAAGATCCATCAGTGAGATCGAGCCATACCCCGGTCAAGTGCGAGAAAGGAGTGTTGCTGATATGCTGATCGCCCTGTCCTCTCCTCCGACTAAATTCAGTTGAGTGAGTCGCCTTGGATGGCGCTGGAGTCTCCATGTTGACAACTGAGAGATCGCCGTCACTCCCTCGTCAAGGAGATTTAAGATCAGGAAAGTCTGAACAGGCATCACTAAATCCTCATCTCATCTCGTCTCATCTCGTCTCATCTCGTCTCATCTCGTCTCATCTCGTCTCATCTCGTCTCATCTCGTCTCGTCTCATCTCATCTCATCTCATCTCATCTCGTCTCGTCTCGTCTCATCTCATCTCATCTCGTCTCGTCTCATCTCGTCTCATCTCGTCTCATCTCGTCTCATCTCGTCTCATCTCGTCTCATCTCATCTCATCTCGTCTCGTCTCATCTCATCTCGTCTCGTCTCGTCTCGTCATATCTTCCCTTTCTCCTCCTGAACTCTCCTCCTCGCGCCTGAACTCTCCTCCTCCCTTGTCCTCTCTTTTGTGTTTCTACTCGTCGCTGTAGTCGGAGTCGGCCCCTGGATCTTCCGGCGCCTAAGCAAGGCGAAGGGCTCGAGCCCACCTCAAAGCATCTAGATTAGATGGAGAAAGGCAGCAGTGGTATGGTTAATTGGTTCCTGTGCTGCCTTGCGACGGTACTCAAGAGTCATCGACCCGGCTGCAACCCATCAGCTTCGGCTGAAGGTTGTCAAGTCGCGACAGCACAAATGAAGCAGCACAATGACAAGTTTGTTTACTTCCGGAGTTTGATAGATTGCTTCGAGTTGTCAATACCTTTGACAACGTCGATTACAATTTCGTTTGATGCCTTCTCAGACACGTAATTAACAAGCTCATAGAATTGCATTTCAGTCGCTTTGATTCCATCCACTGCGGTCAATTCATCTCCTCGAATAAGCCCCGCACGGTGAGCAGAAGATCCTTGTCGCACCTGCTCCACAGTGAGTCTGATGGATGCATCGTATCACGTGTCACCTCTTCCACAAAAAGATGTTGCTCTCCATCCCATGATACTTTATTCGCAAGAGTGAAGCCAAACACATCTGGATTTGCCGATTGCTGGTTGTACTTTGATTCAATTTGTAACATCGTTTTGTTCAGTTTTTCGATTGCTGTCAAATTGATTTGTTCCATCCTCTCAACGCGCTTCATATGTGTAATTGTCATGTTCTCAAGTTTTTCTGTGCCTTCTTTCAGCAGCTTCGACTCCAATTGCTTTGAATCAGAGTGTCAATGACAGTGTAGCTATACCAAGAGTGACACCTGGTCGGACATCTGTTGTCGGATGTTCTTCACTCTTTCCACCATCTTTTCTTGCAGTAGGGACCCTTGTCTTTGCTGCTCAGTGAGAGAAGTTATGGACTCCACCTGTCCCTTGAATGTCATCCACGATGCAAACAAGGCGACTGAGTGACCAAATATCGAATTTGCTCGGAAAGCTTTGGGATACCGCTCCGCGTCAACTCATTTTCCAATGCCTCCTTCTCCTTTAAAATTCTATCCACGTCAGCCTAGCAACAAAATGACTCAGAAGAATTCAGCGGAATGCTATTGACCAGCTTCTCTTCACGCTCCTGCTTTGCAAAGAAACCTCACCTTTGACCAAGAAATTTCTTTGACAGGTATCTCAGGCAATTCCAGGGAATGCATTTCGCTTGAACTCAAGGCATCAATGTCAAAGAACTCTCCATCAATGCCTCTTGTTGGCATATTTTCTTTGCTTCCAAGTTTGTCCTGAATTGTTGAGTCATTACAGTGGAGTTTTACTGGGGAAACGGCTTAGAGGGATTACCAAAAATTCTTCCGGTGGAAGTTCACATATGGCCTTGGATTCGTTGTACAGTATCTTCACAATCGCTTCCTGATTGAAATCATTTTCATCCTCCCCAAATGGGTCTGCCATATTGTTTGCAACCTGCCGATAGATTCAAAAAGAAACTAGATGACACTTTCAATTTACCTCAACTAAACCAAGAATCAAATACGCAGTCACCGGGAACAAAAAACATGACCACAAATTTCCCTTTCCGTTGTTCATGAATAGCGAGGCATATGAAATGAAAAGAAGCTGAATTTTCATGGCAAAGTTGACGATATGATAGTAAGGAAATGGCACAGGAAACATCAAGGAATTATCGATCTGTGACAAGATGCCACGGATATTAATGATTTCTTCCTTCAAAGCAGTTATGACACTTGTTTGTTCATACTCTGAGTCCAACATAATATTATTCTTCTCCCCTGATGGCTCTTCTGCCTGCATGATTCTCTGCAAGAATTGAAGAATTAAATATCAAACAGAGAAAATCTAGATGCTACCTTTAGTGTAATTATACTCCAGGAAAGCAGTATTTTGTGTTTATTTCCTGGGTATGCAACCAAAGAAGAAGCCTCAAGACGGACGAGTAATCCTTTAGGTATGATTTCAGCATTGAGAAATTCACTCAATGTGCCAGGATTTCTTGCAATAAACTCTGACTTTCCCCAGTCGTAAAATCTCCTTTTGATCGACCAATAAAAAATTTCATGCGATGCAAGCAGATATCTCATCACGGCCCCTTGCAAAAACTCAAGTCAGAATCTTGATCAATATCAAAGTAATCCGCTCACATCTATGATTTGTATGCCGGAAAAATGCTCGCAGGTACACGGAGATATTGTGAAGCTTTCCATGAAGAGCGATGATTTGATTGTAAATGGATGAATATCGACCAAAACAACTGCCTGTATAGAAGACGACCAACAAGGAACACAGTGCATTAACCACTGCCAGATCACTCATAGAAAGGGGATATTTACTCAATTTTGCTGCGACTGTTCCACAGCCAACTTTTGCTTTGTCATCCTTGGAGCACTCGTCGAGGCTCCTGACAGTGTACGCGATCCAATGAGACAAGCAGATCAGCCAGTAGGCTGGTGACTTGAAGACTAGCCACACAGCAGTCCCTTTGACTTTAAACAAGTTGATGAGCGAGCGGATCTCGTCATATTGCTGTCGCACAATCAACTTCGCTTTGACGCCTTTCAAATCTAACGAACGTCGCAGGTTGCTAGGCATGTCAAGGGAAGAAACAATGCTAGGAGCTCAAAGATGTCCACAAGAGGAGCTCGCTTCTCCTTCCTCTCCGTCCCGTCGCCCTTCCTACTGCGCCTCCTGAAAAAAAAAGGTCATTTGTCAATGATGTGTCGGTTACGACTGAATAGTCGCGCATAACGGGCAAGGGACAATGGCAGCAGCCTGGGTCATCGCCATACTGGGGGTGATGGGGATGGCAGCGCCCATGGCGAGGGCAGACTACCTGAGCGAGTGGACAACAGCCTTAGCCGATGCCAAGAGTGTGCTCATCGCTGCTCAGGGGAGCTCCGTCTTCTGCAGAAGCAAAGACGAATATGTACAAGATGCGGTGAAGCGTGATGGGTATTTCTTCTGCCAAGACTACGTTGACTATGCTGCTGCCTGCGATGCACAAGACCCCCAGTCCTGCAACAACAGGTTGGATTTTCCACGCTCGTCGTGTTATGGAGTTGTCTCGTGGTTTGACCAGCAATCTTGCAGATTCGCAATAGACATGTTCACTAATTTCCAGCGTGCCATGAACATGTACAGTTGCGAGACTTATAGCAAAATATGGACTTGCTCAAATTGCACTGATTCTTACAAGAGGTGGCTGTGCTCACAGGAAAGATCAACTTTGCTTGTTTCATAACCCTGATCAGATTCTACAGATATACAAAAAGATGTATCTTCCAGGGACGGAAAGAATAGAAGAGGGAACAGTTCATGGAGGGCAAGCTCCAGGCGCATATGCTGTCACATGTCCATATCCTCCTGCTTCCATGGTGATATTTGACAGCAAACAAGATGCCATCTCTGATAGGAAATCTACGCAGACGGATGACAACGCTCGGAAGGAAGCAGCAGCAGCTAAACCACATTATGTCAAGGTTGACGTATTGTCACTCCACGTTGATGCGCTCACACTTCTCTTCCGGTTGAGCGCAGCTTTGCAATGGAATGTCGAACAAGACACTCAACGATCTAGCAACGACCCCTGAAACTGCCTGTGGGGGTCAGGTACAGAGCTTTTTTGCTGCAGAGACAGAAGATTGATAACTTCATATAGGCTGCATGCGAAGGAAATGTCTATCTGGACAATGCTACTTCATCTTCTGTGGATGACTTCTACGTTGGAAGCATCATTGAGATTGTCTCTGATAGTGAATACAATGGCCAATGGGCTGTTATCCAGAAGTATAGTGGCTATGCGCGGTAAAATGGTTTATTGCGACGCAACACAACTTACATAGATCAAATTGGGCAGGATTGCAATGTTCAAGAGCTGGAATCTGCCCTCAGGCTCAGCGTTGACCAGTCCCGGACTTCCGACAGCTTCTGACAAATACAGAATCTACCTCAACGACATCGTGAGGGGAAAATGCAGGTTTGCGAATTCGAAACTCGTGAGATTTAATTCCCACATAACGATTTTTGTTAATTCAGAGATAGTCAGAATCCAAAACAAAGACTAGGGAAAGCTTGTGAGTTGGTCAAGTACCCCGGGCTGGTCACGTTACCCAAGCAATTCATGTCGTGGAATGTTCCACACTATGCGATTTCTGACAATACCACAGGGGTGGAACAAGATGTGCAGATTCTGAACAGTGTATTCCAATCGATCCTTCATTTGCATCACCGGTGAGAAAGTTGCTGTGCCAAGCAACCAATGAACTTTTTATTAGACGGCAAAAAATCTCTTTGACAGTGCGGGGAATCCCAAACTCCCCGATTCAAATTATGCCTGCTGCCCACGAAATGGGTATGCAATGATTGATTTGAATTCTGTGGTCAAAGACATATTTCAGGTTTGACATCTCGCTTGTTGGAACTGGTGAAACCTGGAGAGTATATGAGTTGGTTTCCGGAAATTCGTCATCCGGACAAATCAATCATACCTGCACGTATCGCACAGGGTCATCGTATGATGTGATGCGTTTGACTTCATGTTCACCACCCTTCACTTGCTTACGTGTGCTCTCAATAACAGGAAGCAGTTGCATCCACAGCTCTGGTGGGAAGAAATGCAAAGCTGGCAACTCAAGCAATCGAGGCTTCAGGGTAAGAACGTGTCAGTCTGACACAAGCATACACAATTACAGCTCTGATGCTTTGAAGTTGTATCTTCAACTTTACCAAGACAAGAGATTTTGCATTAGATTTCTGCGTCTTGAAGACTTGTTTCCCGGTGCCTTGACGTCCTGACTTGCTTGAATGGTTTCTTACGGACGAGGCTGGTCAGGTTTGCATGGACGTCGTTAGAAGATGTCCTCTGGAGGTTGAGTTCAACTGCCCTACCGACTCCGACAGGAGAGAATACGACTATTCGGCTTGCAACATCAACCTGGCAGAAGGTTGCTCCATGGCCCTAATCTCCAATGCTGCGGACGCAAAGCTGGACAGGGCAAAGGTCATGCTGATCATAACGAGCAGATGAGTGAGAGGAGATACAGGTTGACTGTTGGGATCTCAACGTGGGAGGATACGGCCCCACGTACACGCAAGGCCCCAGCATCTTCGGACTCCCTCCAGGTCCGCTGAATTTGAGCGGCAAGCATGGAGGCAACAACTCAAGCTGCTAACAGGGGCAACATGTAAGAACAAAGGATCAAACGTTGGGATAGTGGCTATGGAGCCGCCGAAGCTACCTCCAGCACCAGGTACAGAGTGATCCTGACTCGTAGACCTTGAATGACTTGATGGAAACTTCAGGTCAGAAGCAATCTCCCAACGACTACTGGGAAGAAAGAGCAGACAAGGACAAGAAGCTTTTGCGATACTTCGATCCTTATGGTGCAAAGGTGCTTCAAGGTTGTCTCCAAACGTTTGTTCACACCCTTTGCAGTCAACAGTGATGTGTGCAAAGCCGACATGAAATTGTCTACAAAAAAACTAACCAGCTCCGATCTCCTTTCTTTAAGATCTCCTTATCTCTTAGTCCCCGTCTCACCTCTCTTCATCGGATTTGTTGATCGATCGTCCAAGAGGGAAGAGCCTGGCTTCAGTGTAGCCGTAGCCTCGAATCCAGATCCTTTCCAGATCACCCTCGGCAGGAGACGAAGGATCCTTAGCGCCTGTGAGCGACTTGTCGAGCTCTGCCATTCTGCTTTTGATGCTTGAGACCTCGTCCTGAATGAGCTGTGTGGTTTCAAGGTTGCTTTTTGCAGCTTTGAGCGCTTCTATCTCCTTCATCACACCATCCAATCTTCCTTTGATACCTTCGATCTCATTAGATAGTGAATCTCTCAATTCGTTCAGTTGGTGAATGCTCAAATCTGAGGAATTCACAACCTCACGTGGAACGAACTGTTGAGGAGTAGCTTGCAATAATTCAAGTTGTGCCAACCTCGACTCCAGGTCATGCATTCGTTTTGACATCTCGTTCTCTGCCTTGTTGTCTTCCAGTGCATCGAGTCGACGTGCTATCTGAGCGAGCAGGCTCTTGAGAGACTCGTCGCTACCATCATTCACATTGGTGGAGATCTTGTCCAAGAATCCTATCTCGTCAAGCAGACGTCGATGAGCATCCGACCTGCGAGATAATCCTTTATGCAATTCACCACAAGAAATGCTTTCAGCGTTCAAACCTCACAAACGAGTTTGTGTCGACTCCTTTTGGACTTTCCAGTCTGAGATCTAATGGCTGACGATGTGTTTGTTTCAAATTGTGGAGTAATCTACACAACGCATCAACTTCCTCCTCCTGCCTTTCCTTCAAGGTTTTTTGCTGGATCATTGTCTCAATTACGGCTCGTGTCCCAGCATCTTGCAATGCTGCATTGAGAGTTGATGATTTTGCCCTGTCTTTCTTAGAATATGAAGCTTTTAGTTGCGTTTCCTCTGCAATCAGTCCGAGCTCTCTCATCAAATACTTATGCCTTGACGACCTTGCAAATAAAATCATGCTCTGTTCAGGCAAAAAAAAAGGTTTGTTTTTGTAAACTTTTAGTCAGAGTGGCAGACATACTGACCCTCAACTAATCTGACTGGACCTTATATGATCTGATCATAGTATGATATTCTTTCTAATCTGATCATGCGGTATGATCTCTCTGATCATCTCATCTCGTCCCTCTCGTCTTGTCTCATCTCATCTCATCTCATCTCATCTCATCTCATCTCATCTCATCTCATCTCATCTCATCTCGTCTCGTCTCGTCTCGTCTCGTCTCGTCTCATCTCAATCATTTTCGTTCTTACCCCATAAAATTCGCCATCCGATCGCCAGTGCCACGGTGGGCCGTTGAACCGTCTCAATGGCTTGACAACTGAATCAAACCACATCCCCGCCCATATTGCGTAACGGATTAGAAACGGTACAAACACCCGACCAAGAAAATGGCTGAGCACCGACTGAAATGCGAAGGAGGGGGAGAGATAAAGGCAGGGCTGCTACAGTGGGGCAAGAGCATTCCTTGAGCAAGAAGACTTGGTTTCCATTATCTTTGTCTCTAGCCTCGTTGCACATCAGCTCTCGATGGAATCCAGTGCAGACCAGGCCGGCTCCAAGTGTGCTGTTGTTACCACAGTCCGTGGAGTAGATGCAAAGGTAACTCGACCAATCGATCCAACCGCTGAGCCTCGAAACCTGGTGTAGGAGTTGAGGTTCTTCCTGACGTGGCACCTGCATCTCGGATTTGAGTTCATCTGGGTGTTTTTTGATTTCTCCGAAGGAGCTCAGGGGGCTGACGAGGAGACTGTCAGAGTATACGAACGATTGCTTGATGCGATGCGATGAGATGATGGTTCGATCTCAGATGATAGATGAGCTCGAATTCCGAGGCCGGGTCTTCAAGAGCTTCTCAAACGACGAGCTCAGGGAGGAGCAGCGGCGAATCTGTAGGAGCTGGGAGAGGTTGCAGGCTTGTTTGGACGAAGTTCCTGCCAGGTGAAGTAGTATGGATGAGGACATGGCAGGTGTGACATTGATACTGTACAAGGCAAGAGCTCAATGCAGATCTCGCTATCACAAGGGCAATGCAGGCTGGCGCACGATGGATTTTGCACTTGGACTCAGACGAGTTGTGGTTCCCTTATAGCAGCGAGGATGCTGACGTCTTCTCCCAACGGATGGCCAGCAGCTCAAACTTAGTTTCTCAACATTTTGATGGTCTGGAGAGACAGGGGATAGGCCACATCACCTATCAGGTTCTTGTGCCTCTTCTCTTCTCTCTCTCTACCTAGTGATGGTTTTTCTCAGAATGTTGAGGCAGTTCCCGAGAACTTGTCGGTCACAAACGCCTTCGCCGAGGCGACCTTGTTCAAGTGCCATTTTACTTCCCTTCCTCTGACGCATGATGCCATGGTGACGCTCAAGGAATGGACCAGCAAAAATAAGGTGCTGGCGCTGCCGACACTTCCTCTTCTGACGTTCGAACTTCAGAACGGCCAATTCTTCGTGGGATATGACAATGGGAAGTCAGCTGTTCGCCTTTTGAAAGGCGTTACAGTGCGAGGAGTACATTCCTTTCATCTTCCTGACGACGTTGATCTGAAGTATTCAAACTATATCGTTGACGTCCGTTCCAACCGAAATTTCTCAAGGCCTCCTGAACCCTTAATGGTGGGTCCTCGCAAGTAGTCTGCGCATGCCATCTTAGATATTTTCAGGTCGATGGATGCATTTTGCATTATATTTCTTGTGGCTTTCAGAGGTTGAGCTGCAGAAATGAGTGATCTAGTCATCAGGAATTGGTTACTCGCGTTTGAATAGGTGGTACAAGAAGTATCAGAGTCTGGGTCCCTTCAAGGATTCTTGGTTCAACGGAAAGGTTATTTTCATCATTCCCACAGACAATTTTTCTGAACTGAAATCAAGATCAAGATCGGAAATTGCTTCCATTCAGAAAGCAGAGAAGTCGTTTCTCAGCCGCCCGCACTCTCAATGGCTGACCTACCTCTAGGTGGTTTCACAGCAAACTCAAGACGAAGCGAGGGCTTGGTATGCCAGGCAGATGATTCCCTCCAAGTCTCTTGTGCAAAAATCTATACAGCATGGAGTCTGCAAAAGGTGATAGGATTGCTCTGTGATTGTTCTTGAACTCACACGCCGTGCCAGAATCTTGTCAGTTAGGAATTACAGTCAAACTCTGTTCCAAGTGCCTCCTGAAGAGGAAAACTCTCTGGCTGAAGAAAACTCAAACTCAGATCCCACACAAGAACTCAACAACCAAAACGAGTGCTCAGAAACGAATACCGCCACGCATGACAACGGTATTACAACAATGGACAGGCTATGGTTGCTCTCAGCAATTATCAACAAGCATTGTTCATGATGTAACTAGTTTCCAGCAAGAAGCAGTGGCTTCCAATGAAAGAAAATCAAGATTCCATTCTTTATGAATACTTGCTTACAAATCGGAATTTACCCGAGGGCGTGAGAGATGCTCTGCTAGTCTGTGAGAGGTTTGGAAGGTCAGACCAGCGAAAGACAGTCGCACGAGAGGCTCACAGGAAACAAGTCTGCTCGATGCTGCTGATCGGACCTCTGCCTCATCAAATTAGAGAGGATTGGCCTGAGCGATTCTCGGAACCTGCAGATGCATTATGACAACGAATGGTGTCCTCAGAGATCTGCTGCTCTCACATCAAAACCTCCACGTTCGGAGTCATTGCTCCGCTCAGCAACGAGCTTCTATGGCTGTAGGCGCAAGAGGTTCTTGCCGACAAAGGGCGGACCGAAGACAAAGAAAGCTTCCTGGAAGGAAGTTATCCCGAGACCAAACAATGTCCACATCCTTACCCGGCTGCTCCTCCACTTTCATTCTTCTGCATTCTGGCCCGAGCAGTTTGAGGTCGGATAAATCGCTGATACTGGGGAGCGGAGAAGTTAACTCTTGCGCTAGTTGGTCTGTTTGATTTCTGTAGTTTGTCTTTTGCGACAGCTGCTGAGAGAATGCCTGAGCTGAGATGTAGCTTAGGCACTTGCTCAGGCACTTGTTTGTCATCTAAGAAACATCTCAGGACTGAGCGTTCGTTCCCAAGCAGAAATCATGACCTGTAGACAGGTCAACAGTCTCCTTGAAGCTGCTTGCTTTGCTGGGCTTGGATGAAACTGTGAATGAACACTATCATTTGCCATCGGGGAAAATTGTCCATTCATACTGGATCGCATGGATGCCCTCATATTTATCTCCCTTATTCTCTCCCTGAACGAAGAAACCCTGAACGCCTCCATCACTTCACTCACACAAATCCTCCCCATTCACTTTTGTCGTGCAGATACAGGAGAAATTGCGTCTATTTTGCTTTCAGCACTCTCAAAATCCATGGCAAAAGTTTGACCTGCAAAATCCATGGTTATCAAAGTTCCCAGTCGCACTCAGTCTCTGCTAACCAGAAGCATGGCTTGCTACGGTAACAGCGTCAAAACTAGTTCCTGAGCCCACTGTCCGTTCTAACAAATCTTGGTCTGCTTGATTGTTTTCTGCTAATGCATCTTGTATAGCCCAGTACCTGTGTTGTAGCAATCAGGTCCAAGACAACGATGGAGAGCATTTCTCTGGGCGACATGGATCGCGATTTCACGAAGAGGATGCAGTTGCCGATCTGTTCCCTCATTGCCGCATCCAGTTGATGATTTTCCAGCAACCCTTGGAGGTAATCCTGCAACATCACAGGAAAGCATCGTCAGATATACATGTCATTCACATTTGTTGATCAACTCCATATGAAAGGGTTCAATAGTACCAGATCGGTTTTATATCTCAATTCGTTTTCAAGAACAGCCCCTTTGTTGAGACGCAGCCATTTGCCTGAATCAAATGAGCTATCGAGCTTGTTCCATGCAATTCGAATTACAATCTTCGATAATCAGGACTGGTCCATCTTCAGGTACGTGATTTTCGATCCCATACGGGTTGGTGGCATTTTCAGGCCAGTTGTCTAGTATAGGAATGCTTGTACGATCAATGTCAGTCTCATGCAGGAGGAAACGATCACAACCGCAAGCCCTTCTTCAGTCGACTGAGGTGAATTTTAGCCTCTCCTAGCGGTTGAGCAGGAAAGAAATGTTGAAGATCACTCATCTCTTTCTGATCAAAGAAGCGCAACCACACGACACCTGCGTAACGTTTGACCCACAAAACGTCGCTGAGCGTCTTTATACCATCCGGAGAATAAGAGCCACGGATCTTCTTTCCATTGAGAGCCATCGGCCACCAGATCGGGTTTGATTTGCAGGCAACAGTTTCAGACTTGTAGACCTATATAAGAAGCATGCGACGGTGAGCCGAGATACACGATGAACTTGATTTCACAAACCTGCTTTTCGCCTTCAATACTATGTCTCCAGATTTCGAAGAAAGTGTTTGGAAGGTCATCTTTCTTCCTTGCAAGACTTCGTCGGGGTCGAAGCAAATTTTCAGCTCGAATGTTTAGGGTCACCCAGACTCCATCTTCAACGACATCATGGTGAGAGCCGTTGATAGTCAAGAAGCCTGTGTTCTTCGCCTGATCTGCTGATAGAAAAGGGAGTTTCATAACTCTTGCAGTCCTGGAATTTACAAGGTCATCGAGAAGAAAAACGCATTCACCGAGATGAATTCCTACGATTTCACAGGTCAAGAGTATGTTTTCAATTCTTTCTCTACAATACCGTTCTTGATATTCTTGGCGTAACTCAGGGCTTGTACCATGAGCTGCTGTTGTACCCCAAACCCTTTGTATCGAACGAGAACAGATCGAGAGAAGGTTGGATGACAAGTGTTTGCTGCAGACTCGGTTCTTCCAATCTCTTGCCATTTTCCACTATCAAGCTTCTCCTTAACAATCAGCTGCCCATACAAAAGTCAATCAGACGACAATCTGACATATTTTTAATTTCTCACAAACGGGTTTGGATTTACTAGCATCTTGGGTTGTCTATAAGCCTTGATATGCCAAAGTTGGACCAAATTGCTACAAAATGTTTCAGTCTCGGAAACGACCTGAGGTTCGAACTGCTGACCTACAACTGAAGAACAATTCCATGTCATCTCCTGCAGTAATTTTTGGTTGCATTTTTGCAGTGAACGTTGCCCCTTCATGGTTAGCATCCTTTCCCAGCAAGGACGTTGACGTAATTACTTTCCCATTGATCTTTCCTACCGTCAATGGCTGACAAGTAATTCTAAAACTGAGACAGAACATCAATGATCAATTTCTGGGATGTAGCCAACTTGCAGATCAGAAACTTACATGTTTTCCAGCGCCTTTTCAGCTTCATAGCCTCCCTTTTGATGTGCAACGAGGCTTTCCCCTTCTGCCACCTCCACGACGTCGATCAATTTGGTGGACATGCGAAGGATGATAGCAATCAGCAGGGCAGTCAGGTCATCTCAACAGTGAGAGATCGCAGGGGAGTGAGTCTGGTGGTAGCAGAGGTCACGCCCTGAGGGCTGCAGGCGAGTCACGAGCTGATGGTCCTCTGCCATGCCTGGCCCTAAAACTTTTGAGATCAACGGCTGGATCCCTCATCACCCCCTCAAACTTAAAAGTGTAACTGTGCAGTAACGATCAAACTTGGTTTCAAAAGTTTCGGCTGTCCAAGTTCCAAAGTTTGAAGGTCACGGTTCATCGCATGACCCTACCAAGGCTCTGCGAACAACGGTCAGGGCATGGAGGAAGGCTGCAGATCAAGGGGCGGAAAGAATGAAAGGGGCAAGTTTCTCGGTCAAAGCAAGTAATGGCCAACGACAGACAAGCAGAAGAATAGATCAGTTGTCTAAACCAAAGTATCTGGTGAGGAAGAAGCAAAATGCTCAAACCCCACTCATAGAAGGAAAAGTAGAATCGAACAAGAGCAGCGTACCTCATCATTCTGTGGTCTTCAGTGACGCTAAGGGATCGGGTAACAAGAGCTGGTTTCTCTTGTATTCTGCCTTCAACTTCTGGAGGACTGATGCATCAACTGCCGTGCGACAAGGTGGCAACTTTTCATCTCCAGATGCTGGCAAAGACGCCACAGAGACGGAGAGACCTTACCTTGAACCCAAGGAGGAAACATCTGCAGCTCAACTTCCATGGGAGGATTTGATTCATGCGAAATGTTGTAGTCCATCTAACCAAGCGACAGCGTCTTCTTTGATAAAGGCCGAGAATCCTACAGATATCTCCTCTGAGAATCTTCTACTGCACGAAGGTTCAAACTCATGGATACTACGAGCCTCAGTATTGTACAGCGAGAACAACCATAAAGATACGTTGAGCCAAAAGATCTTCAACCAAGAGGATTTAAAATGCTCATCTGCATTTCATAATTGCGGACCTGTTGGCGACAAATACGTTCAACCTGTCATGAATCAATCATCAGACATTCAGTCATCAGATGTAGAATCACTCGATCTCAACAATTCTGAGATTGGTCAGCAGGCAAGTGACCATACGATAACCATGAACGTTGCTGGTTACACCTCTTCTGACAGCTCCAGAACGATACGGAACAACCTGGCAGAAGGAATGTTTTGTCCTTGGAAGAGATGTTTTCTCCTCAGAGTCACAGTATGACTTCGTAAGACAGATCTATTTTCAATATGAGAACATGAAATTCGTTTTCAGCTCTGGCGATGAACTCGATTTTTTGGAAGAGATCAATTCTTTTGAAAGCCATGCGAGCGATTTTGCTCCCCTCTCAAACAGCACAACATGTTCAAGTAAATAAGATTTCTTAGCTTTGGTATATTTCTGATTTTTTTGAAGATGTGATGCAAAAATTTCAGCTTAATGGTGCAAATAAGGTGCTGAAGCTGCATGTTGATAGAAGGAGCTGTGATTACTGCTGAAAACAGAGAGCAAATGGCGTTAATGTAGTAGAAAATCGCAAAGGTACGATCCTGTGATGTGGGTTTTCAGCCAGGAACTAAAGATTACTGGTAGCAATAGATATGGAGTTCGTGCATGATGAACTTTGCAAGATCCAATTCCAAACAATGCTGGCACTACAGGATTGGAATAACGTGTCACAGTCTTTGATAGATTCTTGGAAGGATGTCGAAGAGCACAAAGAGGTGAGAAGGGCTTCGATGTTTCAACTTTCGCATGATTAAGCATTGTTAATTATAGATGATTGCCGCTGCAAATGTCCGGGCGGAAATGGCAGAAACAGCTGTCCTTGAAGCATGGCGGGAATATGATGCTGTACAAGAAATTTTACAGGTCAGTTCTTCTATTTGCCTATTTCATCATGTTCTGTTTTCAGTATACGAAACCAAATGAAGAATTTCGTAAAAAGGTGCTGAGTACAAACAAGTTTCTGGGCGAAGAAATTGAAAAGAATGCTGATGTCAGTGAAATCCGATTGGAATTGATTTTCTTGTGACTCTGCTTGATGTTAGGGGACAAAGGATCTCTCTTTGGGAGACCGGAATTTTCATGAAGGCACATTCAGAAGTTTGAAATCCTGTATAAATGCTTTGGAAAGCATTCAAACGATCAGCGATTCTCTTTGTGTTATGGAATGCCTTGAAGATCTGTTGTACAAATTTGCAAATCAAGCTGTTCCAATTCTGCAATCAAACAAAATATTGAAAAATCTTGCTGTTGAAGTCCAAAATTCAAGCGAACTGGAAGAAGCACAAAGCCAGGTAGAGACTTTCTTGACATGAAATCAAGTGATTTACTTGCAAGCATAAAACCAATTGCAAGCATAAAACCAATTTCACCATTACCAGGTCGTCAGAAATTCAACAATTGTTTTGAGTGTTGAAATATTTACTTTTGAACAGGAACAAGGAATGTGTAGACATGAAAGACGATGGGAATGAACATACAGAAAGAGTCTTAGCGTGGTGGCAGGCCAGAAGGAATACGCTACAACTCAAGGCTCTTTGTTGGTTTGCATGGGTCAAGTTGCGGAGGAGACGCCAACTGACGCGTGTGAAGAGGAGAAAGCATGACATGCAACGAAAGAGAAACGCTTTTTCAAGGTCCGTATGTTGTCATATTGGTTGCCTGGTGACGCGGAGGCCTTAGCATGTACATGATTTGCAACTATAATCACTCCACAGCCAGATTGGCAAGTTTTATTAGTTGGAAATCAGAAAATGCTTTGATGAAAAAAATCTTTAAAGCATGGAGATCAAGTAAAATTTCTGAATGAGTTGTTGTCAGAAAATTTTGTGAGAAACGATTTAGACTTCAAAATGGGTCCCAATTGTCTTTCCTTTTTGCTCAGCCTGGTTATGTCTGCACTACCTCGGATAAACGGCCCAAACCAAATCTCATCAAGCTTGTAACTGTCTCATGGCAAAAGTCCGACTCTTTTGTTTCTAGCCAATGCATCAGCTCCTTGATTGGAACCCACTTATATCTTTCTACTTCAGCATCTGGATAGATGGTCAAGCGACTTGCTTCTTCATTAAGCTGTACAAGCCACATCCAAGTAAGTTGCCGGTCTCTACGTCCATCTTCGTATTGTCGGAAATACCAAATAGGATTTGATGTGATGTTAGTGTGTTTCTTGATTTTGTCGCGAAAAGTTGTTCCCAACTCTTCCACCAGTGCTCTGTCCACCAACGTCTTTGGATCTTCCCCCTCCTTCTGGTGCTCACCTACAAATCCCCATTTTTCAGGACAAGTTTTCAGCGTAGAAGCTCGTTTCAAAACAAGTATTTTGCCATCACTGTCGACAAGATGAATCCAGGCACCTGGAATATTATCAGCGTTTGACTTCTGTCACATGCAATGAAGTGTGCCTTTATGTGGTAGGCCAAGCGTGTGTGCTGCGTGGATGGGCATGCTGCCGTTAGGTATGAGCATTTGCGATGGTATCAAAGAGAGGTGACTTGGCTCTTTCAGACCATCTGCAATCTGATACACCCCGATCTCCTCCTTGTTGACATGTTTATGTGGCTCAAAAACATCCAGATTCCAAGAAACGCATGCGAATAATGCCGACACTAGAGCTGCCATCAGCCATTGAGCTTCCGAACGTCTTCTAGTTAAGGTTCTCATTGCGAGCTTGCACGGTTACGACCAAGACTCTCATCTCACTGGGTGCAACCGCTGCCAACTCCGTCTGATAATGCTGCTGATGATCGCCTTCATGCCCATGGATGATGACCGTACCCTGTTCGACGGTGACGAGTGATGAGTTGGGGGCCCAGCCGGGCCACGCCGCCGGTTGGCTTTACTCAAAGCTTGACCGTAGGCTAGGCAGGACTCGGCTCGGCCCGGACTCCCGGCCGGGCCGGGCCGGGCCCCAACCGCCGGGATGAAATTTCAAGTTTCAACCCTCAGCCTTGAACTAGCCTTGGTCAACAGGATTTGTTACGCGGCCACGAGCGGGCCTTTGGCGGCCCCCTCTCTCAATCACGAATTGATGAGTGAATGTATTGAATCAAAAGTTTTATGCGCCGCTACACCCACTACTATTGATCAGTACCATCACCATAGTACCTGCTACTTTCTGCCACCATAGTGTAAACGCCCTACTAGTCTTAAAATCGATTTTTTGGCGACCCCCTCACCCTGCAGGCCAAGTTGAACCCAGGTGACCCTACCCGGGCCTATACTGGCATTGACTCAAGGAGGACCACTACCTCTTGATTTACCCGTCGACCAAATTTCAGCCCCTTAGCTCAGCCCCCTGACTGATTCCACTACAGCCACATTTAATGCCTCTATACCCCTACCATGGTGCCTCAAGCCTGGATGAGCCCCTAAGGTGGTATACCGGTGCTACTACCACTGACCCCACCCCACAGTGACCGGCGGCCTAGCGAACGGAATGGATCCTTGAGAGCCTTCCTTCGGGTGGACCTACAGTACTAATAGTACAAAGGACCCCTGATTTGCTGATCTATCCTCGCGATTGACGTGGGTAGGGTCCTTCTGCTTACGTCGGTCTGAGTGGGTGCCACCTCCCAATCACCCGGGGGTGGCAACGAACGAGACGAGGGAGGGTAGGGTGTACTGCTGAAGGTTTTCTACCCATTTCATCCCCATGCATTTGAGGGGTAGGGGTAGATCCAACGCCCCCCCCTCCCCTCCTCTCCCCTTCCCTTATATCAGTCGCCTCCGTCGCCTCCGCTGTCACGCCATGCGCTGCGCTGTTCTCTTCGCGTGCGTCGTCGGGGCATCTGCCTATCTCGGCAGCCCTCTGCTGCCTAGACCTGCCACCCTTGCCAGGACCTCAGTTCCAGCATCGGCTGTTTCTCCCAGGCTCAACCTCCGTGTGCCTCGCAGTGGCCGAGTCAGCGGACACGTGAACGGGAAGAATGCACTCCGCATGCAGACTGCAACTGGTGTTGACACAGCTGCCCTCACTCGTGCAGCCAACGAGGCTCGTGGACTTGCCATGGACTCCATTGCTGCGGCCAAGTCTGGGCATCTTGGACTTCCGCTTGGCTGCGCTGAGGTAAATGTGCATTTGTTGTGTGATTTCCACTAACGTGTCAACTCTAGATCGGAGCCGTGCTCTATTCCGAGTTCCTGCAGCATAACCCCAAGGATCCTCAGTGGTTGAACCGCGATAGGTTCATCTTGTCTGGTGGACACGGATCCATGTTCCTGTACTCGTGGCTTCACTTGGCCGGCTATGATCTTCCCTTGGAGGAGGTCAAGAACTTCCGTCAGCATCATTCCATGACCCCGGGGCATCCTGAGTTCCCCAACTCCGAGCACAACACTCCTGGCATCGAGGCCACCACTGGCCCCCTCGGTCAGGGAGTGGTCAACGCTGCAGGAGCTGCTGCTGCACAGAAGATGGAGCAGGCCATGTTCAACACCAAGGATCACACCATCTTCGACTCTGTCACCGTTGCTCTTTGCGGTGATGGATGCCTCCAGGAGGGTGTTTCAGCTGAAGGTGCTGCTTTTGCTGCTCACGAGGGTTTGGACAACCTCATCATTGTTTACGATTCCAATGATGTCACTCTTGACAAGATGGCTGAGTACACCCAGTCTGAGGACACTGCCAAGAGATACGAGGCGTACGGATGGGAGGTGGTTACCATTGACGGTCACGATATCAACGCCGTCAAGTCAACCCTCGACAAGTTCAGGGCCTCCAAGAACGGCAAGCCTAAGCTCTTGGTGTGCAAGACCATCATCGGCAAGGGAATCGACGAGGTCGCTGGTACCAACGCTGCTCACGGTGAAGCCGGCGTGAAGTATGTTGCGGAATCCAAGAAGAGACTCGGCTTGACTGAGCCGTGGCAAGTTTCCCAGGACACATACAAGCATTTTGAGAATGTTCAGAAGAGGAACGAGCAGAAGTACAATGCATGGAAGGATACCTTCAATGCCTGGAAGTCTGCCAATGCCGACAAAGCAGCCCTTCTCGAGAAGTTCCAGAAGAAGCAGACTCCCTCTGCTGAAGAGATGTTCAAGGCCATTCCTGAGATTTCCAAGGGCAAGAACATTGCCACCCGTGAGGCTGGATCCATCGTGATCAACCACATCTCGGACCTCGTGCCTCAGTTCCTCTCTGGTTCTGCCGATCTTCACGGATCCAACAAGAACTACATCAAGAATGGCGGAAACTTCGGCAGGGGATTTGACAAGACCTATGCTGGAAAGAACTTCTACTTTGGAATCCGCGAGCATGGTATGGGAGCCATCATGAATGGAATCTCCTTCCATGGATTGTTCAGACCATCTGGCGCCACCTTCTTGGTTTTCGTCGATTACATGCGCGCTACCATCCGTGTGGCTGCTCTGGCTGAATTGCCCACCACCTACATCTTGACTCACGACTCCATCGGTGTTGGCGAGGACGGTCCCACCCATCAGCCTGTCGAGACTGTTTCTTCTCTCCGCGTGTTCCCCAACTTGGACGTCATCCGCCCGGCTGACCCCGAGGAGACCGTCGGAGCCTACGTCCATTCTCAGCAGCGCCAGGATGGTCCCACTGCCATCATCCTCACTCGTCAGAACGTCAAGACTCTCGACGAGATTCCTGTTCAGACCAGGCGTGAGGGTGTGTTGAAGGGAGCTTACGTCGCCAAGAAGGAGTCCGGGGCCCTCAAGATGATCATCATGGCTTCTGGATCCGAGGTTCAGCACGCTATGGCTGCTGCCGAGCAGCTCGGAGATGGCATCCGCGTTGTTTCCATGCCATCGATGAACCTCTTCAACAAGCAGAGCAAGGAGTACAGGGACTCGGTCCTTCCTCCTTCCTGCTTGAAGAGGGTTGCTATGGAGGCCGGTGTCGGTTCCATGTGGTACCAGTATGTTGGATTGGACGGAAAGGTTGTTAGTGTCGAGAGGTTCGGCTTCTCTGCCCCAGGAGACATCGTGATGTCGGAGCTTGGAATGACTGCCGAGAACCTTATTAAGGAATGCAAAGCGTACATGTAAGAGGTGACGTGTGCTGCTTTCGAGTTCCATTTCGAAATATGAATAAAGTTGACACTACACGCTACATGCTCGTCTCTGCAAACCTTCCTGATAATCTGTTGCGGTTGCGAGTTAGGCTATAACATGACTTGAAAGTTCATGATCCAAAGCTGATTCCCGATGATTGGCAAGAGTAGACTGTGACAGACAAGTCCACCTCATCACATGAAATACCAAGCCCGCCTCATTGCAAGGATTGAGGGCCCGAACCTACGCCATGGCGGTGCAAGTGGACAAGGCAGAGAGAATCTTGTTGCACCTTGAGAAGGAGCTATCTTCCATGAAAGCTCATTACATGGAAATTCAAGCCAACGACGATTATGTACACTTCACCGGAGATAGGAATGAAGATCCAGATGTAAACAACGCAATCGGGGTATTCCCTTCTTTCATACAAGCGCCACACTTCGAATGACTCGTGCTGAAATTCTTCTCAGATTTCGAGTCCTTTCATAGAGGAGCCAAGTAAGTTTTGATCTTTCTGGAAGACGAATACTGAAAATGATGATCTCTTTTGATTGAGCCAGGAAACCAAAGGTACATGGAAGTTGCTCTGTCGAAAACCTCACAAGCTGTTATTGGTTGCAGCCTTTGCTGGGATGCTACCGACTGGGATCTGATTACAGAAATCAGCTCCTGCATATCACCGGATGGAATTGATGAAGAAAGAATGCGCGGTATCGAAAAAGCTGTGAGACGTACAAAGGTGCTTCGGATATATCGAAAGTCTGTTACTCACGTTACTAAGAGAGTGGAAATCGTGAATCTATACGAGAAATTATCGAGTCTTCATTGCCTTGGATCAATTGAAGATTTTACAACTGAATCTCTATCTCCAGACATTGATACTGTACGATCAACAACTGACTTGCTGACACACATGATTCACCATGATGGCCAGGACGATATCAGAACACTTGAACATCGATTGCTTCAATTGCAGGACGAGGCAAAGCATCTGGATCAACTTGTACATGTTGTTTCAATAGCAGGTGTCTGCTCTCGTCTACTGATAGCTTTCGCGCTGTTGAAATATTTAGTTGATACGCTCAAACATGGCACACGTGGAAATCTGTATGATGATGTAGAAGAAGCGGTCAGTAGGAGATGTGTTGTCCTTGGTAGACGAGAACTGACCGTCATATCAGATTGAGCCAATTTCTAAAGTATTCCCCCAAGTCCATGAGTTGTGGATCGAAGTCAAACGTCTTCGGTCACCACGGAGGATCGAGCCGTAAGCATCGACTCATTGAGCGACTGACTTGGACCGTGCTTACTCTCAAAGCAGACAGCAACATGTCCTCCCTTCTGAAGAACATCAGGTTCCATTGGGCGACGAGTCTTGATAGTTTGTATGAGATAACACGATTTTCAGAGCAATGGCCAGACTGATGTAAACTACACATACGAACAGTCCGTAGATCGTGTATGACAAGCATGAGGCCATCTCTGATCTAACTCTCTTATTTCAGTCCCAAATCTTGCTGAAGGTCATATCCAATGCACATGAACAGCTGCAGGCGCTTAAGACAGTGATATCAACAAAATCTCACTATAGAATCTATGCCGCTGACTCACTCAAAGGAACTCAAAAATAACTCCGACACCTATGAAAGGCTCCAGCAAGAAAACCAAAGAATTTACAGTGACTTGAATAGAAAGAATTCGATGCTTCGATCAGAGGTAAAGCGTGTATTGCATTGTTCGAGAAGAATCTTGACCCTTGCAAGGTTCAATACCTTATGGAAACTTTAGACTGCCATTCTCCTCAACTCCACAGCTTCCTGATTTCTGAATTCGGGTCATCACGAGATACAAGTTTTCAAACGCTTCTGCAAAGAATACGAAGGTACTGTTACTGAGCACTGCGCTTGGCTAATTTCAGATGAGGATTTTTACATGTCTGTTGATGGATGTGAAAGTTTCACTTCCGGACAGCAAGGATGATTGCACTGTCAACACTATCGCCGTCGAGGAGATGGTGAAATCAACATTGCCACGGCAGGTCTGACGAAAAGCTCGCCAGTTTCATGAGGGGATGAAAGCGCACGACATGGTCGGCTCTGCAGTCTGCATGCTACCTGAGCAGTACAATGAGGTCGAAATGATGCTGAGGCAGCATCGGGCACGTTTGCAGCAACTGTTTGCAACGTTTGAGTCATTGAAATCAAAACTTACGGACGAGCTGCGGACTGCGTCAAGATCGGCATGCGGTCGGCTCATGGCTGAACGTGATGAAATCCTCAGATTGCTCAGGCCTGCAAGTGACACGCCAGCAGAGGTGAAAGAGGCGAAGTGGCTGGCAATTTTCATTTACATGTTGTGCAGATTCAACTACAACTAGACGATGAAGAGAACAGTAGAAAAGATCAGCGAGCGAGAACAGTGGTACCCCCTGCTAAACCTTCTAAATCTCGCTTTGTTCGACAGACCATAAGGAATAAATCGAAAGCGAGATAGCTAATTGAATTTCACACGGAGACGAAAATCACAGACTTTCATCGCTGTCGTCTTGAGGAACTTTCATACTTCCTCCAGCCCTCCTCGCCAAGCATTCAGTGATGTGCTTCCGAGCTTGAGGGGATAGGAGATGCCTGCGAAGCAGTCACAGCAGCACTAAAGGAGACGCCCCATCTCACCCAACGTTTTCTAATCCTTCTCTCTCATAATAATCCAAGAGGGCGTTTTCTGCTCTGTTTGCCCCAATCACCAAATGAGAAGCACACAGGTCTCTTACTTCTGAGTATTGTGTAGCGTTTGAGCTCTGTACTCCTGCTCTGAGATGTATTCTGGAGCTCCTCTGCAGTGAAATGGATTCTCGACTGAGAGATCGAGAGGACCGCTGGACCTTTATCAGCCCGGAAGGAACAATTTCACCACCGCTCACCTGTATTTCTCTTCGATGACGCTTCGCTCAATGGCCCTGTGCTTCTTGCTCGGAGTGAAGAAGGAAAGAGAGGAGTCTTGGAAACGACAGTGAGAGCAGAACCTTTCGTCACCTCGCTCACCGTCAAACGTTTCTCCTCTCGGTAGCTCGTCTGCGAAGTAATGAACATTCACATTCATGGTCAAGGGAGCTCTGCACCTGCTGTGCCTCCCCGTCGGGCAACTCTTCCTTTGCGTACCCTCCCTCTCCATGCAAAGCTCAACCAGCCGAAAAACTTGAAAATTTCCCAGAGACACAGAGCAAGGACCAACACGACCCCTTCCCTGCCCAAAGCAACTTTACACCCTCTCAAGTTGTGAATAATCAGAAAACATCGCTATAAGAGGTGCTGATTTGAGGAAATGTGCCGTTTGAGAAAATCCCTTAGATAGCAATCATACTACATGAATCTTACCTCTCAAAAGATGGAGACCCAAAGCTAATAATAGTGACGCAAAAGAATTGTAACAAAATCTGTGTGGGGTGCTCAGCACTTTCATCCGTATGGAAATGTGCACCTGGAAGATGAACATTCCTCGATCATCCAAGGGATTCAGATACGCGGTGACAAATCCAACCCTTCTTTCTTGTTCAGCTTCGAAGGATTTGATTCAAGTAGACTTACACGCCAAACAACGCAACAACGAATGCGGAATATTCGTTGTACAGGATGTTGGATATAAAGTTTTGCCAGCTTTTGAAGACATTGACGGATCAACCAACAACAAATGAGTAATGGAATGATTCAAATTGAGCTTAAGGATTACACAGCGCTGCTCCATGCCACGACACCCACGAAAAAAGCATTCCTGGTCCTGTTGATGTCTTAAACAATTGATCATTAGCCTCACAAAAAAAGTACCCCATTATTCTTCGAAATATGAAGAAAAATGCAACAGCTATACAAAAAAACTGCAAACAACAGATCAAACAGCGCAAGAGCACGAAATGAGGATACGGCAGAGAAAAGAGCTCCGAGTAAATAGTAGCAGTACTTCGAATGAGAAACAGAAGGCGATGCCAAGAAGAGCAGAATGGCAAATGTGACAAGTCCCAACGTGATGAGTTGCCAGTCGAGAGACATCTTCATGTAAGGATTCAAAAATCTCTTCAAGTTCAAAAATCTTCTTCAATCTCACTGTGATCGTAGTCTTGTGCGATGTCCGCCCTCGGAGACCGACACATAACTGAACTCGTCAGGGGCTGAAACGCAAGATGTAGGCTTCTTGCATACCTCTTGGAAAGGACTTCGACGAATTGTGCAATGATTCCTTGATCCGAAGGGGCTGCATGCGTTCTTCACTCCAATCATTTGAGCAGCCTGCTCTAGAAACTGATTCTCCCGATTGACCATTCTGTCAACAACAGCTTCCTACAATGACTTCAGTAACAACGCATCCAATCTGCCTCTTGCCGACTTCGGATGTTGCTGTCCACACTTGATAATGTTGTGAATCAAAGGGCTGAATTGTCACCTGTGTTCAATTGAGTGATATGATAGCATGGGATCACACTGTCATACCACGCGCGTCATGCCCCACCCGGTCCAGTCGATCAAGCTCTTGGGCTTGAAGCACCAGCAACTCTCGCTCTCGTCTCCTTGATCATAAAAATCAGAAGGAGACCAACGACAGCTACTTCGCCTGCTCACCTACTCCGTTCACAGACTGCGACCAAACTGGTTTCCCTCCTCCTTCGGTAGTCTCGCTGTGGATCAAATCGTCGTGAACTTCTGAGCATCGGATTTCTTGTCTCTGCCACGAGCTTCTCGCTCCTCCCACCAGTGACAGCTGGACAATCATGCTTGCGACGAGCAACGCCTTAGCCATCACTGCGCTCCTTCCATTCTTGATCCCGGTTCCCACCATTCTCACCTTCCTCAGGACCCCTCATCCCCACGAAATACTACTCACCGTTACTCCACCGTTGCAGTGTACATGTAAGTGGAATTCAATGGAGCACTGACTCCCAAGCTGTAGCTCGTCGCCCTCTGTCTATCCTTCATTCCTCCTCCTCTCCCCGCTCCCTCCTCTCCTTTCATGCTCTCCTCTTCTCAGAAGCTCTCAGAGCGTTCATTTCCCCTCCTACCTATATCGAATCTTAAATGGCTGCAACTACCAAATGATGGGGGACAGGCAGGAGACAAGTTAAGAGGCAGGAGCAGTGGCAAGGCAATGTTTGTGACAAGGTTCTTTACGATAGTCTTGAAAGTTGTGAACAAGACGCAGACCAAAGACAGGACTGGTTTTGCAGTATTCATGGCTGATTGTATCGAGTGTTTGAATGTCGAGATGGAGTCTTAAATCGTGATCTCTTTACAGTATCATGTCTTTGAAAGTTTTTTTTTTCAGATCCATTGTCAGCTATGGTGACATTTTCTGGATGGTCCTCCTTGCTTGTACTCTTCTTGTGCATCAGGTCCGTGTAATTTTACCGAAAGAATCTGCCTCATCGTGTTTGCAGACTTTCCGAGTCCTTCTTATCGCCGTCACCAGCAATCCGCAATCAGTTGCCCAAAGCATCCACCCCTTATTTCAGATCGCAGCTGCGGTGCCTCTCGCTCGGGAAAAGTACAAGCAATGTACGCATGTCCAGTTCCACAGGTCAAGTCGAAGAAGTAGAGCTTGTCAAGATTTTTGGAAGGTTGGCAGAAAAGATGATTTTTGGGGATGGAAGTGCAGGAGCATGCTGCCATAGTGGATGTGATGACTGTGAGTGGCGATATTCTTTTGACATCATGCAAGCGGCGAGGCCCAAGTGGATTCCATGTTACAGGTTTGCTTCATGGCAGAAAATTCCGTAAACCTGTGATTTGTTTGCAGCGAGAACAGATTCGAAGACGGAAGAGAGCATATTGCCAAGTGGTCCAAGCTCTTCAATGACGAGAACACGATCACCAGAGACACTTTGTACGAAAGACTCAGAGAGATGAAGTTTGAAATGCCCTTGGGTCCATCCGGTTACATGACAGCAAGTCAAGCTGAGCTGAAGGATGTGAGTGTTGAGAGCTGACATCTTGAACTTCTTAATGTTTTCGATGATATTTGGGATACAGGAAGCTTTAGATTTGTTTTGGGCTAAAATCTCTGCGAACAAGGACAAAGTCACGCCCAAACAGATGAGCATTCGTCTCAGGAAGATGGCGACCCCAGGCGAAGAAGGTGTTATGTGGAGCGACTTCGTGGCCTCAGTAAGAGCTCAGATCGGAAGTTTCGAAGTTGACTGTCATCTCAGATCCTTCACGAGGCAGATGCAGAGGTTGAAGAAGATCTGGATGCCATCGTGGTGTAAATCGGAGATACTTGAGTCATCGATGAAGATAAATACTACCTTCATCGTCAACACAAGCTATCCAACGTCGTTCGCGAGAGATGTAATCAAGCCAAGTGCACCAGTTCTGATGGTGTTTGAAGCTTATGAGAAATGTAATCAACTCGTGTATCATTCCCTCATCAGAATTACTTTGGTTCAGAAAGAGAGTACTCTATCACACCAACGAAAGCACGTGCGTTGTTGGCAGTAGAAACGTCCTCGAACAGCTTCTCACCGGGGCACAGACCAGCAATCATCTTGAAGTGATCGTTCTCATCAGTGACACCATCGATCCACTCGCCGAAATATGGATCCCCTTTCGAGTCCTCAGTGTCAACATTTAACTTTCTCCTTACAGCCAATCCAGTCTTCTTATTCGTGTGCAAGCAGAATCCCTGGAGAAACATACTATTAATGAAGGAAAGCAGACTGCGATGAGCTGAAACCTGTACAGTGTTTGCTGGGATATGAACCACAGAGTTGAGAGGAATCTTTGTGTACTGGGCTCGGCTATCACCAACTTCCACTCTGGGCAAGGTAAAATCTTTGTGCTGGATTGTACACAATCAGGTACCGCGTGGAAAATTTCAAGAATCAAACCTCCGCAATCCTTTTCCAAGGAGCTTTGTCTGTCTCCGAGCCAACGCAAGTTCCCTGTTTGGTGTAGACCCCGATGTCCAGGCGTGTTAGGTCGTCGAAGGAAGCGAAGGAGTGACCGCCTGCATGGAGACCTGTGATCCACACAGGACTGTCCTTGGTGGCGATCTCGAAAAATACTCCCCAATTCGCATTGGTAGTCCTTGGTCTGAAGCTCAGTTCAGAACGAGTAAGCCTTGCAAGCTGCAAAGCACCTTGTGATGAAAGACAAAACTTCCCCTGTTTCACTTCCAGCAACATTCGACTGCATCTGTGTTGAGGAGGTCCATCTGTTCTGAATCTTGGCTGCAGAACGCAAGGGAAATCTTGAGGGAATGCTGGAAATAGCCCCACATTTCTTTCCACCTAATACTTCCTCAGTGCGTGACAAAGAAATAGTGTCTATCGAGCAACCTGCGTTCAGAACTCCGAAGAAACTTGAATAAGCATCTGTCTGAGAGATGCCAAGCAAAAAAAGGAGAGTTGCACTCCCAAAGCGGTACATTTCCAAGCTCACTGCACTACTTCAAGCGTCCTCGAGCCAGTCTGGATCCTTCAAAGATATGATTCTTTGCAAAAAAGCAGTAAGTTAAGAAATCAAAATGGGCCACCATCGCGAATCAATAAAAAAAAATGAGTAAAAGGGCATTCACCCAAGAGTCAAGACCAATCATTTCAATGATCCTAGCATCCACTACTTTCCAGGAATGTTCAACTGCTGCCAATGCAAATGAAGTTTCTATTCGTTTAGACATTAACATCGTAACTGAGAATGACTTGCTTGACAAAATCCATTTTTCCTATCAATTTTCTCTCCCTCCGTCTCCTATCCTACTCATATCCTGCGGCCGCCCATTTTGGCCGCCGCATGGAGGAAAGCGCGTGCGTCGGGCTCCCCTCATCCCCTCACTTCTGAAGATCACATTTATATTACTCAAGTAAACTAACTAAATTTTAATGACCAATTAATCCAATTTTGTGGGGGGGAGCCACCCCCTCTCCTTTGCTGGACAGGAAGGGATTCATCAAATCTCTTTGTTCAATTTGGAATATGAGAGGACAATTTCATTTCTTCGCTGATGACACAGTTTTCAGGAGGACGCAACGGCACACTTTGGCACTGAAATCATTGAGTTTGATTTCGTAGGAGTAAATTTGAAAAAATAACAAAAAACAATTGAGTTACAAATCATGCCTACACGCCGGATCAGTTTTCACTCAAAGTACCGGGCCGCGGCGCCGGCTCCGGGCCGGGAGGGTTTAGGTAGGGAGTCGACAGGAACTTTTTTTCTTAGAAGCACACTCGCACGTGCCGTCTTGCCGTCAGTGATGTACCACGGTACATGCGACGATTGAGGAAGCAAACATTGCGAGGTGAGACATGGCTGGATTCCTTGCTCCTCCTTAGCTCTATTTACTTCACTTGAGCCTCACCATACCCCATCCTTCCTGCTTCTGAGCCCAGATATCACAACCCCTACTCTGAATATCCTCTATCTTCATCCGTGCCTTCCATACCTTCCAGAGCTGTGAAGATACAAATATCACACCATCTTTCGCCTGAATATCCTTGATGAAAGATGTCCTGCAATTCTGAGCTCATGTTACATGATTAATTGGTGGATTGACAACATGTGCAACCCCGCTAAGAGCTTCTCATGCAGGTTTGAAGGAAGTGCTACTGTTTCCTTTTTATTCTTGGGTTGGGCCCAATCGAGGTTCGAATCCTTGAAAGAATGACAAATGCCGGAATTAGAAGTGTCAACATCGCATTGTCCGTGTACACTCATTTTTGTATGATTAAACCACAATGTTTGAAGCTAGTGCAATTTAAGACAGAGTCCCTCCGCAAGAACAAGAGCAAAATGACCCCTTCTCGGAGTCCTCAGCAATCTGGAGATAGCCAAGATCAGATAATTTCGAGGATTAAAAAACGATTTGATACCTTCTTTGCAATTAGCTTGTCGTATTCCGATCCTTTGCCAACCGGAGCTTGATTGGGATCCACACAATAGCACTGAAATCTAGTCAGCCGCGATGCAAAGTAAAACGAGGTCTACCTTGCTTGAAGTGCACGAACAACGCTTCATGCATTGACAGTTGTATGTCTCCCCCGTCGGTGTATCTCCGTCATATACCTTGACATTGGAATGTGGCGTCCAGTTTGTCTACAAGTAATTCAACCCATCGACAGACTGTTATCAAGACATCTACCTCTGCCACTGAGTCCACGCTACCCAAGGGCTTTTGTGCCCAATTTTCACCTCCATCATTGCAGTAGGAGTTTCCAACATTCTTAGAGCACCACATCTTCGAGATAAGGCATGTCTCAAACTCGAGAAGGAAAAAACAAAGTGGCTACCTGTGCAGAGCTGTATGCATAGCAAAAACCGTTTGCATCAAGAAATCTGCATCCAGGTGTTTCTTGACCGGATTCCAAACTTTGTACACAATCCTATAATTGTGCATCAGATTATTAGCAACCACAAAGTTCGAATGCTTACTTGACTCATGCACTTGGCATAGTATTCCTTTTGTTTGCCGGGAGCAAAACTTCCACGTTGGTTTCTCCAGTCCGCGCAACGAATATTTAGCAAACTCTTGCCGTCACTGCCCAAAATGTTTGCATCTACGAATAAAGTGTCAAAATAGCTGTTGTTTTCCCACGGAGGAAAGCCGACAAACCTGAAGGGGGCTGCTCTAGTGACTGAGATGTTAAAGGTGACGAAGGGGGAGGGGGAGGGGGAGGAGGAGGGGGGAGGGGGAGGGGGAGGGGATGATGAGTCTGAGCTTGATGATTGAGTCTCTGGGGAGCCTGCAATTCAAAAGTGAACATCAGAACAAAAGGTAACAGAAACACACGGATCACCTTTCTCCCCCTCCACAGCTTTTTCTTCGTCTCCCCCTTCGCTCTTCGATTCCTCCTCATTGCCTCCTTCTGCTGGCATCATGGAGTGAACTCGCTGACTACACAAGCAAGGCTGCACACCTGATGAGCCTGGTGGTCCAGGAGGTCCAGGTCTACCCACAGCGGGTATTCCTGGTGGACCGCGAAACCCTCGTGGCCCTGTGAAACCGATCGGACCAACAGGACCTGCAGGCCCCATCGGTCCTTGAGGACCCGGAGGGCCAACGGGGCCTGGAATGGCTTGGAAGGTGTCAACTTGGTTGGCAAGAGAGTTCTGCTGTGACAAGAGGATTTGTTGTTCAGACTGCAAATCGCGAATCATGTTCGAATCCGCCACCACGTCCCGGGTAAGAGTTGCCATCACGCTCTGATAGGTCGCATCCTTGCCCGCAGCTGCTTCAGCGGGGGTTGGGTCCTCCCTCTCCTCAGGCTCTTCTGCGGGCTGTTGAGGAATAGGGATAGGAGAGGGATTCGGTGGGTATGCTGGGTTTGCAACATCCACCTCCAGTGGCTGAGGAATGACACCAGGAGATGACCTAGCATAAGCATAGTTGTTGGCGCTGCTTTTGCTGAGGGCGTTGTCCAAAGCTCTTGACACTGCTGCTGCGATTGCTGATGCGCAAGGGCATTCTGCAAGGATCTGGGAAGATAAAAAGGTATCGCCAGCAATAGCGCAAGGACACTGCCTTGCGAATTTCTGAGCCAGCGCTTGGCTGCCCAATTTCAATCCGGAAATTGCTGAAAGCTGATTCTTGCCACGCTTAGTCGATGACACCAGCGCATCGCTTCGAGTACTCGGCGGTTGAGTGTATGAGATATAAATTAAGACGCAAACAGCCAGTGAGCAAGTCAAGATGAGGGCAGGCAGCACCTTGGCTCTTTTCTCATTTCTTCCTCTGAACTCTGATTCACTACCTCGGGGTAATGAACCGTAATTCTGGCTGCTTGCCTCCATTGGAACAACTGAAGGCAATGGCCGATGATACCTAAAGATTTGATAGTCAGACATCACCATCAAACCGTCAACATAAAAAACTAAACACGAAGAATGCAACGATTTACATCCTCGTTGTATCTTAAATTTCTGTTCTCCCTCACTCTTCTCCTTCATATTGATCCTGAATCTTTCTTGTATTGCTCAAATTCGGGCTACACGGACTTCTATTACAACACCCAAGCTCATTGATTCATCCCTTCTTCTCACATTTCTCTTCTCATTTCCCTACGCACTACTCTCCACCTTCTCTGTCCATGCAAGCTTCCATGCTAACGAAGAGCCGTCGTAACGTTCGTAACGTATAGAACCCTGAGGCCCGGGCGCCGCACTGTCGGGGTGAGTCTGTGACCTGACCCGGTGACCGTCGGACCGAGTACTATGCCGGTACAGTCGCCGGGAGTCCGGCCCGACCGACGGTACGGTGATTTGCATGCCGCAGTCACTAGAATTCTTCAGAATCCTTTACTTCCGAAGTTCACTGAGTGAAGGGCCGAAGGCAAGTTCACCGGGAGTCACTGAGTTTCCAAGATCGGTCATCGTGACAAAAGGTCACGGTCACCGAGGCGGCTGGGCCGGCGAATAACATAGTATCGCCACTGGGCCAGGTGATCAACGCCGGACCGCGCCTGCACTCAAAGGTCCGATCGCCACACTGATGTAGACGAGCAGCTCGCATTCTTCATCAGCTGCATCTCGATGTCCGTCAAAGTCTCTTGTGCAAAGCCAAACTTTAGCGCAGCAGTTTGGAAGTGCTGGGGGATTGGAGCGACACATCTGACCTCCCTGTCTGTCCATCGGAGGCGAAGGTGCAGAGCATGCAAGCATAATTGCAGGCCTTTTTCCTTGGTAGGGGTAAGACGCGCACGTACACGAGCGGTTTACCTCCTCGGCTGGGGAAATGCCATATTTCTTGTCACCAATGATGTGAAGGCCGAGAATCTCAGCACAATGCACGCGCAGCTGTCAAGAACAACAGATTTGACAAGGAAGTGAAGCTAAAGAGACTTCTCGTACCTGATGTGTCCGCCCTTGCAGAGGCTTGAGCATCACAAGCGATGCCGCAGATCCTGTTCCTGTTTGCTTGGTTGCCAAAACTTGATAAATGGTTGTAGACTCCTTCCCCCCTTCATCATCCTCAGAGACGCATCTCATCTTTATATCCAGTCCTTTCAGAGAGGTACTTTAGCCGCCATGTTGGTGAAGAGAGACACGTGCAAGTACCTTGTGCGTTTCCAAACTTCCTGAGATGAGAGTAAAGCTTGCCCTCCCTCTGCTCATGAGATCGCGGATCAGAAATACTTGAGTGCGAGCAATGCTTCCAAGACAACCTTCTCAGGGATCCCCCCAATGAGAGCTATGTACGACTTGTCAACATCCCCTTGCCGAAACATTGTCGCAAGAACAGAGGCGTCTCTGACAGCACGGTCAGCGGAACCAAGCACACGAGCATGGCTCACTTCTTGCTGCGGCCGAGGGCGAGACATCCACTGGTATCCCGGTCAAGCCGATGGACAAGTTTCGGTCTGGCAAGGACTCTCACTCCACAGAGACGTCCGATGAGGTTTCACCTCTCGGCATCATCATCAACCAGGCAGTGCAGCAAGCCATCTAAGTGCCGTCGCGTTCCCGTCCCCCCCTGCACAGATAATCCTGCTGGTTTGTTGACGATGATGCAGCGATCGTCTTGATAGATGACGCAGCTCCTTAGCCTTTGCATCTCTGCTTCAGTCATAATAAGGTTCTTGTTATCATTCTCATCCTTCGATAGTGCAATGCTATCCGCATACGATTGACTGTAGACATGAATTTGCTGTCCTTCTTCGAGCCTTAACGCTGGATCTGACGTTCGCTTCCACTCGCCCTCTCTGTGCACTCGAATCTTTCTCGTCCGAACCAGCTTGTGCACTAGCGACTTGGATATCGCGGGACACTGCGAGCAGAGGTCAACCATGAAGCATGCAACACGGCTACGAGCATGTCCACCTCACAGAGGTAAGACAACAGACCACGAGCAGCACCAGAACGAAATGAAGATCAGACATCAAGGACACACGCGCTCAAGTCGGTCAAGGCTCAACGCACCTTCTCAAGGAGGAAAGCGTCTAAGCGAACGCGTCGATCTGAGGTCAAGACAATGCCGCTCTTGAAGCTTCTGGCCTCATCCCCAGCACTGCTGCAGGCTCGGCTACCTTGCCACCTCCCTCGACCTCCATCGCTCAGCCATGCTGCCCCCAGCTTGATCGCTCCCGTCATAGCCCCCGCCCAAGCCCCGCCAACCCTAGCGGCCAACATGGAACATTTCCTTTGAGTTGCGCCTCCTCGTTCTGCTCCTCGTTGGCAATGCCAATGAGCGGGGGGAGGCGGACGCTGCTGCTGCTGCTGCTGCTCTGCTGCTCTAGCGTTACAGGCAATGGCGGGGCCTCACATCAGAAGCCTCAGGCATTGCAGAGGACCATCGACGTCGATGGTCGCCGGATCCTCTTGGCCAAGAGCGGAAAGCGGACCTGCAATGCGACCATGGCGTATGTTCTGCGAGAAGCGCACTCGACCTGGAACGACAAGATTGGATTCGCAGCGACAGGACAGTTGTCTTGGACACCCAAGTATTCCGAAGAGGATGTCGGTATATCACAGTATATGAAGAAGAGGACGCAGGGCATTCATGGCGTTCTCAAGGGAACCTGGTCAGACTTTGTGGTGCAGGAGGTGCGAATAGATGATCAGAGGGTCGTCAACCTTCCTGCAGACGATCAGGTCAAGGCAGAGGACATGAAAGAGGGAAAAGCAGCAGCAAGGCAGAAATGGCTGAAGTTCACGCTGTGCAAGATGGGGCTGGACACCATCAGTGCTATCAGGATAATTGCAAGGATGGCAAACATCCCATACACTTCATTCAGATTTGCAGGCATCAAAGACAAGTATGGCATCACCTTGCAAGAAGTTACTTTGATGTCCCATTACTCCCATCGTTTCCGAGATCTTGTGTCTTCCGAATACAAGGTGAAGAATGGCAAGATTTGGATCAGCGAGGTCGAAAATTGCAGCCGACCGTTGCACAGTGGAGAACTTTACGGAAACAGATTTGTAGTCGTCTTACGAAATGTCACTCTGGACCACAAGACGATGCATCGATCAGTCCGAAGGCTCAGAAAGGGAGGCTTTCTGAACTACTTCGGTATGCAGGTCTGAAATGTCTAGTTGAGTTCATTGCTCATTACTCGTAATCAAACCAGAGATTTGGGGGGGGATCTATTCCGTCTCTTGAGGCCGGACGACACCTATTGTTGATGAACCACTCAGCGTTCGTTCAGAGTATTATGAGTACGCGTTTGTCCACAAACAAGCAAGAAGTGTGCCTCAAGTGTGAACGCTGGATGGTACTGAAGTTGAGGGCAGATAGAAGCAAAAGAACTCTACGAGAAAAATGGTTCTCTAGAGGAAGTCATGCATTTGCTGCCATCATACTGCATAGGTGCTGGTTTTCTATGGCATCTTGTATCTGAGAGCATGAATCAAGCGGAGAAGCAATTTTTGGAGGCAAGGTTGCAGGGGAATCCTCTTCAGTACCTTTTGATGTTCTGATGTGTGTTGGAAGGAATTTACACATCTTTTGCAGGGCTGCTGTTTCTGCTATTCCTTTCAAAAGTCTGTTCGTACAGTCATACCTTTCTGGGTTATGGAATGAAGCATGCTCATATCGGTGAGAAGAGGAATTCGAAGCTATCTTGATGGTAAATTGTAATTCAAAAGGATCAAGCGTTATGGAAGCAAACAAGCAGTGGAAGGTGACATAATCCTCTTGGAAACTATCGGCGGAGGACAAAAAGGGAAAAAGATGCAGAAGATCAAGATAGTGTCCGAGCAAGATGCTAAAAATAGAACTTATTCCATCTTGGATGTCGTCTTGCCAATGTTTGCAGAGGGCAGACGAGTTGTATTGCCTAGAAACCGCATGGGAAAGTGGCTGAAGAAGCGTATGAAGGTAATATATGCATGAGCTTGCCTCAGATATGATTGATACAGAGATAAGGTCGAGAATATAATGCATACCATGAAAGTGGTCGAGATAGAGGATGTGGACGGCTGTTGCGTGTCTGTAGATCAAGAAGACTGTGAAGATGAGATGCAAACAAGGCCCAGCAAAGCAACTCGCAGCAAGACATTCACTGAGGTCTGTAAGTTCAGACACGTCGTGGTTCGTCCTCAGCGTATGAGGTCCTCAGTCAGGCGCTACTCGAGGTGAGCAACGATCGGATCGTTTTCCAGCCTCATCTGATTCTCTTTCAATAGCGTTGACGATGCTGTGTTTCGGGGTTTGAGTGAAGACTTGATGTCTGTTAATCCTCTGCTTACGCGCATTCATGAATGACCCATGGAACTGCAGGAATGGCGGCGAAGGAGATTTTACTGCATTGGTCTTGAGCTTCACGCTTCCTGCGGGATGCTACGCAACCATGGCCCTCCGGGAGATCATGAGGACAGAAACGTCACACCATTATCACTACTCGGTCTACTTATACTCTTGCTCACTTGCTCTGGGTATTTCTCTAAATTTTACGGTCGATCAGCTATTCCGAGAACAGCTGGTCTTGTTCGCTAGGAGCAATTCGACGATCGCAAAGATTTCAAGAGTATCATTACAACCATGTCATGTTTCTTGCATGTCGACTATGCGTACAGGCTCGTCAAGAAAGAAAGAAGCTAACTAAGCGTAAAAGGTACCCCATGCTATCTACTGCAGTTACCATCAATGAACGCTACATTCAGGAGGCGCGTGAGGAATGACGACTTCGTTCTACCATTCAAGACGGTTAAGGAAGCATTACTATCCAACAAGAATCATACTAAAATACTTGGGTTTTTCCAGGTATTCAATGTACAGGCTAATGATATTGAAAAAACTGCTCATTTGTTGAATTAAAATAGATAAAGTACAAATCAAATGTATATCGCATCGTTGTATCTGATTCAATGTCGCGAATATTCAGTATGTTACATCAGCTTTAAGAAATCAAGGGTCCCAGTGAGTAGAGCAAAAGCTTTCTTACTTTTTCTATCGATGAAACGCAGGAGGGAGTTGAAATGACCCTCCTTGCCCGCAGCAACGAGTCTGATGCGACCAACTTTTCTTTGAAGCGATTGTCCTTCACCAATTCCCATATTGCGTCGAATGCATGTCGAAGCGTGACATTATCGTTCTGTACAAATAATAAAGAATCAATCAATACTGCAACCGCCTTGTCCGAGCGTAGCGATTTTGAAACGTCTGCAACACCGCAAAGGGCGAGGTTACCTACCATAATTCCAATTAACTTGAAAGAATAAAATTGAACTTGAGGGTCTTCAGCAAATTCGTGCATACAATATATCGTCATTTTCGAAATCATGTCTCTGAACTGTGGAATCTGAATGGCCTGATCGTTCAATATTTCACAGATCACTTCCAAGCTCTGTACAACCAGGGAGGAATCAATATGCATGTGCATCAAATTGGTCAAGTAAAAAACCACACTCAACCAGGGCAGTGTAGATACTCGTGATTTTCTTGTCGTTTTGTGTATAATAGTAATGTTTTGTATAAACTGCTCTCGGACTTTGGGAAGATAATTCATGTGGTGAACGAAATGAATGATCTGATCCAGGCCTCCACATTCACAATACAAACGTCTGAAGGAAGGATTCAGGCAGATGAGCTGATTTAAGACATCCAAACAATATCGATGCGAAATATCCGATTTGCTGCTTTCAAGGAACAAAACATTTGAGATTATCTGATAATCGTTCTGATTGACATGCACTTCCGACATATTTTGCGAGAGAATGATTCTGTTCTCTGAGTTGAAGTATCCATCTGGCAGTTGAGAGATAGCACGGAGAAGAGGCTGGCATTGAAAGAGTCTGGACACGTGAATGTACAAGTTCGAAGCTTTGAACAACGAAAGATTAATGGATGCAGCATTGAAACGAGACTTGTTTGAAGTAAGTACTAAACGTATCTCGAAGGGAATGCACGAGGATTGTAAGTATCCAAGAAAAGCTTGACGAGTCCTCCTGGATACCTGTAGAGAGAACTTCAGAACATAGCGATGAGGTACATTCTGGCTCCTTACCCGAAGGAACAACAAGATCCTGTCAGAGGGTGTTATCAATTTGACCAGACTATCATGCTCGATCAGATCGCTCAAGTCTACATCTGGCACGCTGGATTTGGAAGTAGCAATCCGCAGAGGATGGCAAGGACGCTTGGCTGATCTCTTCTCCATGTGATTGAGAGAGGATGCAGGCTACAAGAGATGGGAGGACTGGGGTAGACAATGGAGGATGGTTGCGGCGAGGTCCTCCTGAACCCTCAAGGCACGAACAACGGGGGGAGGAGACGATCGGGGGCACACCAAGAGGGAGGACAAAAATAATAAAATTATGCCGAGCGAGGATCTCGATGAACCCACGGTCAGAGGGGGTGGAGGTAATCAAAACGGCGAACAGCAGGGTCACGTTGTGTAGGGGGTGGTGAGTTTGAGGATTCCTCGGGGTTTCCTGTGAACACCCAGCAGATGGAGGCAGGGGTCCTTGGGGGTGGTCAGGGTGGTTGGTGGAGTGCTCCAGGGTTCCAGAGTGGTGGTGACATTGACCTCGTGCCTAGGGGTGAAAAATGGTGGCAAGAGTTCATGGGGTAGGGTTAATTTAAGGGCGATGGAGCGAAAGGGTGGGTAATGTGCATCTCGTTTTAAAAAGGTGGGTAGGGGTATCATAATCAGTCACGGGTGGGTAGAAAACTGCGTTTTTATTTCTTTACTTTTATATCAGAGTTTTACCTAGGGTAGGGTAGTTGTTGTTCAGAACTGGGGTACAAGTCGACTGGTGTTGGGTGTCAGGAAGCTTGTGGGGTAGGCATAATTTTAAAATACCTCTGCATGTTGTAAAGACTTTATTTTTTGTTGAGCAGCACCCCTTCATTTTATGGGATCATATGGGGTGAAGAGGGCATTTGGTCTGTGGTAAAATATCCTGAAAAATGTTCTTGACATGGACATCTTAGGGGGATGAGACCCCCTGGCCTTGGGGCAAGGAGGGGTGATAAAACAAGCTCGACTACCCCCACCTTAGCTAAACCTCATCTCTACCCACGAAGTGATGAGCAGTGGCTGCAAGAGCCGTGATCTGTTGAGGAACATCGCCCGGGGGGTGGGGGGTGGAACAGCGTCGAACGAAACCTCGAGATCTCCCGCAAGTACCCCTTGACTCCCCCGCTTACCCACCCCCCTCTCTGTTTGTGCTGTGGCATGAGTTGCCATGGTTCTCAAAGTCAATTGCCGTACCGTCCTACAGGGGGCCCCCACCCCCTTAACTAGCCCCCCCAAACCCAGTGTGACGTCCACCCCCATGTTCGTGCCCGTGAACATGGCTGACAATGACCCTATCAACCTTCGACCACCCCCTGAACCACCTCCGAGACTCGAACGAAGCCTCTCTATTGACTGATGATCTTGCTCAGGCTGACCCCTTGTTTTTTTGTTCATGCATTACCACACGTCACGGCAACGGAGGATATATATTAATTATTCGCTTATCAGCTGATTGTCCAGGCGCCTCCGTGACTTGACTGAGGTTTTGCCCCTCAGTCCCGCCGTGACCAACGGACTGCACTCCGACTCCTGCTCTGCTCCTGCTCCGACTCTGACGCCGACTGAGCCTGGCAGGCTGTCTACGCCGCAGTAACCGTACAGCCTACAGGCCAAGTAGCACCGCCTCACGAGTTGCTGACGCCGTCTGACTCAGACTGACAGCGAACTCAGTTGGAATACTGAACACAAACACTGTGACACAAAATAGTTTCATGGAACCGTGACACAACAAGGCAAGGAAAAACCACATCAGTGGCAAGAGTTCAACACAAGCACAAAGATCCTTTTATACAAATACGGCAACAAATAGTCTAGGCTGATTCATCTCCAGTCACTTTGGGAATCCGGTGCTTGAGTACTCAATGAACGGTCATATTTATTCAAATGAATGCCTAATCAAAGCGAAACCGATTGTATAACCCTCCTGATTTTATTAGAGGAGATAAATAAAGTAAAAGCAAATCAAAAATGTTTCTGTTTGTTGCTTTGTTGGGCTGTTGTGATGTTGTTGTCGAACGATTAAGATAGGCGTGGAATATTTTTTTCCTCTTCCTGTTCAAAAACTATGGGTTTAAGTTATCCAATCAGGTTCAATCCATTCTCTCTGAAATTCCGCAGAAAGTATCACCTCTGAGAACCTTTTGCCACCGTCTTGTCATACAACAAAGGATCTTCCATCTGTGAGCCATGCATGCAAACCATACCCACATTACTACCTGGTTTGTGGGAATGTTTACACCACTTTACTGCTAAGACTGTTTGTGTTGCGGTTTTTCCTTTTCCCCTCACGTCGACGGAGCTCCGGCATAGGTGTGACAGTTTACCACTGGTCATGGCTATTATTATTTTAAAATATTTTTTAGTACACGGTCACAGGCAGAGGTGAATATTGACGAGGCGGGCCTGTAGTTAAACAGGTTTTGAAAGTTTGAAACTTTCGGCTGGCAAGAGTTTTGAAGGACTTGTGGGACGGAAATAGAACCAGCAGCGATGTTCGCCATGGCGTGAGTAAAATGACATTTCTTGTTGAAGAGTCGGGAGGACGGATGCCGCGATGACGGAGGGGATGGGTTGTGCGGGCTGAGAAATCATATCGTTGAAAGATCATGAAGGAGAATCAAGTTTGAGGATGATTCTAGAGTGAAGAAATGAGATTGAAGTAGTAGTAGCGATCACTCGAAGAGGCGGAGATGAGAGGAAAATGCGGAGCTGTATGCTCTTATCGTGAAAGTAACTAGAAAATACTTGGTTTCTTCGCGTGCCCGAGATAGCTATTAGTCAAACAAGCAAATCTTTTTTTCACGTTGCCAGCATAGCATAGCATGTGGAGGATTACATTCTAAACATGAACTGATGTTTCTGCAGAATTCAAACCATGATGGCGAGCTCTGGAGGTTCGATTGAATTTCTTGCCTTGTGAATGTTTTAAGTGTCTGGGGACAGGGGATGTGGACAGTTTGGACTCTCCTTCCCCTGAGCTCGATCAACTTCCAATGGGCGCGACAAGAAACACATGGCCCAACATTGTGCGAAATAAGCGAAATGTAATCTTCTGTTCGACAGAGTTTCAGTTCGTCGATAACCGAGAGCGATGTATGTGGTTTTGACGTCATTTTGTTATGGTTGATATGTATTTTAGGCATTCGCGACTTCGTGCGACTTCGTTACTCTCGTCGATGTGTATTTCTACCTACAACTTTGGAACACCAAGATCAGAAACAATTGTGAATAGCGAAATTCGATATAATTATTGTTTATAACGAGTAATTTCTTATAAGAGCAAAGAACTGCTTTTGATAGCCGAGGACTATTGCCTGCCCTTTCTTGTCTACTGCCTAATCGATCTTGATTGACGAGTAGATGTGTCTCACAAAGATGAAGCTGTTCACGACTCAGAAATTTGAGAAATTTGACAAGATAGCAAGTAATGTACCAAGCAATGAAGCCAAAAGAACCAGTGATAAGAAAGAACGAGACCGACACGATCTGAATCAAAGTTAGCCTCTTGACGTGGAATGAAGTTGCAGCAAGAAATCACCAGCATGTAGCCCACATACAGAAGGCCTGCGACTGCTCTTGCCATCTTCAAGAACGTCATGTGAAATCATTGTCATAGGCAAACAGGACCTGAAGTTTGGTGTAGGCGTAATACATTGAGTACAGAAAAAGATAGAGAGAGGAACACCCAGCTGTGAAATATGCTCTCCACCACCTGATGCTAAGCTTACAAACCAGATCATCGAGAACAGCAATAACCAGTGATAATTTTCACTGCACAACTGAAAGTAGCACAATACTATCGTCACCTCAGCACAACTGCAATGCGAAATCGTGATCACAAATTGGCAAGCACAGATGTCAATTCTTACGTCATCAGGAGGATGAGGAGGACGAGAAACAAGAAGCCGAACAAGTAATAGAACTGATGAAGCCAGATCGAGGAAAGCACGTAGAACACTTCGACAAAGACAGCTCCAAAGGGTAGGACTCCACCCACGAGGATGTTTAATGGCCCATTCACAAACCATGGCTGGATGGGCACCTGGGAGACAGGTGAGGGCCATCGCCAAGACATCTAAGAATTTACCTGTCGAGGAATCTGATTCGTCCTCACTGGAAATTCGATGGGCTGTTTGCGGAAGCCAAAGTACGATCCAACTGAAAAACAAGAATTAGAGCAAGAAGGCACAAAAAAAATAGATCACCGATAACCAAGGGTGTGGAGATAAACAGCCACATGGATAGAAGAGCAAACAAGGTACCAAAAGGAACTGCCCCAGATGATTTCTGACCCCAGATCATGAGATTCAAAACAAAGAACAGGGCGAAGACGAAGCCAGGGAATAGCATTGCCGTCCACAAACTGTTGCTCTTCCACCTGTTTCCTTTGAACATCCTGAAGAATCTAGCAGAAGTGTAGCCGCCAACCATTCCCATAAAAACGAAAAGAAACAGCATGGCTTGCATAAGAGCTCCTCGGTTTGCTGGGGAAAGAAACCCAAAGCATGCAAAAATCATCAGGAAACAGGCGGAAACCGATAACTGCACTCCCGTTCCAATCATGACAGAAAGCCAGCCACTCATGATTGGGGGTCTGAACACATCACCATGCACAAGCTTCCAACCTGTCTCCTCCTGACCTTCCTCAATCACATCCTTCCTCTGGTAACGATCAAAATCCTTGCGCAGTGTCCGGATCATAATCATAGCAATCAGACCAGAAAGGAAAAGAACAATCATGAATGAGTTCAAAATGGAGAACCAGTGTACTTGAGCATCATCTGCTGACTGGAGATAGGTGTCCCACCGAGTAGACCATTTGATCTTGGATGGCTGAAAAATGACGTCATAGGTCCAAAGTACTTCTGTCCTCCTCTTGCGAGTAGGATCCAGAATCAACGGTTGTTCATTGAGGCTGACTTGTTTCTTGGCAGAGCATGTGTTCAGGTTGCAGAGGCCATTCTCCCCAGACTGTCGCCCGAGGCATTCCTCAAAGTCAACTTTGTTGAGGTACGTATGTTTCACGCTAAGCGGTTCAACTTCAAATCCAACGATTCGCTGTGCATGCTTCTTTGGGTCCTCGTGATACAAGATTGTGAAACGCAAATGATTGAAGAGAGCAATCTGCGGCTTGGAGTTCTTGCGGCTTTCCGACGAATGCTTGGTGGCTGAAACAATTGGTTACAGCAGGGAAAGGACACCCTCCGAAGAAAGTCATTCACTTACACTCTTCTCCTTCCTCTCCTTCTGAAGAATTCTCAGTGATGACATGACCTGATTACATAGTTGGATCGTGTACAAAGGTGAAGAATCAATTTCGCTACCGATGGGATACCCAGTCTCATATGTCTTGGTAGTTTCTCCAGTATCTGTTTTGCAACATGGGTGTTATTGCTGGCCCTCGGAATAAAGGACAAGTTCTGGACCGTTTTCATGAAAGACAGTCATTGCAACTGGGAGGTTATCCAACAAGAAGTGTGCACGATACTCCTCTTCAATCATGAGAGCAAATTCCTGTAGGGCATTCTTGTTCACTGCTTCCACCCCTCTCCGTTCAACAATACCTGCACTTCCTCTTGGGTGTATTCCTTATGGCAAAGAATCTTGCAGTTCTGCAGCAGCCTGTCAACCACATCGCAGCTGTTCGTGGAGCTATACCTGGTTCACACCCATGTTGAAGGAATATGGTGTGTTGTAGATTCTGGATCCTCTGAGAACTTCTCCAAGATTGAGAGCTTGAAACCCAACATTTCAGGCACACTATCACAATCATCGCATAAACAAGACAACCTTCCTGCTGATCCATGTTGACACCATTACGGCAGAACGGCAGAACGTAATACTCATACGGGAGCTGAGTCCTCGTTGACGTGAGGGCCTCCACCTGAACGACCCTCATATCAGAAGAGGGAAGCGATTTTGACCAAGGAAACGATTGAACGGATTTTACAGTCAACCCGATCAGATTCTGACGGTCTATCAAGTCTCATCATCACGTACACGATCTTCAGGAACGTCATGATGAGTATATCCGTTCATACGAGGCAGGCAGAGGATGATGAGCCAGGAAGCAAACAATCACAAAGAGCCACGTCAACTCGATGCAAGCAAACAGAGTTCGCAATCTCCGAGGTTCTTCTGCGTTGCCCATGCCCGGACATCTCTTTACCTTAGCATTCAGCTTCTCCCCTGGCATATAGTCTGTGGGAGCCACTCCGGGCAGGTAGAAACCATCACAACCCACCACAAGCAAGCTTGCGACGAGGAGGAAGGAGAAGCTGGCAGTCTGAGACAAGATCCTCGTGCTCGTCCTCTCCCTCTTTCTCCTCTCCCCGCCATCCCTCGCCGGTTCCGCCATCCGCGTGCCACGCATGTCTTGCGCCAGCTGCTCCACCACCTCACCAGTAACGATTTGATAACGGTTCGAGCAAATTGTAACGTTTTGTAACTTTTTAAACCCCCCTTTGATAGTAGAAAAGAACCGGTAGTATGTAGACTACACCTCCTACCACCCACCCAGGAAAATTTTGGAGTACCCCTACCCTAAAAGTTTGAACATGAAGTAATTTCGTACCCACTTTGTTCCATCTTTGTCTGGTAAATTACACCGGTGTGAAACGGGTACCCCAATTGAATAAACTACCCCCACCCTTGTGGACGGATGACACTAGAGATTTTTCCCCCGTTCACAGGCCATGCAAATGACACTCGCATGCCCGAAGTGAAGAGAGGACAAGAGGAGAGACGCGGAGTCAAGAGACGTCAAGAGAATGGAATAGACGACGAAAGAGAAAGCACATCTTACTTGTAGACGAGAAGGTCCGCTCGAGGGATGTAGGGATAAGACATGTAGTCAGTCATGACAAGAATGGGTCTTGGTACGGGTAAGCTGGGAAGCATTACTTTTCATGGAGTGAGCGGGAGGGATACATCAATGAATTCAGCAAAGACATGAAACGCCAAGAGAAAGATACATGAGATGTGCTGGGCAAATGGGATGCGAAGGCAGCGAGGTTGAGGAAAGAGAGCACCGGATGGAAGCGACAGTATCCGGGTTCGAGCGAGGAGTCCTGATGAATGACAAGAGTACGAGGAGAAGAGAATCATGCCGTGAGGGAGGGGCATGGTTTCGAAGGACACTAGCAGAATGCAGATTTCAGTTACATCAGGGGAATTCAGTGGAAAAACAAGGGCAGTCTAAAACTGACTTGTGCCCCAGGTGCTCGAAGATGGACAGGCGATCCGTTCAGCTGGCGGCGGTAGCGACACCAAACAAGGTGAGGTCAACTTTCAGCTGATCGTGTCTAAGAAACTATCAGTCGTTCATTGGGTCGAATTGCGTCTACACGAGCGCAGATGGTATGAGAGTTTTGAGGCCATGGCACTTGAGTTAACTCATTGGGGTTTTAGACCTGAGGCAGCTGGGCATCAAAGATGGCGACTTTGTCTCGGTTAAGTCGATGATCTTCGTGGCTCGTGCAGATGAAGGTAAGGGGATGGGCTGTTGTGCCCAACCGCAGGGGAACTGAAAGCAGTGTCGTGGCAGCTGTGGGAGCGGGAAACATTGCTTTTAATCTTGTTCAAAGAAAGACCCTTCAGATATCCTTGAACGAGCCTCTTGCCGTCCAGGCCTGGTGGAGATTGTTGTAGTTTTCGGTGTTGTTGAGTTTGATTCAGGTTTGCTCCCAAGGAAAACATTCACATGTTTAGAATCTCGGTAGAAGCAGATTTTCCCAACAAGTAAGTTTGGTGATTATCGTGCAAAAGCTTGCTGAAACTTATTCTCAGAGGTCGAGCCACGAATGATCCCATTGATGCGGAAATGTTGGGTCGGTTCATAGCGTCATCGTTCTCTGGCCAGTGCTTTTCCGTTGGACAGGTCTGCAAAGAAAGTTTTGCGTTTCAGATAACATTCGCTGTGCAGGATTTTTTGATAGATTTTCAAGGGAACAGTCTGACGCTGCGTGTGACTGAGCTGGAGGTCGTAGATAGAGATACAGGGGGGCGCGTGATCTTGACTTTGAGGTTGGAAGATCTTGAAAGGCGATGCCCAGCCGACAGAGGAGAAGATGCAGCAGATCAAGGAGGATGACATCGTCCCTTCTCCGATGGGAATTCTCAACAAGTTGTCGCGAGTTACAGTCGGGAAGTTCCAGGTACACTTGTTCTGTCCTGTTGTGTAGCGAGCTGCAATGACGCAACGGAGTTGGGTTGACGTGGATCTAGGGGTCTACCATCAACCTCGTGAACGTGCAGAAAGCCACCACTTCGTCAAAGATTTTCAGGTGAACGACCGCCGCTTGTTCTCCTCAACAATGAATGTCCCCGCAGGCCGGATTTCTCCTTCTCCAAGATGGGTATCGGTGGTTTGGACTCAGAGCTCGGAGACATCTTCCGGTAGCTGCACCGTCGATTGCATTTGATTGCTGATCGATAACTCAGACGTGCGTTCGCATCTCGTGTATATCCGGCGTCGGTTCTTGCTAAGATGGGGCTGATGCATGTGCGAGGAGTGTTGTTGTATGGTGCTCCAGGCTGCGGAAAGACTTTGATCGCGAGGAAGATCGGAAAGATGCTTGTGGACAGAGAGCCTAAGGTTGTGAACGGTCCTGAGATCTTCAGCAAATATGTCGGTGGGAGTGAAGAAAACATCAGAAATCTGTTTGCGGAGGCGAAGGCAGAGCAGGCGGAGAAAGGCGATGAAAGTGAACTTCACGTCATCATCCTCGATGAGTTGGACGCGATCTGTCGTCAGCGTGGGACAACGAGAGGAGACACGGGAGTGGGAGACTCAGTGGTGAATCAGCTTCTCTCCTACATCGATGGTGTAGACTCACTTAACAACATCCTCTTGATTGGCATGACGAACCGCAAAGACATGTTGGATGAGGCGCTGCTGAGGCCCGGGCGTCTTGAAGTGCATGTCGAGATCGGGTTGCCGGACGAGAGGGGTCGCGTGCAGATCATCAGCATCCACACGAACAGCATGAAGGCAAACGGCTTCCTAGACTCTCAAGTGAACGTCGAGGAGCTTGCAACCATGACCAAGAACTACACCGGAGCAGAGCTTGAAGGTGTCTGCAAGGCCGCTGCCTCCTATGCATTTGAGCGGAATATTGACAAGTCGAATCTTGATCATCCGCACGCCAACATTGATAACATCAGAGTGATGATGGAAGACTTCACCCGGGCGATCAATGAAGTCAAACCTGCTTTCGGTGTGAGCATGGACCAACTTGACATGTGCATGCCCAACGGGATCATCAACTTCGGCCCCAGATTCGACCGCCTCTATGAGACTGGTCTCAAGTTCCTTGCACAGGTCCACGAGAGCGAGCGAACTCCTCTTCTATCCATCCTTCTTGAAGGAAACGCGGGGTCTGGCAAGACTGCATTGGCTGCGAAACTGGCGTCACAGGCTGACTATCCTTACATCAAGTTCATCTCCGCCGAGTCTCTTGTCAACCAGACCGAAGTCGCTAGGGCACACAAGATCACGCAAGCATTCGAGGACGCGTACCGTTCGCCTCTCTCGGTGATCGTGCTGGACAACATCGAGCGTCTTGTCTCCTATGTTAAGATCGGTCCTCGCTTCTCCAACGAGATTCTCCAAATCCTTCTCGTCCTGATCTCCAAGAGGCCCCCCAAGGGTCATCGCCTCCTCGTTGTCGGCACCACATCGAGTTTGGCTGTTCTCGAGCAGCTCGAGCTTGCGGGGGAGAGTGGCGTGTTCACCACGAGCATGCACGTCCCTTACCTGAGCCAGCCTGAGGTCGAGACTGTCATGACTCAGCAGGGATGTTTTGAACCCGGTGAGCCGTTGATCTCTCTCCTTTCTTCTTTTCCCAGCTGCTATGCTCCCGCTCCATGCCGCTGATTCAATCCGTTTTCTCTCGCTCTCCCACCCTTTACTCTTTCGCTCTCGCTGGGTCATCTTGCTGCCTTGTAACATTGCTTGATAGATGGGATCAGTCAGTGCGCGGCTGAGATTGGGGACGGAGGGATCGGCATCAAGACTCTGCACATGGTCGACTTTGCCCGATGACCTGAAAGTTTCTCCCTGACTTTCATGTGAGCAGGTCACTGAGATGGCGAGGAGTGTGAGCAAAGGGAACATCACGCCAGCAGCGTTCAAGCAGTGCCTGAGGTCCTATGGCTTGTGAGTGGTAGCAGTGAATTTCTTTTGTGGGGGATTGAGGAAACGCGGGAAATATCACGACTCACAAACTCATCATATGTGATATCACACATCCCCACTATTTGCGACAAGGTAGCTCTCTATAACCTCCACGTCCTCTGGCACATTCACGTCGGGGGCAGAGGAAGGAACAGTGAGCACCTGCAGTCAGTGTAAGATGAGTCACCCCCTCTCCCTCTCAACCCGTATAGTGTATCCGCTCGCAAGAATCTGCCGCGAGCTCAGTTGCCCTCTACCAGTCTTTCAGCTCACCTTCAGCTGCTCGAGGTCTTCCAAGGCCTGCGGATTGAATCAAAGAGACAAGGCAGGCGGTTCTGACCTGCAATGTTGAAGGAGAAAGTTGCGAGGAAAGCTCGAGAAAGTTCCTCCTAGCAAGGGATTAAGAAGCATCCATCGGGTGGCACTTGCAAACCTGAATGCATAGATGCCTAGGTGCTTGAACGGGCGATGCTGATCGCTTGCATTTTCTTGACCTGATCAAGCATGACGAGACTTCACTGGGAATATCGACACCAACTCTTTTCCTCGTCGGGCCCTTTGAAATCTGAAGGCAAGTAAGGGATGGGGGATCGGCTGAAGTACAGAGCTTGATTTTGCAACCCGAACACCACTTTCACCTTGTGTGTCAAACTCAACTCCTTTTCGTCATCGGTCACAGAACTTACAACATTTGGACTCTTGAAATCTTTCATGCTGCGTATGGGACAAGCCAACGTGGAGACTGAAGCCGTTGATCAATCTCTGTTCAACCGAAGGAAGAAAGACCTAGGTCTGCTTGGTTTTTCTTCATGTGCGTGATTAGTTTGTCTACATGAGCCTGCAAAAAGCGGTGAGGGAGCAACACGAGCAGAAAAGAAGTTCAAACGGGGTCGATCAGAGGTTCATCTCCCTGAACATTCACGATGATGTCAAACTCCGCGCTGAATTCCAACAAACCTTGTCAATCAGATCGAGAAAGCATCGGGTTCTTACCTCAGCTGCTGCGAAGCTTCCCTGACTCTCTCAGTCCCCGACTCACACTCATGGCTTGTCATGATACCTGGCGTTGAATCATTCAGCCTGTGAACTTGCATACTTCATCACTTGGTTACACATTTTGCACCTATCCCTTCAATCAAATTTGCAATCCGCTGATCGTCGGTGGCAACAAACACTTCATCAACATGTCTAGCCCTCTTCACTCTCCTGCAGTGTTCATCACAAGCTCAAAACCCCACAGGTGTTGCTGTACTCCAGTGTCCTCTGAACAAGCGGTTTCCCTCCTATCAACGCAAGCGGTTTGCCGGGAAACCTTAGCAGGGTAGCATCATTTCGAATTGATGGATGGGAACAAAATCCCACGAAAAATGAAAGAAATTGATAGCATGATACCGTTTAGACGCCATTCTAGCAGGAATAATGACGGCAGCATGTGCTCCGAGGGTTGAAAGTGCTCTCGTTGGCAAGAGAGTGATGGGACGCATTCCATACGTAGTCCCCAAGTAAAGATGAGAAGATGATAGAGACAGGAACAAGCTCTAATTCAGCGAAGAACACATGGGAAGGAGGACAGAATGAGAGCGACGGGATGCTGAGGATGAGGATGAGGATGAGGATGAGGATGAGGATGAGGATGAAGTAGGGACAAGCAAGACAAGACAACAGGCTGCAAGTCTCCGTATCAGAGTAGCAGGAGCTTCATGGAGGCTGAGGAAGATGACTGGGCGGATCGAGTCAACTTGGCAATCTGGACCGTCGGACTCCGGCCTGAGGGCCGCCCGCCCGGCCGCCCGCCGCTGCCCGGGCCCGGCCCCGGGCCGGGCAGACTCAGAGCCTCGGAGCGCGGCCCGGCGGCCGGCCACACTTGGCGACTCAACGTACGGTGACTCTGTGAGTCACTCGGTATCCGTCGGATCGTTCGGGCGGGCCCGCGGGCCGGGCCCCGGGGGCCGCGCCTACCGCCGTACTACAGATGATGCCGCGGCAGTGGCGCACTGCGCAGTGCGGCCAGTCAATGATACCTCCGAGTTAACAAACTTCTCCCGTAAACCAAGACAACTCTTTCGCGCTTCAAGGCGGCCATGTAGCCTAGTACCGTACGCGGCCGCGCCGTCTTGCCAAGGTCCTCTCAGCAGTCACCGTGACTGTCTGGTCGGATCATGATGCTGTGTGCCGCATTAAACTCAGTCTTCAACCGAGTAAAAATTGTCACGCTTGTTACAACTAGGCCGCAAGCCTGAGGCGTCGACTTGATGTCTGCAGTACTCAACCGTTGAACTGTTCCGCCGCCAGGCTATGCCGGCGGCCCCAGGTCGCGGAGTGCCGTCCGGCATCATGACTGAGCAGCTCCGAGGCCGGACCGGGGCTCGCGAACTTGACCGAGACTGAGTCAGTACCGTACTGTAGTGATCATGCCACCGTCCGACGGTCACCGATCCGGCGCCCCGGGCCCCCGGCGGCACCCGCCGCCGGACCCGGCTCAAGGCTCAATAGTTCTGAGGCGGAGTGTTCAACCGTCGACTCGGTGGGGTGGACGATGTCGCCGCCGATAGGCCCTGGGAAGGGGTCCTTCGATAGGCAAACTCCAGACTTTTTACAGGGTGGGGTAGTACAGTAGAGGGGGTCAACGGACAGAGAGTTTGAATCGGCGGGGAAATGTGGGATCGTTTCAAAGTTGGGCATGGCAAGCAAGGGGGAAGAGATAGGAGGGAGGGAGGGAGGGAGGGAGGGAGGGAGGGAGGGAGGGAGGACACTATGCAAACAAACAGGAGAACAGAGATAGACAGAGACACAAGCACAGAGACAGAGTCACAGAGAGAGACAGTGAGGGAAGAGAGGAGATCGACGGACAGGACAGCAAGCAGTTGTACATAAATCAAGATCTCAGAGAATGGCTCACTTAATTTGGTTTGATCAGGCACGTATACAGATCGGATGGCTGAAAATATCTGTGTCTCCGTACGTGTCCGACCCTTGAATAAGAGGGAAGAGGAGTGTTCTCAGAGAGAAGCGTGGCGAGTGGTAGACGGCAAAAGTGTCGTTCCAACAGAACACAATCCACGAAACGGCCAAGGATATTCATTTGCTTTCGGTATGACACAAAAACTTAAAACCCTCGTGTCTGATCTCAGCAAAAAATAACAGATAATGTGTTCGACAATGTCTCAACCTCTGAGGATGTTTATGACAAGTGTGCGAGGGGAATCATACTCTCAGCTCTCGAAGGCCAGAATGGTAAGTTTGAAGATCAACGACGTGCTCTGATTCAGGGAAACAGGAACCATCTTTGTTTATGGTCAAACAAGCAGTGGTAAGACACATACCATGCAAGGATCTGAGTCGCAACCCGGAATCGTGCCTCATGGCATATCTTTTATTTTCAATGAAATCAAGCATGTAAGTCACCCTCTCCTTATTTTCCTCTCTTACAACTTTTGCTACAGAGAGCCAACTCCCAAGAATTTTTGGTTCGGTGTTCATACATTGAGATTTACAATGAAAACATCACGGATTTGCTGAATCCTAAGAATTCAAATCTGAAACTTCACACAAATCCGAAAGGAGGAGTTTATGTCGGCAATGTCACTGAGCCTGTTATTGCAAACGCACAACAAGCTATGGAGCTGATCAGCAAGGGAGCAGCGAACAGACAGGTTGGCGAAACCAAAATGAACGAAGCATCGAGCAGATCACATTCCATTTTCCGTATGGTGATCGAATGCAGGAACAAATCTGATTCCTCAGGCGCTGTTATGGTTGGAGAATTGAACATGGTCGATCTGGCAGGCTCCGAGCGTCAATCTCAGACACAGGCTACTGGAGCGAGGCTCAAGGAGGGAGCAAACATCAACAAGAGCTTGTTGACTCTTGGAAATGTTATCGCCAAATTGTCAGAAGGCGAACAGTCTCACGTACCATACCGCGATAGCAAGTTGACCCGAATCCTTGAAAGAGCTCTTGGAGGAAATTCACGCACGTCGATTATCTGTACCATCACACCAGCAGCAGTCCACACCGAGGAGACGCTGAGCACCCTCAAGTTTGCCACCAGAGCCAAGACCATCAAGAACACAGTGACTGTGAACGAGGTCCTCGATGATCAGGCGCTGCTCCGAAGATACAAGAAGGAGATCGAAAGCTTGAAAAAGAAGCTGAGGTACACAAGTGCTGGCGGGGAGAAAGACATGGAGATCTGCCAGATGATCAATCAGCTCCAGAGCTTGCAGGATGAGAATGCTGCGTTGGAGTCAGAGAAGCAAGAGCTCATTGCAGCGCAGCAAGAGAAGGAAAAAAAGATCGCCAAGTTGCAAGACTTGGTCATTCTCAGCGGTGCCAGCATGTCATCTGATACAAGCAAGAAGTCGAAGCCGAACCACAGGCAGTCTTGGTGCCCTTCATTTTCTAGCTCTGAGCACTCCTTCGGGTTCAACAAATCGACTATCAGACCTGGTGCCATCGAAGAAGAAGATGAAAGTGCGGAATGGGAAGGAACTGTCGCTAAGAATGGTTCAACTCGCCAGGATGATGACATGTCATTGTGCAACGACGAGTCAGACCTTGACTTTGATGCCAAGAGCTCTACTAGTGTTAATCGCATGTTGAGTCCCTCTCCTTCGGAAGAGGGAGAGGGTCACAGATTCCAGGAGCTCTCTTCACTTGTAGACAGTCTCCGCATCCAGTTGGAGGAGGTGAAGAACGAGAAGAATCATATCCAGCAGATTGCGACTCAGCGGCAGGATGAGCTGCAGCAAGTAGGAGAAGCTGCCATCGAGACCCTAAGCCAGGAAGTTGAGAAGTGGAAGGGTGAGGCAGAGAAGCTTATGGTGAAGTTGGAGGAGAAAGAGCAAGGAGGTTCCATCGTGTCACAATTGCAGGCCGATCTTTCTGAGGTTGAGAATCAATGCAAAGTCTACAGAGAAGAAGTGGAGCAATTGAAGTCAGAAGCTGAGAAGAAGGATCAGATGCTTATTGAGCTTCGTGACACCATTCAATCTGAAGGCGTGAAGAAGGAAGACCTCGAGCGAAAAATGGAGACCCTTGTTCAAGATTGTGCTTACTGGAAGGCAGAATGCGATCGTTTGCAGCAGCAGCTCGATGAAAACAAGCTAAAGGTTCAAGACCTTCACGATCAGCTTGTTCAACATCAAAAGCTTGAAGCGGCTGAGCGTGGAAAATTGCACAAACAACTTGGCGAACTAGATCAGTTCTTGCAGTCGCTTACCAGCTCGCTGCTCAGTCTTGAGGGCACAAGTACATCTCTTGCAGAGAAGTTGAAGGAAGGCCATGATGTTGCTGTCGACCGTGTCATGAGCTATAAGGTCAATGTTCCTCGATCAAGCAATCTTTGCTTTCTAATGCAAATGATAGGCTGAGGCTGAGGCATCCCATGCTATGATTGCTCAGAATGAAGTCGACTACCATAGCTTGCAAGAGGAGCTGAACAAGAAGATGGAGGAGATGGCCGGCATTCAGCTTCAGCTGCAGGAAGCGAAAGATGCGAGGTTGATTTGAAATTGTTCAATTGCATTATGCTCAAATTTCAATGTTACAGCCAAGAGTCAGAGTTTCAGAGGGAGAGAGAGAAGGTCAAGTGGGAGGAAGACATGGAGAGTGCTACTGGAAGCATCAAGCGACTGCAGGCCGAACAAGAAGAACTCATGTCAAGGTCAGCATATCCGTCTTCCTCGATGCAAAATCTTGACCTGTTCTGTAGAATCGTTGATTTGGAAGAGAGCTTGGACTCGGTCAAGAACGAAAGACAGGTATTCCTCCCTTTCCCCAACTACCTCCTATTCCCCCTACATGGTCGGGTGGTTTTTCCCAGCCTCAAATTTTGCACAGGATCTGCAGTTGACAGTGCAAGAACTTCGAGATGCCAACGAAGAGCTTCAAGAGCAGGCGAGATGTACCAGCTCAAAAGCGTCGAGTGCTTCAGGGAAGAGGATGTCCGTTTATCATCGAGCAGGGGTCCAGCAGGAATCTTCATTTGGCTCCAGGAGGTTCTGCCGTTGCTTGCGAAATTTCCCAGCTGACTGTCTGCAGGGAGAGTGTGTACACGTCTGGCAGCTCTTCGGACGCAGCAGCGCTGAGAAGGGAGCTGGGCGGTAAGGAGCAGCGATGCCAAGACCTTGAGAAAGCAAAGGAGAAGAGCGAGAGGCAGTGCGAGCAGCTCAAGTCGGAGATTGCAGCTCTCAAGGAGGAGGTCTCGGTGACGAAGAAGGAGCTGAGGTGAGAAAGTCATCGATGACCCGAGGCAGCTGAGCATGCGAACAGATCCAAAGCGCAGAAGAGTGCATCTCTCGAGAGGAGCAAGGAAGAGCTGGAGAAAGAGCTGGAGAAGATCAAGAACAAGCTGAGCACATCGGAAGAGAAGGTGATGAATCCTGCTGTAGAGACATGACTGAAGGAGTTGCAAGGTGAAATCCTTGCACACGGAGAAATCGCAGGTCCTCGCAGACAAAGGGAATGCTGAGAAGGTGATTTGGCAATCCCCTCAGCTGTCATGATAGTCGACTGCAGGAAAATCGAATCAACTCAAGCAAACTCGAGATGATCGAAAAAGAAAACGAGAAGCTCAAAACAGCCAATCTCAAGATGAAAGAGACAACCAACGCGCTCAACTTAGCAGAGAAGAAAGCTGCATGGGCATCTAGCGAGCTCGAGAAGGTTACAGCCGAGATGCGTGAGAAGGTGAGAAAGCAGCTCAGCGAAGAAACAAAGATTGAGCATAGTCACAGGAGGAGGAGCTGCAAGTCCTGCAGCAGGATGTTCTCTCACTTGCTGACGAGCGAGACTCCTTGAAGCAACAGCACGAAAGTCTCGTAGCCGCACATGCCCAGACGTCGATCGAGTTGCAGGACCTGCAATATCAACAGAGCGAACTAGAAAAATTGTGCGAAGACATTGACAGTCAGCGGAAGAGGCTGGAAGGCAAGGTGGAGGAGTTGACTTGCGAGAAAAGATGATGTCAGAGGAGCTAGAATCTCTCCAGCATGAAGCAGAAAAACTACGAGAGCAGGTTTGAGCTGCCAACCTTGAGAGTTGTTTGTGAGAAAGAGCGCAGGTGAAAGCGAAAGAGGAGCTGCTGTCGCAGAACAAGAAGGCTTCCGACATCCTGCAGAACGATCTCGATGAAGCTGAGAAGCAGATCGATACCTTGAGCAAGAGAGTCGAGACACAGAAGTCCGACTTGACGCGACTGAGCAGATTCGAGGAGATGTCGACCGACCTCCAGGAGCAGATCAAGTCCATGCGAGCTGAGCACAACGAGACATTGAGCAGCCTCACTGATGCCAACTTTGAGATCCAGCAGCTCCGAGCTGAGAATCAAGCCCTTGCGGAGGACAGCAGCTCGAACAGAGCCCAGCTGCTCGGGGAACTGGAGGAGGTGAAGGCTACTCTTGCCGCTGCCGAGGAGGAAAAGAGCAAGCTGAGAATTCAGTTCGCTGAGTTCTCGGATACCAAAGATATCCTTGCCGCCTCGGAGGAGATGGCGAAGAAGATGGAGAAGCTGCAAGCTGAGATGAGTTCGCTCCTTGAGGAGAAGCGACAAGTGGAGGAGGAGTACCACAGGGTGTCGGATGACCTGATGACCTACATGGAGAGGGCGCAGGAGTTGGAGGCTCTGAAGAAAGACTTGCACGGGTTGAAGCATGCCAACGCTGAGATGACAGAGAGCGTGAAGAGCAAAGAGGCTGAGATCATCCGGCTCTCTTGCAATCTTGAAGCTTCGACTACCAAGAGCAACGAGGAGACCAACTTCCTCAAGGCTGAGCTAGTGCGGTACCAGGAGGAGGCGAAGATCCTCTTCCAAGAGATTTCTCAGCTCAAGGTAGGATCCAACGCGACTCAGAAGGAGCTGGACAGGCTGGTGGCTGATCGAGACATGGCCGAGGAGCAGATGAGAGAGAGGATCAGAGACATCAGCGAGAAGTGCGAGAAAGCCGAGCACGAGGCCACCAAGTTGTCAGACTCCTGCAGAGACCTCAAGTTGGAGAAGAATGAACTTGCTGAGAAGCTCGCGGCAGCTGAGAAGAGGATGTGGCAGCTGGAGTCCTCGATCAGTGGCAAATCCGAGGAGGCCGCAGAATATTTGAGCAGCATGTCGAGGGTGAAGAATGATCTGGAGCGCTCTAGAGAAGAATGCTTGAACCTCGAGAAGCAGCTGGACAGCCTCCGGGCGAAGGTTGAAAGGATGGAGAGCGAGGCTGAGCGCGTCAAGGAGATCCCGAGGCTGCAGGAGAAGGTCAACGAGCTGGAACTGAGGGGCCAGAAGCTGGAGTTGGAGGTGAGCACTGGGAAAGCAAACCTCGCGGTTGTTTGCCAGGAGCGCGAGACCCTGCAGCGCATGTTGGAAGCGAAAGACAGCTCGGGGGCGCAGGTGATGTCGACAGTGAGCAAGTTGTCGGACGAGCTTCAGGAGGCACGAGTGAGCAGCCAGGAGCTCAAGCAGCAGAACTTGACCCTGCAAGGTCAGCTCGATGCCAAACTTGGGGAGCTGGAGGAGGCCCTGGGAAGGATCAGCAGGCTGGAAGAGGAGCTGGAGAGTTTGGAAGGGCAGAAGCAGCAGGCGGAGGAAGACATGCGGATGGAGGCGGAGAGGCAGATCAACGAGCAGTACGAGAAACTGCTGCAGCTTGAGGAAGACTCGGATCGGGAGAGAAACCTGAGAAGAGGACTGGAGGAGAAGCTGGCAGAGGCGGAGAGGCTGATCCAAGAGCTGAAGTTCGAGCTAGAGCACAAAGAGGAAGAGTTGAGCAAGAATGGTGGAGGGCTCTCGTGTGAGGAAAGAGACTCCTTCGAGCAGCAGCTCAGAGTGGCCGAGAAAGTGAGGAACGAGGCCTTTCACAAGATGACTGTGATGAAGGCAGAGTACACAGGAAGGGTTCAGAGGAGGGACAAGAAAATAGAGGACCTGCAGGACAGGATCAAGGAGCTTGAGGGCCAGTTGTCCCTCCCAGTTGATAAGGAAAACCTCCAGGAGTCTAAAAGTTCAGGGAAATCTCAAGCTCAGAAACCTTTGAAGAGATCCGCGCTCGCTCCCTTCAACCAGGCCCTTCAGTAACAGACTTGAGGAGACTTTCACCTTGTAATATTATCCTAGACAATTAAAGCTACTTGATTGAGACGGGACTCCCTCCTCCTCTAATCCTCCTTGTCGTCATCCCGGTCCTCCATATCGTACAGAGCTGTTCTTGGAGGCTCATAATCTTCTAACACTCCGTACTCGGCCAATACCGCAGTGAAGATTCTCATTAGCCCGTCCTCGTCGAGAGATGACTTCTTCTTGTCGAGGTTGAAGAGAACCGTCAGCAGGAATCCATTCTGAGCGTCATAAGCTACTTCAATCTTCGGGGGTGATCCGCCAGCCCAAAGAATCCTGTCGCTTTCCTGCCATGAAACTTTCTTGATCGACATTGCTGGTTCTTCAATGGTATCAGTGACGTCGATGCGCTTGTCCGACAAGAACATCTCCATCTTCTCCACATTTATCTTTGCATTAATGCGAACGTGTAGGGTGAGAAACCCGCTGGAAAGGTCAGAAAGATAGCGCATGAACCTGGTCACGCCATACACAAAGATAACCATCCAGAGCAGGTTGAGAGCGAACCAGAGGAAAGGAAATCTTGCGACGATAGGCTGATTGATCCATTGCTCAACCCACCAGGGAGTCGAGAGACCTAAAGTCCCCCCCGAGATGTGATCAATCACGTCGAAGGCAAATATTCCTGCCAGCATCATCTGCATGACTTCAAGACTTGCACTCGCCCTTTCGTTTGTTCCAGAGCCATCAACCAAATACTTTGTGTTCGATTCGACGTTCCTGAAGATTTCTTCCAGTTGTTTCGTGTTGATCATTTCTGTCATTGACGAGAGGTTCTGCAATTCGTTTTGCGCACCATGGACCAACTTTCTCAAGTCCTCCACTCGATGCGTTACATCTCTCTTCATACTCGCAAGATTGAGAGCTTTGTACAGAGTGGCGCTCGCCTCGTCCTCTGGCATCGCAGGAACCTCCATGCTATTCAAGGATTCAAGGAGGTAGGAGATGATTTCTTCCAGCAAGATGATATCTCGAGAAGTGTCGTTCAGCTGGATCCTCAGCTTGGGGACGTTGTTGGGGTCTTTCTCATGCTCTAGGATCATCTTTCTGATTCGTTTCAGGCTGTCATCCAGCACGTAGGTGCGAATGAAGAAGACTCTCACAAACATCTCCCTGACAAGCAGCGACAGGTGCAGCAGTATCAGCTTCTCATATCGCCTTCCGTTGGGTCCAGCAAGAATCAGCCCATCTCGACCCAGAATCAAAATATCATCAGCCCCCACGTTGTGAGCGCTTTGAATGTCTCCAATCACTTGCTTGAGCTCGTTCTCGTTGTCACCGCGATCTATGTATTCCTCGCACTGCAATTTGGGGTCGATCGACTCGCAGAGCACCAGGTTGTATTTGCAACGATTCATTTCATCATTGCAGAATACCATGGATAGCAGTGATCGTTGGTAAGCTGAGAGCAAATCATTGATGATAGTTGACGAATCTTTTTGCACGTCCACCAGCAGTCTGCTAAGCATGTCTAAAGATATGTCATCAGCCTTTCTCTCCATGATCGCTTCGATGCCCATACCATAAATAATAGTTCCATCTACATTCAAGTGCATCCCGAAATTCTCAATCTGTACTATTCCTTCTGCTTCAGGATAGTTGATTTCGGCTTCAAAGTTGATGCAATGTGTAAGATCATAATCTAAGATTCGGACTTGCGTCAGCCCAGTAGGAACTTGAAACTGAGTTGAGGTGGGATCTTTGTCTATTTTGGAGGTGAACAATCCCCCTTGACATCTGTCCATTGCCCCCAGCCTTTCATTCAGAGCGACGATTTGATTGGGGCCGAAGGGTATCCACTCTCCGACGAGGATCTTGACGTTTGCTAAGTGAATCGCCTCTGAAAGCTCATCTTTGATGTTGCTCTCCCCTGACGCCGCCTCCGATGCACGGTGAGAATTGTTTTTCAATGCCTTTTCCCCGGTGCGCACAATCAGCGGAAGATATGGGCTAGATACATACGATACGTCCTCGATTTCTGTGACTCCGGATATTCTTTCATATCCTCCTTCTGCAATTAGGTAGAAGTTTTGAACTTCTTCGATTTCCTCATCGAGAATCTCTCGTTTCATGATAACATTCAACAATTTGTTCTGGTAAGGTTTCGGCGCATAAATGAATGCGTCGACATCGGATCTGAGTTTCTGCGGGATTCGTTCGAGAAAATCTAGGCCATGGAACGAAACTTGATAGCAAGACACGGGCTGAAAATCTTCAGATGAGAGCTTGAGGCCGTTCATCAGCCTTCTCTCACGCAAATCATCGATCGCACTTTTACCCTCCTGCGTGACATTCATGAAGCATCTCTTTGATACTCCGTTCTGAGATACTAACACTGAGACAGGAGCGTAGTCAAAGTCGAGGACACCTGCTATGATTCCCTCATATATCATGACAAGAAGAGGAATCTCTCGGATCCATGTTTCCTTCTCATTGCCTGTCTTTGCTGGATATGCGTACTTAGATACCATATAGAGCAGTTTTGCATGGTTTTCACTCCATCTGATATCATCAAATTCCTGCCAATCATCTTCCACGCTTCCCTGCTGTACAATACTTCCCCTTTCCGATCTGACGTACTTCCCTACTTTGCTTTCGATCTCCGGCTGCTCCTCCTCTTTCACCTGCATCAGACCAGCACTTGCCCTTGCATGCACTCCAGAATATCCCATCCTCCCAGGAAGATGCGGTCCATCGTCTCCACTTTCATCGAGCCCGACGTTCTCGTCCTCCTCCTCATCCTCGTCGTCGTCCCTCCTCACTGCTCCGAAACGTTGAGCAGACACCAGCATGAGCGGCAACGATCGCCAGGAGGTCCGGGTGCTCCTTCAAAACCGGTGGGGGTGGTGAATAAACCGAAATTAGGGTGATGGAACGTGACAGGGTACGAGCTCTGAAGTTTTAAGTCGAAAGGCAATTGAGAGATCCTTCTACTTCAGGGGTACATGCAGACGTCTGGGTCGTGCCAATTCAAACCTATGTAGTGGGGGTGGTCGAGCTGTTTCGATCACCGCCCATCTTGCCCTTCCGTTGATGGTTACACATCTGTAACGGTCGAAAATGTTAGATTGGACTGCGGCCAGCGGCCCGGGGCCGGGCCCCGTCAGGCTCACTGAGTCGCCGGGCCAACTGAGTTAGAGTGAACTGAGTAGGGCCCGGGGGTCACGGCGTCAGATGCCAAGCTCTCTGACTCAGACTCAGTGCTGGAGGCAACTTGGCGTAACAGGTTTTGCTCAAGACTGAGTCTGATGCACACGAAACAGGGGTTGTCGGAGGAGCACATGAGAGATAGACCGTGGCAGTATGCTAGTATGTGATCCCCAAGCATCCAGACATGAGAGGAGCCTTAGGTCCCTCCTCTTCGTCCCTATGTTACATATTGCTGCCGCCTCTGCAACACGTCAGGGTCTTCTTTTGGTTCTGGCACGGCTGGCATGCAATCCGTCATTCTTACTAGTCCGTTCAGTCCGATCACTCCTAGTGAGTTCAATTATTTATCCGCCGGCGCTCGGAGCCGGCTGGCAAGCACAAGACCCCCAGCAAGTGAGTTCAAGCACACTTGAAGCCGCGCTCACCGGCAAGTGAGTTGGTGTACACAAACATCTTACATTGAATGAATCCTGCTCTCCCCCTCCCCTCATCATCTGCCACTAAGAGAAACAAGACACAAGGATGCGCGATCGAAACATGGCTTCACGAATCGCCGCCTTGCGAATGACCTGCAGGAAATTTTGAGGTTACTTCATCGGTTTCGATCGGCTTGACCTTGGCCTCCTCCATGGAGACATCGCAGGAGCGGAGCCAGGCCTCCATGAACTCGGACAGCAGCGCGACTCTCCTCTCAACCCGCCCGCTGAGAGAGACTCAGGCCAGCAGGACGAGGAGATGGATCACCGGCTGTCTTGTTCAGAATATTTCATCAGGGCTAGCTTCAGGAACTGCACCTCGGAGTCCAACTGCACGCAGAAAGCATCAAATCCAGGGCATTCGGCAAACAGACTTGCAGATACTTGAAGCGCGGCCGCTGCTGACTTCTTTCCACCTTGCTGGATTTCGAATCTTTCCCTCTCAGATCTGATTCTCATCCCTCAGGCGACCGGCCGCAGCCTGGAGCACGCAAGAGCTACCGAATCACTTCAAACATGTTGACCCATAGGGCGTCGACGACATAGACCAGCACCTTCTCCTGGATTCTACTTCCGAGGCACCTTCACCCCGCAATGTCACTTGCCCGCCACCAAGGCCTCTGCCACCACCGGAAGTGATCCATGGCACGGCACACGATCGCCAGGGTCTCGTCGGCGTACTCGCGCACTCCTGGTCGAGGTGTTTGAGTTCAGATCCCTTTCCTCCCCTCGTCCCTCACTGTCAGGCTCGAGGGCGGCGTTGCTCCCTGCCTCGCTCTCCCCGACGTCACTAGCTTTTGTCGTGTCCCAATCCTTGATGCCTGCAGCAGTCACATCCTTGAGCGCGACCGACATCCCTCGGATGTACTTCTCCTCTGCGACTCTGTCAGCATCTCCCATCACTCCCTCCGCTCCCCCTCTTCCCCCTTCCCTCGGCTCCCTCCTCCCATCGTGCACACAGCGATCTCTCTCCCGTGCACCCTTGAGCTTTCAAATTTGAGCACCGAGGAGTTCTTGCAGCATTTCACACAAGTTCTCCACGTCGCTGACTTCATGCTCGATCTCATCGTCCTGAAACTTCACGTGGCCATGATTGTCGCATTCAGCTAGCAAGAGAGAAGCAACCTTTTCATCCTCGAAAAGAATCTCCCCACATTCCTGTTTCGTGTCATTTGCGACAAGATCCTGCAAAGAGCTCACCTGCAGAATGTCTCTGACGTTCTTCCTGACGTATTCTACATCTGCTAAGACGGAAAGGAGGTTCTGAACTAGATTGTATTGAGTGGCTCTTGACGCAAGGGTGTCGTCACTCATGTGCTGAAATACCCAACACTTCAACTCGGGACAGACAGAACTTTGCGTTTCACCTTAGAGTTTGTGTTCCTTCTCCTTCTCGTCAGAGATTGCGCTATCACCCTCATGCTGTTCTGTCGAAACTCCACGGAATTCCAATCTACTTCGTACAGCTGGAAGTGACTGAACATCTCCCCGTTCAAGCTCGAGGAAGGTTTCGACGGAGTTCCATTCTGATTCTTCTCTGCCACCTCCACATTTCCCTCGATCTTCTTGAAGTCCTGATAAGACCAGTACTTGAGGAAAGCATCCTGCGTCATGATGTGATTCCGAACGAGCGCAAGCTGTTTCCCTCTCACCTCTGTTGATGAATCCCCGAAGGCGATTCGATGAAGAGCATCCAATAAGAGCTCGATGGACTGGGTGGTGACGTTACCCGCATGCAAGCACCGGAGGTCTCACCGCACCTGCACGCAAAGTTTGACAGCCAAGGATCGGAGGCCCTCGGAGACCAGCACGATGCCTCGGACCTGCCTGACGTCACACCGCAAGGCGGATCGGATGCGACTTGACCTGCTCGAGGGCATCGGCTATCGATTTTCTGGTTTGAATTGACAAGTCAGCCTCATCCTTGCTGTCAAGTTCAAGTTCACCGGAAGATGATGGGGATGGAGGAGTTCCCGGTCTCGATGTCTCTGCGGGCAAGTGAGGTCCGATGCAGGAGGGTTCAGAACTGCAAACATGATGTCTGGGCTGAATTTTTCACGCTGGATGACTTCGTTTTGCAACAGCATCTTCAGGTGCGCGAACATCTACAAGATCACCACGAGCATCTCAGGCCGCAGCATACGAGTGTGATCGGTACATCTCTCATTGTCGACCCGCTGAACCCTTCAATGACCGCTCCAACCTTGACCAGCAGCTCCTGTGGACAATTCTGAACCTGCATGAGGGTCAGAGTTTCCTGGCTGCATCCCCTTGCCAACAATCACCTTCGAGATAGAGCTCCGACATGCGCAGACAGTGTCCAGGCATTGCAAGGTCACAAACTGCGAGGTCCAGATTCTTGTTCCGTTGACCAGACAGCCTCTGATAACCTGTTTAGAACAGAAGAAGGTGACAGGAGGCAGGGAGGACCGCTGGAAGATTGGCTTCAAGGAGGAGTCGTAGAACTCGACGATATCATGAAGGGAGCTCATCAGGATGTTTGTGTTCTTCCCTTTCCCGTGAGTGTCGAAGGTTCCTTGTCTTGCGAGCTTTCTTGGCTGCACTGGCGGCCCAGAGGAATCTGACGGGATCAGTGAGCAGTCGCTGCTGTCACAAGGGGTCTAGACCGTTTGAAGGGGTCGAGGACTTGTCGTAATTGCGAAACAAAGACAAGCACATGTCATCGAGATTGATCAGCCGTTTGGTGTTGATCTCGAGAGTACTCGTGAGCGTATTTCTGCAAGATAATCATCAGTGCATGTCTAAATTTTGTGTCATATCCCTACACAAGAGCAGTGACCAGGCCGTCAAACGTGTGCTGAATCCTTTGCCGAATCTGATTGTCCGAGATGTCACCATCGGATGCTCGTTTGGTTTCATTCAGAGCTGAGTGAGAAGGATCAACGACTGCAAGATAAAAAAAGCACTTTCGACCGTCAGAGTCTGACAGACTGAATCCAAACTCCCAGTCCTCATCCTGCGACGTGTGATCCTGGGATGAGAAAGAAAACAACTCGTGAATTACTTTCAAGTTGGAAGACAATTTATCAAATTCAAAACCCTACAACATGATGTCAGGCACCTGTAGGCTATGATGTTTTGCAAGTGTCTTACCTGGTCCAGAAAGCTTGAGACAGCTTTTGACATCACGGATAGAATCGCTTCTGTCTGCATTCGGATGCACTTTCTGAAGGAAAGTCGTCAGCGCTAAAGCACAGGATTAGCAGCACGTCACTTTGCATTGCTGCGAATTTCTGAAAAGTCTTCGAGCCTCTTGCCATTCGTTCGAGAAATCGTGTCGAGCTTGCTCAAGTGCATGATAACTCTTGGAAGCTCGTTGACTGTACAATACAAGTCTCCCAGTTTCTTAGTGAGAGCTCTCTTGACAATATCTATCTGCGCTTCTATTTCATCTGCCAATTGTCGAAAGAGCCCACTGGTGAAGCCTGCAAGTTGAACTTTCGCTCTTGAATATGCGGAGACAACCTTCAGGAAAAAGGTTGGCGAATGGAGTCGAAAAAAGCAGGGCGACCTCATCGTAGTTCGACTCTGCTGCATCCACTTTGATCTTCTTGGGTAACAAAAGGAGCATTTGATGACGATCTGACATTTTACAAGCAGCATCAGAAGATTCAGAAAGGGAGAGGAAGGAAGGTCACCTATAATCGCCAGAGAGTTCCTGATCCTGGTGCTTCTTTCTTGCATACTGGGAGAGATGAAGGGAGTCATGATACGCGCACACCATGGCAAGAGACAACTCTAAGATCGGTTGGAAGACACTCTTTGCCTGTGCATCTGTCAGAAGCGTGTTGCGATCAAGTCCACCCCTGCCTGCTCATCCAGCTCGGAGAGCAGCTCCTTGAGGGCAAGGAGTTGGTCCTGCGAGAAGACTTCAGTCACGCGTCGAAGATGGTAGAGGCAGTTCCTCAGGGCCATTTTCAGACTTAAGAATCTCCTGTAGCTCTAAGATCTTATCCTGAGAGTGTGTCATGGCGAGTTTGAAGCACAACAACCCTTCTCTCGACCTGGGCTGCTACGAATCTGCTGAAATTGGCATGGATGAGCTGCTTCGAGTCCTGCCCGACTTTCTCCAGCTGGTTCCAAGCAGAATGCGATCATGATATCAGAACTCACGAGGTCCGACGGGGAGGGAATGTTGCCCCGCGTACCTTTTGCCTTCCTTTCAGCCTCTTCAACCCTGTTTACCTGTCAGAGCTGCCATGTGTCCGATGCTGACGCTTTACCTTGCTCTATCCTGCTCAAATCTGTATGCTCATGCACTGTAGAAAGATAGTGTATCGCATTAAAGGACTCGCTGCCATGGCACGAGTCATTTGGCATCAGGAACTGTTTGTGGAAACCACCTCCGGATATTTACAAGGCTCTCATTTTCTCGACGGGCCTGTCCCAGCGTCCTGGTGGGCTTCGAATGAATGGAATGGGCTTGGCTGTATGAACGAGGAAGCAACGGGCTACCTGCTGATGTCGCTGTTCTTCTTGACTGGCCCAAGTAACGGATCTTCAAGCTCGTCCTGACCTCCTTTCATCGACTGGTGATAAAGAACAGCAGCGCAGGACTCACTTGCGCTAGGACGTCTGATCTTAGTGTCCTTCTCGCTGCCTCCATGCCATACTCTCCCTCACTGTCGCTCTCTGGTGCCGCCCATGTCGTCGGCTCCCCCACGTCTTCTCCCTCCATTGTCCCGGCGAGCACGGCAAACTCCAAACGGGCCCGCACCGCCGGTCACAGCCGCCCGGGCCGGGCCGCGTCTGAGTCACGACGGTCCGCCGGACTCCTAGTCACTACCCGGCCGCGGCCAGGGCCCGCCGGGCGCCGGGCGATGCCGAGCCGAGTCCGCTTCTGCACGGGCCGCGCCCGGCCGCTTTTTCACCGTGGCTGACACTCAAGCACTGGTAGTCGCCAGTGGCAAGCTCCGAGTTGAACTTCAGTTTTACTACCATTTGGAAGAATGTAATCAGACAATTGTAAACATATCACTGCTTTAGAACAGATGGGGAAGGAGTCCAACTTCACCGGACTTCATCGAGATATGTACATAGGCGGCCGGTTGAACCACCTGGCGGCAGAGCGGGCAGGTACCATCAATGAGAGAGCGCTGCAGGAAGACAGGGAGTGAGAAATCAAACATGCGCTGATGCCGGAGTCTCATCACCTCAAGCCACTGCATGACGCAATCATCGCAGAAGATGTGCCCGCAAACAAGCTTGACCGGCGCGTGCAGATCACTCTGACAAATGGCACACTCACCATCTCCAGGTGAATTGTTTGCCTGGTTCGATGACGTCAACCAGACATAAACCCTTGAGAAGAAATGCTCGGCCGCATGTACCTCATCATCTTTCAGGAGCTGGCCATAAGGAAGCTTGTTGCGGAACAAGGCATTGCAAGCTGTGTTGGCGAATTGGGCAGTCATTATACCACCCTGAAAGCAAACATTAAAAGGTGCAAATCGTGCAGTATAAAGCGCAACCTTGACTTTGATGAAGAGATACACGCTGGCAAAAAACAAAGAAAGGGCAGGAAATTGAGACCAAGACTTGATCGCAGTGAGCCATGGAATGGCAGGCAACATTTGTCGATATCTGAGTGAAGCGGTTAGACAAAAACAAACAACAGGATTAAATCTACATTGCAATTATCGTATCTTCCAGCATGATGATATACCCTGCCTCTTTTTGTGCAAGAAACAGCTCGCTGCTTGTAGTGATAAAGACTTGAAACAAATTCCAATGTTACATAACAAGATATCACAAATCGCAATCATGCTGATCATTTCTATAAAATTCAGGTCTTGGTTGATTGGTTCAAATGATAGATATTTAGAGAGCTCCACTTTGCGTACGTTTCTTGAGATGGTAAGCTTAGACAGACCAAATTGCTTTCCAACCTCGTTCTCCTGGCTCGCAACTATGAGAACGGCAAGAATACACAGAATGTTGAGAACAGCTTGCAATCCACTCCAGATTCTACTTTTTGTATCCACTGACATTGTCAAAGATCGGTTGACTTGAACAAGACGATAATACAGGAAGACAAAGAAAAGGAACGAAATCAAAAACTTGCAAATAAATGCAAATAGCAGCAAAACGAAAAATATCATCAAATTGTCCAGCCAGGCGCCGATAGGGCCATTCGTCAATCGAAGGCTCTCTTGTAGCCATGCATCATCTTCCCACGTATCTCCTGTGATATCACTAAACAGGTTTGTGGCATAAATTGGTTGATTTCTGCTTCTCGTCCTGTTCGTCGGAGACCTGGATGACCCCGCACCTGCTCTGCGCCTCCGTCTAAGGCGAGCCGGAGGCTCTGTGCGCAAGCTGTCATGGTTTGAAATCTCTTCTTGTGAAAACTCAAGGTCCGTACTTCTTGACGAGGAGCATGTCCTGTCTAAACGCTCAGGACAGTCGTTCTGTCGAGTGTTAAATGTATGTGTCAAAATTGGGCTTCGAATTTCAGTTATTTCTTGTCCTTCATCATTGAAAGTGTGAGCAATAGAATTCTGAGGTGATTGATGACAGTATGTGCATGAATCTGAATTCCTTTCGCATCCTTCCCGTGTCACGCCTGCGTCAGGTTGTGGATGCGGAGGCTCGTGCTGTGGGCCAGCATCTGCTCGATCCATCCCTTTGTCACAGTCCACTCTATTGAGAGCAGCGTGACGTTTTCGAGGAAGATGTACAGCTGAGTGTGAGGCGCTGCTGCTTCCTCCTTCTTCCCCCTCCTCCCCCTCTTCGCGGTCGCTGTTTCGCCGCTTGGTCATTGTTGCTCAATCGTTCGCGGCAGATCCGGTATGAGCTCAACAAGTTTACTCAACTGTGACAACAGTACGGCATCGCTTTAGGGAGGGTCGGTTTAGGTTTAGTCAAGTCTCAGTTTAGTTCTGCCTTGAAAGTGTGCCAGGGATCGTGACCACCTTTACGGTACGGGTTCTTTTCGCCATAGCCAGCGGGGGTAGGGGACATGAAGTTGGGGAATAGAGTTTCCCCCACAAACTTGGTGGCATGCGTAGGACGGAAGGGGACGGGAAGGGCGAGGAAGTCACAGGATGAGAGAGGGGTTGGGAGAAACAAGCAGCAAAGAGGTAGCTCAAAGTAGGATAAGAAATATCCGTTGAGAATGTAAGACGCTTGGTTATCATGTCTTTCGAAATTTAGGCAGTACAACAGAAGGGCTGTTTGAATTGAGGAATCTTTGAAATATGCTGGACCTAAGGAAGAAAAAACCTTTACAGGAGTAATCTCGCAATTTACAATGGGTTTCAATTTTTCCTCTGTTCTTGTAGCTGTTTCCAGAAAACATCAAAGTCAACAATGGCTTAGAATATCTCGAACGTAGAGATTACGAAACAATTTGCAGGGTATATAAGGTCGGGATTACGTAGACATTTCAAGCAAAACTTGGATTGCTGACAATTATTTCTTTCCAAGAAAATGCTAGGAACTACATCTCAATCTGCGCTCGGCGCATTCATTTTCCTTCTCGTCTTGGAAATTTCGGCATCATCCACAGCGATGCTTGACGTTAATTCGATGAATGCACGGAAAAACAACATTCCCTGGTTTGCCACCCCTCCATCTACTCTCTTAGATTTCTCAAAACCTGCCGAAATGCTTATGAAGGCAAAGCTCTCTTTCGAAATGCCTGCGGCAGGTGCGAGGTGGAAGGATTTCATGATGAGTGGCATAGCAAGTGGAATAGCTTCGACAGCCGTGTTCCCTATTGACCTGGCAAAAACGAGAATTCAAGGAAGTCTCGCAAACATCAATGGCAAGCAATACACTGGAATTTTCAGAACAATCACCAAGGTTGCTCGAGAGGAAGGACTTTTGTCTCTCTTCAACGGTTGTACTCCAGTTCTTCTCGGCTCCGTCCCTGAAGGTTTTGCCGTTTCCTCAACAAAGCACCTTGTAATGTTTGTTCAGGTGCATTTTGCATTGGTATGAATGATGCTTCAAAAAACATTTTGAGCAAGGTTTTGAAATGCCCGCAGAAGGTACTCTATTGCACATTTACGCCCGGTTGATCGAAAGTGACACCTTGAGGGTGTAGGACCTCCCACTCCCAGCAGAGATCTTTGCAGGAGCGTTTGCAGGGTTCACCCAGATCATAGTGACCAATCCCATGGAAAGAGTCAAGATTTTGCAACAGGTGACTCAGAGAAAGCAAGGCAACATATTCGGATTCTAAAAAATGTCCCGTTGCAGATCGAGGGCAGCAATGCTGGCTCAGTTAGGAAACTGGTGAGCCAGATAGGATTCGGAGGTTTATATCAGGTCCATTTCATCTGATGATCAAGGTCTTGTTTTTGAAATGGGTTCTTTTGCCAATCAAAGGGTTCGCGCGCTTGTTGGATGAGGGATATTCCCTTTGGAGCAATTTATTTCACAACATATTCACAGGTAATCTTATTCACTAGGCTTAGGTGTTGACACAGTCCGTCTCTAATAGATTAGAAAATCAGTCGTACAGTTTCGGGCCAAAGCAAACAAAGATGCAAGTTTGAAGCTTTCTCCACTTGATGACTTGTTGGCTGGACTCTTTGCTGTAAAATGATTTGTTTCCCCATTTTTCTTTCTTTCGACGTTCATGCTTTTAGGGTGTTGCTGCCTCCAGTATCACGACGCCATTGGATACAATCAAGACAAGAATACAGTCACGACGAATTTCAGGTTGCATCTTTAAAAACGTTTAGTAGATGTTCCTGATCTGGAATAGTTGGAATCAGACAAGCAGCCATCGAGCTTTGGAGAGAAGATCGTTTAGCTGCATTCTACAGGGTAAATTTCCTCCAATTCACGTGTACGTTCTCTCATTATTTCCTATCGCCTAGGGTGTACAAGGACGTGTAGGACGTCTTGCCCCGCAGGTATCATCTCGTTTTGATTCTCAATGTACGTGATGTTCTGATGTAATGAGCAGATGGCGATAAGCTTAATGCTTTTCGAGCTCTTCAAGTCAACGTTCTCTGAGGACTAAAGCAGAACTTGAACCCAGCCTTATTCTTTCAGCCTTCTTTACATCCCTCCCAATAGAAAAAGATGGATAGCATTAAGATGCAAAGTTTGTTTCTATCCCGAGAAATTTTCACCTACCAAAAACAGATCCAATTATCAGAAGACTCCATTTGGAAATAGACCTATTCAATAAAACGTCTGACAATCATCTGAAACACATATTCACGTTTAAATTGAAGTTTAATCAATATACAAGCATTCAGAATATCACGAATTCTCTCACACTCATTGATCGGCAACGATTCGACTTGATGCTTGACATGAGTTGTTCACTGTCGTGAGCAAGAGTTTCTGGATAGCAACTCCTAGACCTTGTGTAATGGTGGTGTTGCTCACTAAGTTTTTCCTTCGATCCTGAAGTTTGCAGGTTTTCAATTGCTGTACAGAAACGAACTCGTTTTTGCTGTTTGCGAGATCGAAATGTAGTTCGCATGGCAGAACGGGGTTTCACCATGTCGACTGCAGAAACGCTCATGGTCTTCTGATGAGCTTGAACTTGATGCAAATCAACGTTGCAAGTTGATCCTGGGCCATGGTGTATCGCAGGAGCAGCTGGATCATGTTCAAAGGTCGTCCCAGCAGGTCCTATTTCTGTCTGATTGAAAAATAAGGACCCAACCCATTCGAAGATCTTTCCCGCATTGACTGTGTTCGGACCGGGTGATTTGTTCTCTGATTTGTGGTCGGACTCTGCTGCCATGGTTGCCTACCGCAAGCAGTAGCACGTTGGGGATCTGACAAGAACAAAGGTCAATCCCTGACACAAAAACAATCCACAGGAAAACATGTCCCAATTTTAACACAAGTTTCGACATCACACGACTACAGGCTTCGAGAATCATATAATCGATTTTGAGTTCCATATTCTCATGATCTCATGCGAGATATAGGGAATGTTTTTTGAAATCTGAAGTGTGTGGGACAGGTGATCAGAAGCTGTTTTAGACATCTCTGCAATCTACAACATTTCCTGAGACGTCCCCCCAACAAATTTCTCAACAATGTTTTGCAACACAAACAAATATCATGTTTTACGCTTGAAGCACAAACACAATATTGTGTTTCAGCACAACAGAGGCGAGTAACTGAAACAAAGCGGGTAGAAAAGGTGCCGGAGAGTAGCTTTCAGGACATTGCAGTCTCAGACAGAAACGGTACATTGCCTGCAAGTCGATAAGAACATGGAATTTTGGAAATATGGAGCAAAAGATCGAAGGCAGCAAAAGAAAGGTAACGGGGTTGCGGATAGAAAACTTCAGATCAACTAGAAGAGAAGGGCAAGGGAGCGGGGAAGGGAGAGCAAGGGATTGTTGTACAATGGAGGAAACGTGGAGGAGGGATGGTCTGGGCCCGTATTGAGATATGGAGCTATAGACATGGGGTGGCCTTATCTGTAGGGGGTCCTAAAATTGCGGGGTAGGGGTAGAAACGTTGGATGACATAAAATAGGGGTAAACTTCATGAGAAGGGGTGGGGGTACGACAGAAATGGTATAGCTTCGAAGGGTGGGTGTGGGTTTAGATTGTGTGGCGGAACGGGAAAAATTCGCACCGGTGTGTCCTTCTGGGTCTGGTGGGCCAATAATACGTTGGAGGACGTGACGGGGGTAGGGGTCGTGCCCCTTGACTCGGGAGGGGTGTAGGCAGCAGGAGCATAATAATAATAACAGTCGCAGGGGTACCGTCCCAAGGGGGTGCGGAAACTTCAATACCAACGTGTAACATGTGTTTTAAAAGGGAGTGCTGGGAACCCCTTGACTTGAGCCCCGTGCCATGCAGAGCCCGACCGAGTTTGAATAGGAGCAGACCCAAGGAAAAGGGCGGCTCGAAGGGGAGCCTTCCTCCTCGACAGGTTGCTGTCTCGGAGACTTGCATGATGGGGGAAGGGTGGGGTTCCCTTAAATCAGTAGGTCTGAAAATTGAATTGAATTCAACGATTCAGGGACATGGAAGCCGGTAGGGATCCGTGGAAGGGGGTAGGGTGTTCAATTTTCATGGCGTGCGAACAGATTTTCCAAATGTTTGGTGTAAATATCGTTGTTCAAGTTCAACAATGAGAGAGACAGGCAACTTGAAACCATTCCGAAATTGGAGTGACAACGCTATGACCCCCCACCTTCCGGCCCCGGGGGCCCGGGCGGCCCACTGGCCAACGGGCCCGGCCGCGGCCCGGCCTGACTCGGACCGTCACTGTCCGTCACGCGGCGGCCGCCCCTGCCCCCCGGGCCCGGCCCGGCCCGGCCGCCAGTGACTCTGGCCTGAGACGTGGTCCGGGCCCCGGTACTAGCGGCGGCCCCATTCAATGATCATCGGGCGGCCGGACTGAGCGGCGGCCGCCGCCCGCGGCGCTCGGACCGGGGCCCGATCGGACCGTCACGGGCCGTCCCGGTACTAGCCAGGCGTCACGCCGCGGCGTCTGGCCGCGGCAACGGACCGGCCCGGCCCGGCCCGGCGAGCGGCCGCTGCCGCCGGTCCGGCGCCGACCCGTGGTCCCGGACTCCGGGACTCCGCCGGCTCTGAGCCTCCGTCCGGATCTTCACTCAAAGTTAAAAAAGTTAAAGATCAGTAGGACCGTCAGTACAAGTCGGCGAGTTCAACTCGAAGTTCGGTACCGGTCACGTCCGTCAGACGGTCACGGAAAGTTCCCCGGCTGGCCGCTGGAGTTAAATAAATCGGAGCTCCGGCTGACGTTCTGTTCTGACCAGACGCCGATCGGAGTCAGCAACTCCCAATTCGTGTCAGGTTAAAAACTCACAGTCAGGACCATACGGATCTTTCCCCTTGAAACTACCCCTACCCACCCATATCCCATGACCATACCTTGATTATTCCCTGTATAGATTCCGACCCCCTACCGGGTCGTCCCTGTGGGTGAGTGAAGCAAGGTAAATGGGAAGAAGCGAGGGGAAAACTTTGCAATCCCCTTCGATTTCAACAAACAATCGCCTTTGTGCAGAGAAGATCGTTTAGATATACTCTTTTGCAGACAAGTAACATACAAGCTTCCAAGCATTAATCGATATTGCACATGCAAGCAATTGCAGATTCGAACGCCCTTTTAGCATGGGTCGAACAACTGTTTGGACCAGAACATCAGTTTATCGTGAAAGATGAGCCCAGCGAACCTTTGAAGGAGTTGAGATCGGCACTTCGTCGAGGATATTCCAAATGTAAACAAGAGAAGAGGGTGACATTCTGCGTCGAAATTACAAATGGCACAAGGACATGCTCTGACGGAAGAAGGAGAAAGAGTGTGAAGTTGTCAGCTTGCACCAGACGGCGATCAGCTGCTTGTGCATCAATCGAACGTTCGATTTTGCCTTGATAAGGATGATCGTATGCTCATTCAAGGCAATTGTTTTGTGATCAATAACTATAATCTTGAAACTCAATAACCTAAATAATTGAACTGTAGAGTAATATTCAATGAATTGAAGTAAAGTGGTAAATTTGAGTAAGTCTCCCAATCGTTCAAACTCATTGGTTCTGATAAACTCAATCATTTTCTCAAATCAAGACGCATAAATGGCATATGCCACAAATCGACGAATCCAATTGCCCAGATCTTTCCAATGTTTTCAAACAGACCACCTTGTTTCTACATCGCTATGAACATTATACTCTGTGTCTTACCTGTCTCAAATGTTTGCACGAAGTTGTTTACAAGATTCATGTATGATTTGTAAATTGAACTAAGATCCACTTTCACAAATGCACGAGCACTCTCTCAAAACAACAAGGTGCATCAAAAGCAATTAATCTGTAGCGATCGGTTCTCCCAGCCACAGATGAGTTTTATCATGCAGATCAATGCCAAACTTGCATTTCATTTCATATCAAGAAGCATAGAGCCAAACTGCAATTTATTGATATGTACAATCTATGAAGGAATTTAACATTCTTAGAGTGACTTATAGCCGACTACATCATCAAGAAAGTTTGTTTGTGAGAGGTAGATGCTGACGGTGATGTCGGATGGTGGCAGGGTCTTGACAATCTTACATTTCTGCTTGATTTGAAGCTGGGAGAGATGCAGCTGACCGGAATCGTAACACTATTTGCGATTTCCACAGAAAACGTTACTCTTTTGGGGACATTCCGAGCACGGTTTCGTCTTAGTACAGAGCGGGGAGCACATACTCGCTGTTGTGATGTCTGAAGAGCGTTAGCTTGTTGAGCAGTGCCTCCATTTTGATTTTGCTGGAACAAATTCCCGACCCATTCGAAAAGTTGGCTCGGGTCTGTGATGGCTTGCATTTCGATTACGAATGAGAGTTTTTTAGTAGTATGAATTTGAGATTGAAGCTGTAATGTACAGTAGAGATTGATTTGTATTCCTGCTTGAGAATGAGTCTTTGCTTTCAGATTGTTCTTGACGAGTCTCCTTTCCTCTGCTCTTGTCCTTCTTTGTGTACTTTTTGCCTTTCGGTTTCGTGGACTGGGATGTGCACAAATGCTTCCTCTGTTTTTTATGGGATTCGGATGTCAGCAGTTTTCCCTCATTCTTTGAAAAGATTATTTTTAGCAATATCGGAGCTCCTTCCAGATTCCGAAAACCTTTTATTTCGAACATCATCCTCCAACGTACGTTGAGATAGGGCTAAAAGCTGTCTGTAGACGCTTGCAATAGCCCCTGAGTTCGGAGTTCCGGCACCACTTTGCTCCCGGCCCAGGAGGGGGTGGGGTGGAATACATGACCGGGTCTTGTGAACAAGGACGGCCGTTGCTTCGAAACGTCGTTTAAAACTATAGTACCTATCTCCTACGCCGGAAGCCTACTAAAGGGTGGAGTGGCAACCATGCAGGTCAGTGATTCTGATAGCGAGACCTTAAGTGATTTTGCTCAAGGTTGAAGTTTGGCGCCAGCCTGACGTTGATGTTGCGGCCGGTGTAGAATCATCACGGCCAGGCGGCAAAAGGCACGCACCACTCTGATGACTTCGAACTGTTGACTTGACGGTGGACCAATTCAACGGTTGGCGCCGTGACGAATCTGAACGGTTCACTTAACTTTGAGTAAAACGGTTCATTAGGTGACTCTGTGAGGTCGAGGGCCCCGGGCCCGGGGTCCGGTAGTCCGGACTGCCGGACTGCTCAGAGTTTATCACTGCCAAGGTGAATGCCCTCAATGCTGAATTGACCCAGTTGGAACAATTTCCCATTGCGTTGGGTCTCAAGCAGCTCTTGAAAACGACCCACGTTCCCACCCTCCAATATTTCTTGCGTGGAATCTCCCCGGCCTTGACCGCTGCCCAGTGCAAGTGCTTTGACGTCGCGAATCTCCGTCTCCTGGCGAAGGTGTTTCAGTGGCCACAGAACCAGGCACAGGAGGGTTCATCTCAGTGTCCTGCAACCTGCCCCTGGCACCCCTCCATCTGACCTTCAGTTCGCCTACTTCAAACGTCAGTTGCCTTATAGTGCTGGAGGAGATGGGTTCACCCCGCAGGAGGGCGTGGCCTACACCGCATTCTGGTCGGCGACTGCCAAGTTTCTCAAATGGGCGGGTGAAATTGCCATCTTCCAGCATTGGACTTTCCCTACACCGCCACTCTTCCACCGGATCATTTCTGACACTGAGCTTCGAATCCGCCAACCGCAGCAAGCGGACGCTGGGGATGTTGTCCCCATGCTTGCTGCCTTCTTGGACACTCACAGGCACTTGATGGAGCAGGGCATCTCGGCGTACACCTCCTTGGCGGAGCTTCCTCAGGCGTGCGACAATGGCTGGATCCCCTCGCCTGAATTATTTGGGACGTCGGGCAGTGCGCTTTTCATCCCCGCCCAGCGGGAGCTCACGGCTCAGTTCCTCTCGGAGTTTCCCCGGTTCCGCAGTATTCGGGCTCACCTTTCAGAGCGCCAGAGATCTTTGTTGGCACACCACTCCAGCTTCTCTACTCCCCTTCGAGTACCAGGCCACCCGGTTGATGAACTTCTGTCTCAGTTTACCCCTCAGCGCACGATTTGGCACTCGACTATGGAAAGTACAAACCTTGGGATCTTTGAGCAGCAGCCCATCAGCTTGGTGGCTGCCGCTGACAAGTTTCTTCATGGATTGCCGGTTGACCTCCCGCCGCACTGCGATCGATGCCATCATCTTCTTCGTCATCCTGGGGGGACCACACACATGGCAACCTGCAGGCACCGCAGCCAGTTATGGACTGATGCGCATGAGAAGTGCAATGCCGTCCTCAGTACCCTCATCAAAGATTCCGGAGTGAGATGCCGCGTCCACGTGCAAGGCGTACCCGGCACCAGGCAGAACGTTTCCCAACATGGCCCTGAAGATCATCATGTAGGGGACTTTGAACTTCCACAACTGATGGCTACTGGCGGCGGATGGCATGGGTTAATCCTGGACTTCAGCATGTCACATGTTTTTGACAATGATGGAATACCGGACCTCGCTCGGAGCAAACTGCAAGCGGCAGCACAGCGGAAGATCCGAGGGCATCGTAATGCATATGCTCAGCACGTCCCGCCAAAGGCCTTTCTTCCCATCATCGCCAGCACTGATGGCCTCTTGCAGGACGATGCGTTGCGCTTTCTGTGGTGGCTGGCGGATCGCTCGGCGAACAAGGAAACGGCAGCGCTGGATGGTCTCTCGGCCTCGCAAGACGTCTCAGGTGATCCGACTTGCAAACGCATTCGGTCCAGGATCTTCCGTCAGCTCAAGGCCTCCCTGTCCTACGCTGCCATCATCGCGGGTGCATCCCGGTATGCGTCTCATTCCTTCGGCGGCGGCCACCGCGACATCGCTGGCATGGCCGCGCGGGGGACTTGTCCTGCGCGCCGTTAAGTGAAGGTATCAGTTAAGTTTGGGGGACAGCAGTCGGCAGGTTTAGGTTTGGTTCTCGCTGTCTTTCTCTTCTCGCCGTTTGGCCTGTGCGACAGTGTCAGGGTCAAGCCTCCTCGACTCTCCTGATTGTCCTCGTACTGATTTTAACTTAACTTTGAGTAAAGGGTCAAGCTCAGGATTGTGTTCGTGTCACAACAGCTCGTCGATGGCAGGTACACAGGGGTGCAGGGAAGGGACAGAAGCATGGGTAGAGGCATGGGAAGGAGAAGAGAAGTTGGAATGGGGATAAACAGTGTAGAAACGAACGCAGGTATACACCTTGAGACCGTTGAATGATGGAGGTCGAAAGAAATTCGACATTTTGGTTTAGGACTGAGGAAATATTGGATGGAAAGCTCAGATCCGGACCTGTTCGACACGTTCTGACATACTGTCATGATTCAAGACGTGCTTTCTCTTTCGGATGCCAGTGGGAATCATCATGAAATTTTGATGAACAGTGCTATTGATCTTTTCTGCCAAAACACGAGTGAGATCATGTGCGTTTCAGACCTTTCTCGCTGAGTCCAGAAAAGGCAGGAGAGATGAAGTTGCTGTTAATGGAGAACTTGCAGCTGTAGAGGTTTGGCATGACATTCAACTACTTGTATGATGGTTTCCTAGGCGTACGGCATGTTCGTTCGGAGGGCGATGCAAACCGGCAATCCGGAAAAAGAAATTGTCGCTCTGGTAACCGTACGTCTTTCATGATTTAAGTTGATGTTATTTCAGTTGAAAGATGCAGGCGTACAAGATTCTCGGGTATCATTGTATCTCAACGGGCAAGATGTTTCGAAACTGATGTGCGCTTAGGCTCAGGCAGCATCGTCTGCTTTTAGCAAGAGGCTTCCTGAGCTAAGGTTTGAATGTAGATGTTTTTTGAATTTGTCGTTTATCTCGATGTTTCAGAAAAGCTTGCATTTTGCAATCAAGTCAGCTTTCAGGCACCTCCTTTGTTCGAAAGTAAAACCCCAGGTCCTGCTGAAGACTTCGCTTTACAGGAAAATACTTGGTTGACTTTGACTGGAGATTAAACCTTTCCCTTGAAAGCAAGTAAGAAGGATATTAGTGTTGCGTCTGTAGTCACTGATTTTTCTTTCAGCTGCTTTTCTGGATTGCGGATCCCTCATCTTCAGGTTGTTTCGAGGCATGAAAGGGGGAAGATTATAGCCTTAATCGAATGCACAGGTCATTTTATTCCTTAGCGATGGAGCCGGGCAATTAGAGGAAGTCGTGATGGAGCTGGATGAGACAGAATTTGAATTGCTTCTTTCTTCCATTGGCAAGGTGAAACCAATTTGAGATCTCATGCTGAATCATAAACTTGCAACAGCTTAATCAGGCCTGCAACAACATGGCGATCTGACTCAGGCTTTCTTGAACTGCAAATTCACATTTATTGAAGAAAACTATAAACATCGAAAACATGAAAAACGATTACATTGATCCAAGATTCAGTCGAGATGAATCCAGGAGTCCATTACCCTCCTTTCCTTTCCACTCATTTTGAACGATTTTGAAAAATCGGAGCTGATCATACAGTTGCGCCCTCTGAGCTTGTGCTCAAGTGTGTTATTAGAATAGGCCTTCTTCGCCGCCAATGGCAATGCAGCAAAGTAACAGCAAAAGACCATGACAAAGGACCATAGGTGGGAGATGTTCTTGTACAGAGTTGCATCCAGTGAATTTCGCCGACAACGTGGCGATTCGCTCAGAGATCGTGACTTGGTATCGTATGCACCCATCGCGACATCTTCTTCGATCTCTGCTTCGGCTTCGGTGGTTGCAACGCTCTCGGCACGGAAAGTATGTGAGGGTCGACCAGGCGCTTGAGGCTGCTGATACGGTCCATGCTCATTCATCCTTTTCATGTCTTCCACTTCTGTTTGGAGATCCAAACCGATGGCGCGATTTGTTCTTGCACGCCCATTGTCCTGCGAAGTCAGCATCCAGTGCTTGTTTCTCTTGATTGGAAACTTCACTGGAGCAGGCATACACATGTCGGTGCTGGTAGCCATTGCACAGGCTTCCATAGGTAGGGTTTGAAGGGCTTCAGGGTAGTACTTGACGAGAACATGCGAAATGTTTCCACCGCAATCAGAGATGGGAAACATGGTCAGATTGCAAGAAATCGGCACACACTGACTAGAGTAAAAGACGATGTGGCCGTCTTGTACGACTCCTCTCTTGCAGTTGGTAATCATCGACTGGAACGTGTGGACATCCGTTTGCGGTCCTTCAATCATTCTTGGGGCACAGTTCTGTGACTGCTGCTCCGTGAAGCCAAACAGCCTCGAGAATTGTGAGCTTGCAAAAGTGAACCTCCTTGGTCTTGATGTGCACATCAGCCCTTTCGCAACGTTTTCATCTTTCATCGCTTCTGATATCGTCATGGCCTCCGAGTTAAACATCTCGAGAACGCACACTTGTTGCGACCGAAAATTATGAACCCGTGCCACTGTCCTCAACAGCATTGGTGTTCCATCGCTGGAATACAGCGTCAAGTGAGCTTCGGCTGATTTCTCCGTCGAGGCCTTCATTAACAATTGATGCAAATTAGCTGTATGCGTGTATGGTCCTTGCACAATTCGCAGTGTTCGGCTGGTAATGGTTGATCGGGAGTATCCAAATTTCTTGAGCCATTCGTCGTTAGTCCGCAAGATCTTCAAAGGCGATTCCAGAGAAATTGCTACTTGGCATTCTTCTTCAAACATCAGATCCTTGATCTGTTCCATGAAATCGCCGTCGTCACTGGTTGTGTCTGCTTCGAATTGGTAGGATTTCTTGGAAGATGGCATCACTGGCATTTGCCAAGGAGCAACTCTGATGGAGTCCACCATGACGTTTCTGAGATAGAGTTTGCTGTGCTGCACAGGAAATGAGGAACCTTTCTGACAGCTCTTGTCGGTTAGGATAGAAAGGAAGTTTGAGGGAGAGACAGAGATATGGGACGAAAGCAAAGGAGGGACGAGAGTGAAAGAGTTTGGGAGAGGGAAGCAGCGGGATTTTGGAAGGGTTGTTGGTTTTGGTTGCTGTTGCTTTGTTTGCTGTTGCTTTGTTTGCTTACTCGGCTCGACAAAGAAGTACGCTGTGACTAGGAGTCACAGGAGGGGGAACGAGATTTGCTGACTGTTGGCACCCTTTAAGATTCAAAAAGATGCTTTTTCGTCAAACATACAACCCACATCCGACATCTCGAAGGCTCAGATTTGCTTAACAATGTTTTATCTCACTTATTTTCAGATATGCTGACGGTATTTTTGAAGTGGTAAAATACTACCTTACAATGTTCTGTCTCATCATCAGCAGTACCGCAGAAGGCCGATACAAGGGGGGTAGGGTGGCAAATGCTATGCACTTAGCCTTGGTAACCTATTGCTTCACCTATAGAATATTCATTCTTCAAGGCTATGGTATCTTAACAACATCTCGGGGTGGGGTGGCCGAGTCAGCAAGCCTTGTCGTGAGACCACTGCCTTTCGACTCGCCAGGGAAAAGCTCACTGCCTCGTGGTATTGCAATATTTACTATTGACTTACTCATGAAATGATCTACCTTAGCCTGCCTTTGCACAACAGCGCTCTGCGGCATATTCTGACCACCTCTGGTGGGCAAATCCCACTCACGACAACCATCACCACCCCTCCTTTCCACTTCAAATGACCCCGACGTTTTGATTTTTGTTGACCACCCACCGTGCTAACGGCTCTAATCAGACCGGTAAAATGGGTTGCTGACAGTACTCGGGTCCACCAGCATCACTGGTTCCTTCGGATATTGTTGACTAAAGTTTGGATTCGTCCGGGCTGCAGCCATGCCACCAGCGTCCTCCAGCCATGGGCACAAAAAATAAAGTTTATTTTTATTTCGGGCAGCCACTAGTACTACTAGAGTCACTGAGTAATTAGCACGATCTTTATTATTTGTTTAAAATATTTGTACTGAGCCTGATTGTCAGCATCATTCAACTTGACTCATGACCGGACTGTTGTCCTCGTACTGATTTTTAACTTAACTTTGAGTAAAGAAAGGACTGTGTTTCCCGGATTTCCCGGAAGCAAGTTTCGAGTCGCCGCGGCCCCGGCGGCCGGGCCCGGCCGCCGGACCGTCTCCGTGACTCCAGCAGTAGTCCAGCACTGCCACCGGGGGCCACTGAGCCACGCCGGGTTGATGGACCTTCCGACTCGGAGCGACTCGAGTCCGACATTGAAGCGGCGCCGGGCCCGGGGCCCGGCCGCCGAGTAAAATTCAGTACGCGGTACTAGTTTGCCTTCTCAAAAACATTGAGTAAAACTTGAAGACTTGGCTAGAAAATGCGGCTGATGGCCCGCTGATGGCCCGCTGATGGCCCGCTGATGGCAGTGTAAATCAGGTTGGTATGGCAAGGAACAACAAGAGCGACGAGCGCCATAAATGGAACGCCAGAGACGTGGGGCAGAAAGCAAGATGTCAAATGATACCCCCATGACTTGCATGAGCGAGAATATTTGGGAACGTCACACCATGGATGTACTTCGGTCAAGTGGTGCTAATGTGCTCAATCTTGTATTCGTGTTCCTTTTCTGCTGTATCTCATCAAGTGGGGTGACGGTCACTCAGAGCTCGTTTCCTCGCGTTCATTCGCTTTCTTGCATCAAACACTACCACACCGACCGTGCTTTGAACCAACTTCGTATCAGAGGTGGTTCCGTAACGAATGAGCTGGATTTTTCAAGTGTTCTAGACGAAATTCCAATCCAAATGCTCCATGAGATTGAAAACAGGAGCACCTACCCTTCAAGGCCCCTGAATCGCTCATTGCAGATCGATGAGCGATTGTTAAGGGAGGAACAGGAAAGAACGAAATGGGAATTAGAATCCGCATTTGGTGAGAAAGAATTTTCCAGCGATAAGTACGAGTGTTTTTATTCTCTGATCTCATGCAAAAGCCTGAAAGCTCCACCAGGTATATCGACGAAACGGAGTCAAAGCTCGGAGCTCTGATAACAGATTCTGCGTTGCCGGACAGCGATGGGAATGAGGCATGCAGTGATTTGTCCATGCAGTGCGACAGAATGACATATTTTCAGTCAGAGTATTCACGCCTGATTGATGGCGTGTTAAATATTCAAAGAGCTGATATGATGACTGATGTTTCATCCGACCCAAACATCAAAATTCCAGGGGAGCGGTTCAAGACTCTCAAGGAAGCTATCTTGGAGATCCCTAATGAAGGTTACAACTTCATACTGGAGGTCTTTCTAAAGGTGGTTGACCAATGTATGATTGACGAATTCTTTTTGCAAGCCGGTTTCTCATGGACCTTACATGGTGATAACTTTGTTTGCTTCAACTTAATCACTATTCAATGTTGGTATGTCCAGGTTGTCCATGACTACCCTGAAGAAGATGACGACAACCGAACCTGGCCAGATTTGATCCACATGAAGGTGCTGCATTAAATTTTAATCTAGCTGTGTCTTACTGTCTTGCTTCAGCATGCCTGTAGCATTATTGGGGAACCAGGAGCCAAGGTGGAAGCAACGCTGAGTATTTTGTGTACGACGAAGAGAGTCGGTGCATGCGCAATCAGGTTCAGATTACAGTCCAGTTGTGATGTGAGTAATGAATTCGAATCAGGGGCATAGATTGGTTTGCCCATCGAGCATCTTGCTTGTATATTTTTGCTGGAGAGTGGGAGGTAGAGGTAAGCTTTCGCTCAACAATCGAATGCATCCAACTCAAAACTTGTTGTTGGCAGGAATGTAGCATCCGCTCCGATCATCCAGCGGGTGATGCGATTTACTGCAAGGGGGTAAGTCGTCTCCCACTGGCAAGGTTTAATCATGAGTGTTAGCCCTTTCCCTTAGCTGATTGCTCCAAAGGAAACGACCCAAAGTTCCTGGCACCCCTGTGTTGCCTCCTCGTTTTGTCAAGTTTCCACGTGTCAAGCTTAAAGTTGTACAGGTTTGTAGTCAAGATGGGTGAAGGGGATCTAAAATGGAAGCAGTGTGCCCTGGGAGGGGTCAAGGAAGGAGTTCCTACGGGTTGGGGAGTTGTTGTGTGCGAAAAAGCATTTCTATCGGTAACAAAGACTGTCATCGAATTTTGTCATCAAGCTATTGGTGTTGTGGACTGGTGCCAGGCAGAAGTGCTGGTTGTTCTATACATACTTGTTTACCCCCATCAATTCTTTTGTGTTCCAGGATTGCGATCTGCGTCACAACGGAAACGCCCTTTGGTTTGGCAACTTCTGCGATGTAATCTCACTCGGATGTTCTTACTCCTCGTGGCTTTTTGATTGACCCTTTACGCAAGGTGAAAATGAAACGATGCAAGATCTGGGACACGGTTTCCGCGTTTTGTCTTAGGACAATGTGGGACCACGGAACGAAGGTATGGAATAACAAATGCATCTTTAGCTTTTTAACCGTCGAGCAGTGTATGGCAAAAGATCAGGACATAGATGATGGACGTAACGCGAAACTATCTCTAGAGTCTTGCAAGGCATCATGAGGCTTGTTGTGCCCTGGGACATTCTATTGAGCTGCCGCGCAGGTTGATGCTCCAGCATTCGACGGGGAGAAATATCCAGGAACATTCAGGAATTTTTCATCCAGCTTCACAGTTCCCATGGTTCCGGCAAATGCTTCGCTGGTGAAGAATATGTTGATTTTGTGTCACTCTGACACGAGCATTTGTCCAGGTTCGCCCAAAGATACCGACAATCAAAGATCCACAAAATTTCCACATGAGGAATTTGAACAGGTATTCCGCACGGAACAACAGTTGTAATCCATTAAGTACTTGTTCAGGAATCGATTGGACTATTTTAAGAGCTTCGGGGCGGATCCAGAATTGGTGCAGGATAATCCTGATTACAGTGAGTACTGTTCTGAGGTTTCTTCTGCTTGTCTTGAACATGAAATTGTTTGCAGAGGATCCGAGTTGTGCCTTCACTCGATTACACAAGCACATGGTACCACCACACGAAGATGTAAAATGTACGGGCCCTGTCGAATTCCGGTCCTAGGGGGCATCGAGGTCGAGAAAACGATTCTTTACTGTATTACTATTGAAACAACGAAATCTTTCAAAGCTTGAGTGGCTCATTCCCCTGGATGATTGAGTTGATCTTTCCTCCGACGATGAGAGCTCCAACAAGGGGAAGGATTGCAACGGTCGTTGCTACTTGAGCAGCAATGAGCGCGCCACTGTTGTCAGGTACGCCAGCGATTACAGCAGCGTCGGCGCCCAAGGCAAGCATCTAGCAATCGAGTCAGTGACAAATCTCATGAACGACTTGGAGTACCGCATAGAAGTAAAGCGTTCCCGGTGACACGCTGACAATCTTCTTTGTCAGTGAGATCACGCGATAATCATCCAAAAGCGGAAGCAATTCCTCGGCCTTCGACAGCGCTCCCTGCGTACGGAACGAAGTTAATGTATTGCAAGCACATGCGGTTCTTATAGATTACAGATTTTTCCAACTTGCTTAGGAGTCCAGATTTTTCAACCTTGCTGAGAACCCCGGCTTTGCTCACAGCACTCAGCACCTTCAGCGTCTCAACTGTACAGAAGGATTGCGTTAGAACCGCAGCGATCGACGAGAAGGTTGCATCCAACCTCGTTCAAGCAGATCTACCTCCCTTGACTGCATTCTCAAGCTGCACAAAGAAGAGGGTCGTGCAGAGGCAATGCTGTTGGGGAGGGAAGAGCTGGGAGCAAAAGCGCTGGCGGTTCCGGCACATGCCAGAGCCAGGAGGACTGCAGACTGCATTGGGAGGACGAGAGTCGCACCGGTACCGGTGACTGCCATATAAAGGGTGAAACCCTCGTTATATGTCACTCAGGCATACTTTGAGTAAAGGCGTACGTATCCAGAAGGATACATGAGAGATGGCTTTCGACTACCACCCTATAATCTAGCTTTTTGTTGCTTCAAGGGTGGGTACTAGTACCGATTGGGTCAAGCAGGGGTCATGGCATAATGGAATTGGAGATAATCGGGGGTGGGGTACCTTATGCGATCGATTGCAAATTCCGAACTGTACCCCCACCCTCATGGAGACCTGCTGAACCTTCTTGGTACCCCCGTAAATATGTTATAGTACCCCCACCTTTGTGGACCCACCCACCCCATACTTGTGAACGACGTCTCTGATGATCTAAAACGGGTGAAGGAAAATGGCGTTCAAGCGAGGAAGAATGCAGGAGGGGCTCGACAGCATAAAGAGAAGAGATGATGTGATAGAAGTTAAGTGAGAGGTTGACCTAGAACAGATGTGCTATGAATTCGATATGAGACGGTATGGACAGGCCTTTTATGTTGTGAGAGTGATGGTCAGGCCATGTACCTAGTATACCTCGCAATGTTATGTTCCTGGCTGTTCAAGCCTCAGTTTTCATCTTAACATTTTTAACAACGTTGTTCCATTGACTTTTCCAACTCAGATATGTTTGAGCTTTTGTGGAACGCTGCTCTTCGCGAGAAGAAGGAGGCACCGGTAACCTGACAACTTGGCCTCCGGCGGCGCTTACCAGAATGCAGAAACCAGGCAACTGGGCGGTGGACCATGAGGGAATGGATCTTGCCTCCGGCAAGAACTAAATGATTGTTCAAATTCGATGAATAAATGTCTACTGATGTAGCTGTTATTGCTCATGGTCTCGTTTTTTTGTCTTGAATGCCACCAGATAAAAATTTTCATTTACTGATTTCATCTGCGATCAAATGAGATCGTTGGGAAGTACAAAGTTTGTCATACCATCATATTCGGCGACCGCTTTGCCGTCTTGCTTTGATGTAATGATAACACGCTTTTTCCCTCCCGCGACAACGAATTTCAACACAAAGTTTTCGCTACCAACAGTTCAGAGCATGATGATTTCTATCGTCTACTCACCTCGCCCAAGGGTAGTCGAGCTGGAATCCTTGTCCCATCCGCCAGAGCACCTGCCTCTCGTCAGCCTCCAAGTCAACTGGACGCAGCAGTTGGAACTTGTTTGGTCTTGGTGTCCACGATCTCTTCTGGCCAACCCTACGACACGTCAACACTGCCCTTGCGATGGTAGACTTCTACTCACATCAACGAACCCTTTCAATTGTACATAACCATCCTTGTACTGTCAGGTAGCAGGTGTGAACGAACAATGGCGGAGACGGACAGCTTTCACCTCGAAGAACTCTCTCTGCACTGCAAGGTTTGGTCAGCACCTCCCATCGTGTCACTCGTCTCTTACTTGGGGCCTCAGGGTCAATGAACGCCTGGATCTCTTCCCTCCATTTGATCTCCCGAATGATCTCGTTGAGGGCCTGGCATCACTGTCTCAACCTCTGGAACTCGCTTCCACCAGCCTGGGTTACATCCTGCTCCGTCTTGCCACGTTTGAAGAGCCTCCGTTCAAGGTCGTGCCACCCGCACACCTCTGTCCACTGAACAGGGGGGTTTCAGTGCCTCCAGGGTTCGCTCGCAGGAGGAGAACCTTTCGTAGCGCTTGGATGCTGGACGCTTCACCGATCACTTGTTGCGGGCAAGGTAGGCCGAGTATCTTGGGAACAAACAATGAGCGCTGCTCGTCTCGAATGAACACAGCCGACCTTCCTTGCTTCTGTGTTTGACAGACAGAAGAACTTGTTGTACCCAGACACACAGCCTACAAAATGAACACATGAAACTCAGATTATACAAGCTTCAAGGTCACCAGCTAATCCATATTCAACCCGGAGTGCCTGTGGGCCCCTTGAATATCTGCGTTTCCCGTCAGAAGGCGAAGGTTAAGGATCAAAGTCTCATAGGCTACACCGGAGCAAACCACCGAGCATGAAGAATCCTTGGGGCGTGAGGAAGATCTAAAACATTTCATAAGATTGAATCGAAGCCCGAATCATCAAAGAAACCTCGCAAAGGTTGTAAATGTTACTGAATACCACGTAAGGCCCCATCGCTCTGAAGCGTTCAAACGATTATTCGAGTCTGAGCAAGATCTCCAGCTGTATTCACCGAACTCTCCAGTATCCTTCTTTATCAGGAATCTCGTCAGAATAAATCGGCGTGCCATATTGCCTTGACCCTCGTCAGAATGCTGCACATGAACAGTGTGATGTACGATGGCCTGATGTAGGTTGTGTTGAAGAGGTCTCCGTCATTCATGCGGTCCTGCTTTGGTATCCATCCAACCTGAGCCAGGGAATGTGAACAACATCCAAACAAGGAAAGACAAAACCAACCTCCGAATAGAAGATTTCTTTGGACAACGGAACAGCTCCCGTAGGCACGCATGGCTTCTATCGGAGGACATCTCGGTCAAGGCACACGACCACACGAATCGATCCAAACCGCGTCGCCAAGAAGATAGTGATCTGCTCCACCCATCGCCTCTATCCATCCCAAACCTAAACGCTGATGATTAGGAAGGTACCAAAAGTTGTCATTACACCTGTGTTGTTCCTCATGTAAGAGAAAATATCTTCACATTCCATGCTAACAATAAGTGGAGCAGTTCTATTTAGACCAAGCGTATCGAAGACAAAGTGTAAGTCGGAGCAGATAAAATCATGCGATCTTACTCGAACAAGCCTCCATCTTCCATGATCTCGGTGACCTGAGAGGATTTGAGATGCAATCACAACTACTGAGAAGATGATCATGGACCTGATGTCGAGGCGTAGGTCGCACATTGTAACGACCACAAGATCCAATAAATATTTCAATTTCTGTCTCCCACCTATCGCAAGCATCACATTTTCAACTGTAGTTTCCTCTTCTTCTGCCTCTAACCTCCTGTGGCGCAGACAAATTGTATCGTATCCAAGAGGATTTTTCCCCTAAAAACAATCATTTCGTAATCTTTAGGGAGACAAACTGACTTTAAACATGTCCCAAGAATCGAATGCAGTCTCAGACGCTTGCATCATGTCGGCATCTAACAAATCAGCTCAAACGACGACTGCGCAGAAACATTCGATGCTACCGAAGCGGTCAAAGTCTGCCTGCTCTGGGACGGGTATTTCAAAAATACCACACCTCTCGTAAATGACTCTAAATAAGAACAATTAGCGAACAAGCAAGCAGTCAAGGGATCTACCTTTCAGGTTCAGGCTTGCTGACTGTGTAGTTGCTCAGGTCGTCGCTGTCCGTCGAGTCCGTGGTCTGAACAACAACTCGATCAGTGATACCAGAGGTGATTTGCTATGAGGAATGGAACCTTCAACCTGAAGCCTTTCTCCGGAGGATCCTCAGGCGGATCTGCAGGAAGATATCCTAGGAATTCTTCGTGCAACTTGTTGACAATCTTCCTGTATTTTTCTGCTTTATGCTCTGTCGGATCCTCCAAACGCTGCTGGTATTTGATCAAACGGCCAAACAACTCGAATTTATCCAAAGTAGGAGCCCGATTCTTACTTGTCATGTAATCAGTGAATAGTCTGTAACGTTTAGCTTCGTCGTTCGTTTCACCAGCCTTCTTGATGTATTCTTCAAACAATTGAATTTGACGGTCGTGCTCTAATGACATCTTTGTGTCTTCTGCTTGCAGGATTGGGTTGCTAAAGACACTTGTCGTTCCAGCCATCGAGATGTTCTTCTCAAGATCATTGAAAAACCGCTCGGACTCCTCTTTCTTGTCGATTTCTGCCAGCTCTGTCTCATTCATGGAGCGCCTCTGGAACAGCATGTCATCCAGATTGCCTTCTGAGGAGCTGTACTCCATCGAGAATGACGATTCAGATCCTCCTCGAAGTCTCAAAGGGAGGCTCATCCCTGTCAGTAAGAATCCTCCAGCTCTGTTCTGCTGACTTTGCTGCAGGAAACACAGGATCAAGAGCGACAGTGAAGGCGTGAATACACCAGAGGTTCTCATCGTGCAAGGGACGAGGTTTCTTCGCCGTCCTTGGTCTTTCTCTACCTTGTCTTCCTGATGATCAGCAGCCTGCCTGCCTCCTTCTTGCTGTCTCTTGTCTTCTCCTCAACCCTCCTCACACCATGTTCCCGTCGGCCGCATCGAACTGAGAATCAAGTCGGGGATGAGGGGGGTTTCACGAGATGGGATGAGGGCTTTGTTCCGCTGGGGTCGAGCCCAGCGCAATGGAGCGATACGATGGGGCGCTGCGGTTGATCGCTCATGCTGAAGACCTGGAGAAAGAGAGGAAGGCAGAGGAAGCAGCACAAGAGTATCTGCAGGCAGTGGATGCCATGCTAAGGCTGCTTCAGAGTGAACGGAGTGACGATATAGCTAACCTCATCAAGAAGCATTGTTCGCGGTGGGTTTTGTTCCATCTGGTTGAGAATGATTTTCCTGTCAGGTTGATGGATAAGGCGCAGCAGCTCAAAGAGCTGCCGAGTGAGCGCGCAGCTCATGCCAAGAAAGAAGCTGTCAGGCTCGAGAATGCTGCCAAAGAAGCCGAGAAGAATTTGAGGTTCTCGCAGGCAGCCAAGTGCTTTGCCGATGCTGCAGCTGCATTTAAACAGCTGCGACTGAAGTCCAGCGGACAATTGAAAGAATGGGCAGGACGACAAGCCATTGCGATGATAGAAAAAGCCGAAAAGTACACGACGAATGCGAAGGCTGCCATGTCAAACGTTCCCCGACGGGCCAGTGAAGATGATTGTGTCCTGGGATTACCTCACGTACCTGGGAAAGCTGATACAACTCCGGAAGAGGCAAAACAACCGAATCTCTATGAAAATCCGGCGGCCACTGCTGGTGTGCCTGAGAGCCTTACTTCTTCTTTCGTTCAAGGAAGGTCGAACAAAACCAAAGAGGAGGAGCTTGTCATTCGGCAGGGGAGCAAGATAAATGGCAAAATTTATGAGCCGATGTACGTGAATGATACAGATTACTCAAACTTCTCAGGTGACATCTTTAAGGATCCAGCTGGTTTGCCACCTCTTTCACAGAAGCAGAAGAAGGAAGGTGCTGTCTGGGCAAGAATTTCTCAAATCTACTCGAATCCCGTGGTGATCAAGCAATTCACGTACGAGAATATCACGCAGACTTTGGTAGGAGATTGTTCGTTTGTGTCTTCTCTTGCCGTATGTGCTAGCTGGGAAAGGAGGTATGGAAGAACCTTGATCAGCAGAAACATCTATCCGCAGAAGAACAACGTCCCTGTCATAAGCCCTTCAGGAAAGTACATGATCAAGATGTATTTGAATGGAGCTGTGAGGAAAATTGTCATCGACGATTATCTTCCAGTGGTTCAGAGCATGCCGCCTCAGCTATTGTGCAGCTATTCACGGATCGGCGAGGAAGCATGGCTACCCTTATACGAGAAGGCATACATGAAACTACATGGAGGGTACGACTTTCCAGGCTCGACCAGCAGCATCGATCTGCACGCCCTCTGCGGATGGATTCCTGAGACATTCCATTTGAAAGAAGACAGCAAGTCCAGGAGCGATCCGGAAGAGGCCTGGCGGCGGTTGGAGCAGGGGCAGAAGAAGGGGACTGCACTTTTCACCATGGGGACCAAGTCACTCTCGGCTGACGAAGAGGAGCGATCAGGTATTGCACAACATCCAAGTTTCTCGACGCAGTTCTTGCTCTCCTTACCTTTGCCTTGTTCAGGACTTGCAAGCCAGCATGCGTATGCTGTGCTGGAAGTAGTCATGGCCGGAGGAAGGAGACTGGTGAAGCTTATGAACCCGTGGAGGAGGATGAGATGGCGGGGAGAGTTCTCGCCGCACGACGAAACAAACTGGACGCCAGCACTGCGAGCTGCACTAAAATACGATCTTGACTCAGAACTGCTTGAGGATAACGGAGTTTTCTGGATCTCGTGGGAAGCGGTCCAAAATTTCTTTAGTTCAATTCACTGCAGCTGGAGTCCAGCTCGATTCAAGTATCGAAGGAATGTACATGGAAGCTATCAGAACGTGAAGAATCAGCGGAGATGTTTGGATGACAATCCTCAATACCTGCTGCATGTCAGAGCGTCCACCGATACCATGGTCTGGGTCCTGCTTGACAGGCATTACTTGGACACCAACGACGAGCCCCACATCGCGTTGCACGTCTATCAAGGAAACAGGAGGGTGTACTATCCTGTCAATCCTCTCATTCACTCCGTGTACAACAACAACCCACACTTCCTCATCCGGCTCAACTGCCGCCAGGGAGAGAACACGTTCGTCCTTGTGGTCTCCATGTACGACGAGGGGGCCAAGATGAATTTCACGCTCACGTCATACTCGGCAGACCCCTCGGCCATCACTCCGGTGCTGGACTGCCCTAAGATAGAAGTCAAGAGAAGCAGTTTCTCCAAGGTCTTCAGACATAACTGGGCTGAGGAATCGGCAGGCGGCAGCATCAACACCGACAAGTTCGACATGAACCCCATGTTTCGGATCGACAGTCAGCACACCCAGCGCATCTTCATCAAGATCCGCCCGTCAGGAAACTCATCGGTGCACGTCGGGATGCACTTGTTTGTATCTGGAGACCGCGTGCGTCGGAGTGAGGCTCAGGAGATGACGAGTCTCGATGGAGAGACCCAGTATCGCTCGGAGTGCATATGGCGGGAGTATCAGATTGCTGAGGGCAGCTACACCCTGGCCGTGGCAACCTTTGAAGTCGGCTATGTCGGAGAATTTTTGGTAACGATAAAGGCGGAGAATGAAGTCAGGATCGCCAAGTTGCCACCATTCAGAGCCGCGCCTGCTGTGGAACCAGCGGGTGAGGAAAATTCACCAAAAGCAAATGACGGAGAAGCAACTTGAGGGGGAGGAACGTGAAGACATGTACATTTCTTTGTGATTTAGTAACAAACATAAGCTAGAGGACAATTCCACTTTCATGCTTCACGACTGTCCTGTAAGTAGATCATCAAACAAGGGCTCTTTTCACCAAATCTTTCACATACCTCTAAGCTGGAGTTGCCTTCCTCAATCTCGGAGGACAGTTCGATTCCTCCATCAGCCCATTGAATTCCATCTTTGTCTTGCGAGAAGTTCTCGTGAGGGGCTTTGAAGGAGGCACTTTGACTCGAAAACGCAAGGTGCTCTCCTTGTGGATGCTTTGACTTCCCCTGTTTCGAAGCTGCAAGCATGCGATCAGTTGAGTAGAATACAACTATAGATACGCCCACCTTCGCGCACTAAAGCGTCAAAGAACCTAACGTAGTTCACACCCCCTCTGAATTCCCTGGCAATACAGTCACGCATGAATGTACCAAGCAAGGTGCACCTGTCTTGTACTTTTGTGAGCTTGACCAACTCCATGATGTCGTTCTCCGAGAATCCAGTGAGCTTGGGAGATATTATCTCCATGAACTCCTCGAGACTGATCACTCCCTCGCTGTCTTTGTCTGCCTCTACGCATTTCTCCCTGTATTCCTGCAGTTCATGCTCCGAGACTCTTCTCAGGAACCTCACAGCGACAGGCTCCTTCTGAAACATGGCAGCTACACGGAAACATTCAGACGATCAAGACCATCTCGAGTCATTTCTGCTTACCTGTTGCCTGATCGTCGGTATCCATGAGCCTTTCTGTGAATTTGTCCATGGAGATGAGTTCAAACTTTCTCGTCTGTGCTTCAACGACAGCTCCAACGTAGAAGTCTGACTTGGAGTAGTACTTGGTCTTGGTTCCAAAGGTTCCTGGCTTCTTTAGCTTCATCCTTTCCAAGAACTTTCCAGAGAACATGCCTGTATTTCTTCCATCCCCACTCGTCTCCCATATAGAGATGGTGTCGTCGGCAAGGTAGAAGGAAATGATGAAAGTCCTTATCTTCTCCTCTGGTCTGTCCGATACCCACTTGGCTTCGAACCGGAGAACTTTTCCGGCATATTTCTTGTACTTGGCCATGTCTTTGTGGATCGGCTTAGGCCGCAGCATCCTGCAGTTCTGCATGGAATCCTCCTCAGCTCCAATGCCGTTGGAGGGAGGAGTTGGGAGGCGAGGCAGGGGAACAGTCTGCTCAGAAATATCGATTGAGGTCATGACCTCCCCGAACTGCTCTTGATAGAAGTCCCTTGTGAACTTGTCGCAATCGTATATAAGAATGTCTTTCCCAAGAATGTTCACTTTGGCGCCTACAAAAAGGTCGTTTACAGCAAGGCAATCTTCAATCTTCAGCGACTTCATCGCATCGAGGTTTGTTGGTTCTCTAGGAACTCTCTGTCGGGCAAGGAATCTGGACTTTTTGCCGCTAGCTGAACCCTCAAACTCTTGAATGTCGATGGTAAAATCGGACAAGTAGAATCTCACAGCGAGAAAGTGTCTCAACCCAAACAAGTTGTAGCGATCATCCCAAATTGCATAGAATCGCAAAACTTGTCGATCATACGTGAGGAATCTATGCTTCACTTCTTCGACTTGCATCAAATCCTTTTGAATTCTTCTCTGTTTCGCCATCTCGTAATCTCTTCGCTTTTTCATCTCGGCCATTTCCCGGATTTCATATGGGTCCTCAGGAGCTTGAAGAGGAGGGTCCATTTCAATTCCTTGCTCTATATACCATGACCTTGTAAATTCATCGCAATCTATCAAATGGATATGCTTCGCTCTCATCGTGATTTCAGCTCCAATGAAAAGATCTTTCCAAGAATAATTTTCTGATCCATCTTCCTTTGAGACTTGTTGTCTTCGCATGATACAGCCTTGATTCAAGCCGCTGTTCTCTTGTCTGGGCTCCATGATCATGAACGAGTCGTCTATGAGATAATAAAGAAGAATACACTTGTGTACTATCAAGCGATCCGGCCCTGTCAAAAGGGACATCTCATCCTTGAACCAAGCTCGAAATCGCAGTATGGTTTTATCCAAGACAACATAGTTTGGCAGCTTTGGAGGTTTGTTGAGGTAAGATATCATGTTTCGTTGGGAGTGTGTCAGCCTCGAGCTCATGGAAGAATCGATGAAGGTGCATGGCGCTGTCCACGCTCGCATTCCAGATGAACTAGACCAACCAGGTTTGAGGCCACGTCTGGTGGCTCCGGAGTCTCTCTTGTTCGCGACGACTGGGTCCTTCCTATCGATGGAAAAGCCATTGGTGTAGGAGAGCGTCGACCCCCTTGAAAATCTCTGATTCTGACACATCAAACACAACTCAATTCAAAAGAAAAAGACTTCAATCAAGACAATTCCCACTCACCGGCAAGTTGAAGTTCAAGGTATTTCCTGGCAAGAATGGGACTTGCGCATTGGTCGCGATAAAGCTCAAGTTTGCATGTGAGGAACTCGAAATTTGGCCTCGAGAGCTGCTCATGCTTGTCGGAGTTACGAATCTGGTGATTCACCAGGCTGTTGAGGAGGCCCTCGCAAGGATCTCAGTGCTTGAGTCTCTTCAGTGATAGAAGCTTTGCTTGCAGAGTAACAAGTTAGAGGTGATGAGATTCTGTTACACTCGCGGGTTTCGAGGGCACAGCGACTTACAAGCTCCTGCCATGCGGTCGGGCGTCAGGCGGCGACGTCTAACGGCTGCGTGGGAGAATGAAGGGGATGCGGGACAACCTGGTCCTGCTCACCGTCTCAAGGCGAGGCAATACTATCGGTGCAGTGATCCGTAGGTCCGGCGCCCGCCGGGCCCGGGCCGCCTGCCGCTCGACGGCCGCGCCAGGCCGCAGTCCGAGGCTGAGGCCCCCACGAGGCAGCCCCCCTGAATGCCCCTGGCCTCTGAGCGGCAGCGGACAGTACTCCTGATTGTCCTCGTACTGATTTTTAACTTAACTTTGAGTAAATGAGAGACCCTGTGACTCAGCGCGGCCCCAACTTCCGGACGGTTAGCCCGCACCGGCAGCCTGCCACCTCGGAGTGGTGAAACGTGGACCGTACTCCGGTCTCGACCGTCGGACGGCGTTCAATGCGGCTTCCAACTGAGTCCCAGAAAAGTTTACTCAAAGTTAAGTTAAAAATCAGTACGAGGACAAGACCCGCGTGAACCAGTACCCGTCTTCCTCCCGAGAAAAAGGGGGGTGTTGCACCCCTGCCTTCGATTGTTTTCCACACGGCCTCCAATTATGGCGGTGAGAGCGGCAGTGCTGGCGTGCGCGATCTCTGCAGCCTCTTGCTTCCATGCGCCAGTGGTTTTGAGTGGATCCTCCCTCAAGTCCAACGCTCTGCTCAGATCTCCGATGGTCACGGCAGTGGGGAGAAGAAGCACATTCTGTGCTCCTCGGATGAGCGACATGAGCGACATGACCATTGAGATGTTGAAGCGTGTCGAAAAGACCTTGGGAGAGCTTCCAGAGACCGAACTCATTCGGGTATGTCTTGGTTCTTGTCAAACTGGGCACTCCGCACATTTAACTCTGCGTGTAGTTGCAGACAGTTTGCGCAAAGGTTGCTGCGAAAGTGGCAACATTGAGAACAGGATCCAAGTCTTCAGCAACTGCTACTGCAGCAACCCAGACGCAGATCTTCGACAGTGATGAAGATAGTGACAAGTACTATGGAATCGGAGAATCTTCTTCAAAGGATTTGGAAGATAGTCTTCCAACCTTGGAACAACGGTATTCACTTGTGAGCAGCAGAACTTGAAACTCATCCTCATTTTTGCGATCAGAAGGGCCGCAAGGCCCACGCAAGCTAGTCTGCCGAAAACTCAAGCAGCACCATCACCACCACCAGCACCAGCAGCTTCAACACCTACTCCTGTCAAACGCGCCGGGTCCACCGAAGCAACTTCAGGAAGCAGGTCTAAGTACCTTGACATTAAGCCTATTGACAACGTTAAGACTGCAACTGACGGTCAGTGAGCCCGAATCTTATTTATCATATGACCTGATCATGCACTATTTCTTGCAGAGTCAGTTGTCGATGATGATGAATGGACAAAGGAGTATGTCAAGACCTTCGGAAGCAAACCAAATCTTGATCCCCTCATTGATGATGAGACCCCAAGGCCACCTCCAAGTACTTGCGCTCCTGACTATGCTCCGTTGTGCTCACGTTCTCCTGTGCAGGGGCAGGAGAAATTGATGGATTTGCAAAGATCAGACTGGTGCAAGCAAATGCCAAGTCTTATCCGACACCTCAGGACTACATGGATGCTTTGAACGCTGCGATCTTCGAGTGGAAAGCGTGAGTGCGCTTGAGTTGCTGGCATCGACATAGAGATCACCTGTTGCTTTTTCAGAGAGCGTTCAAAAAGAGGGGAGCTGGCAGGAGCCGTTGTCTCGGATCGTTACATTGACCAACTCAATTCGGTGAAGGGAGGTTCAAGTGCAATGCTGGATAGCGTTTCTGCAAGAAAGTTCACGCTTGATAGCATGCTCGTAAGACATTGTGTGATACGAAAAAGAAGGTGATGGTGGTGAATAGGTCGAGGAGAAAGGGGTCGATTCCAACGGCAACGAGCGGGGAGTTCTTGTGTTTACCTCTGTACATTTCTACTCGTGCAGCAATGCTTGAAGCTAATGCGGATGTAAGGTGGACGCTCCTGGAAGCATGGGAATGGCAGGAGTGCAAGTTGGCGATGCCCTCTTGGAAGTCAATGGTGCTGAAGTCCAAAGCTATGCCGATTTGAGGTAAATGCTCTGCAACCTGATCCGTCTAGATTCTGATCAATCCGAAGGACCGCCATGTCGAAAATCCATTCGACCGGCGAACTGTCTGCTGAGGTCTGTCAGTTGTGATACGCTAAATTCAATTATGTGACATTAATTCTTCCCTTCTTTATCAGGTTGTCATACAGAGACAGGGCAAGCCAACACCAGAAAGGATTCGGGTTAGCTCCAAGTAATTTTGTTGATGTACTCAATCAAACAGAATCTCAAATTGTGCATCACTGAGCTTAAGTGAATCATGGGGCCGCCGCTGCCGGGAACTTCATTTGTCATGACTCTCATTCGCCGCCGGGCAGCGGCGGCTGTGCCGGGAGTCGAGTCCGGCGAAGTCACCCCCGAGTCGGCCCGGCCGAACTTTCCGAGCCTCCGATGTGAGTCAGCGGTAGCCGTTGTCAGAGGGGGTGCCACGACCGCGGCGTCCGACGGTACGGTCACCGGGGTCCGGACGGGTGCGGCGCCGGGCCGCTCAGTCACGGTGGCGCCAGCCGCCTGGCTCAGTTCCGGTGCCAGGCTCCGAGCTCACTGAGTCATATGATAGGGCCGGGGGGCCGCTGCCGGCGGACCGGGCGGCCGTTCCCGCCCCCCCGGCCGCCGGTAGCAGTGGCCCGGGCGGACTCCCGACGAGCCGGCCGGCACAGTGTCAACGTGGCGGCACGCCGCCGGGCGCCGGCGGCTCAGTGGGAGTCACTGGCGGGCCCGGCGGGCCGGGCCGCCGGGTCCCGGCGATGGTATCATTACGCCGGGAGAGCTTCCTTACGGTCACGGTGAGGAGGCCCAGGTCAAATCGTAGGGGTGAAGATACGGGGGGATGAGGGGGTGATGGGTGATAGACCACCGAGATGGAGGTGGTTTGGGCAACAGGAAACTGAGAGCAAAGCAAGGAGGGATACTAGAACACCTTGTACTACGTTGATGATGTTGAACCTAATCACACCTTATCGCCCTTTGGAACAAGTTCATCTTAGCATCCATCATGCTGTCTGTATGTTGAACTCTCGCAAACAGAAAAAACATGGCTTCTTTGCGTTTTGCCGGTAGACTGGCCCGAGCTTTGCATTGTAGTTTTGCCAGTCATACCAACAAGGCAGGCTGGCAAAACTGACCAAAAGATTCATTCGATGTTGAGGCACTTGAAACGCTCAACCTGTACTGAATGCAGAATGCAATCAATCGACATTTTCGAGATTTGATTAGAATTTTTCAGATGTCTGCAGATCCAACTGGGGCAGCGGCTGATGGGACTGGAATACAGCGAAGTGGTTCATTCAAGGGAAGTGAGTCTTCCTTCAATCAAGGGGCTGAAATGTTGGGCTCAGATTCAACCTTGTTGACTTCTAATCAACGTTTTAGGACTGAAGAGCAAAAGCGTGTTATGAAATGGGCCAGGGTCGTGATCGTCTTTATTCTAGTATATTTCTGAAGCTTTTAATTTCCCATTTACCTTTCATTTCAGATCTTTTTCGTCATATGCTCTCTGTTTGATAAGGTTCGAATCGTCATATGTGCATGTGGGATGATCAAAAACGGGTCGAAAACGAATTGATTTTCCTCTACAGTACAACTCATAAGCATCGGAATGCTGTCATGCGTATGGGATGAGGAGTCTTACGTGGCCTCATCTGATGCCGGAATACGACAGCGCATTCGAAATATTTGTTGTCAGGTGGACGAGTTACTGTACAGCCATTTGCTAATGCATTGCTTTTGTGATAGGCTTTCACGATTTGTCTACCCGTGGGTCTTGGAATTTGGTTGTTCTATTTGCTTTCACAATCAGGATCAGGGTGAGTTTTGCTTGCTTGCAGCAGATTTTTATAAGCGCGGTCGCAGGCCATCTCTCGATAGTTTTTACACACCTCCGCCTTCAACTCCTACAAGTGGTTAGCAGATGCTAAGAGCAAAACTGTAGATGAGAGTTCCGGTGGACCAGTTAAAACCATCGATTGTGTTTAAACGAGATTCTAAATCTTTACAGGAAGTATCAATAATAAAGTCTTTGTGAAACGTAAATTTGATCCCGTTACTAATCTGTTCCTACGGACATTTTCTTCATAATTCTCTGCATGACTGAGTCCTTCATTCTTTGTAAGTTGAATGGAAAAACTTGAGCACAGATTACCTTTGAAGGATCGTAGGGATTATCTTTCGAAGGGATCTCCAAGACCTTGAAGCTAAAGATCAGAGCACGAATGAAACTTGAGAAATCACCGTCGGTATCATGCTTTCATAATCGTCCAGCAGGTAGCGGATACTGTCGGCAGCCTAGCAGCAACGATGTGAACACGCGCTACAGAAGCTGAAGGTATCCATTGAATACCGATTGGGTGATGAGGATCACGGCAACATCATCACGCGCAGTGAAGGCCTTGAAAGCTTCCTCGATCTGATTGACAGGAGTTTCTGTGCCGACACCCAATCAGAAAATATGTATCGTGAACAACACTCCGCATGACAGATGCGACATCAAGATTCCAATCTAAAGAGATGAAAGATATTACTGTTGTTCACGACGAGGAAGTTCGAGTTCTTCTTAGAATCAATCTGTTCGTCCATTCAGATGGTTTGCCAAAAAGACATATTTACCGACCTCCCCTACTCCCGCAAGCAAGAATCCTACGATAGCAAGTGTCTTAAGACGTAATCAACACAATCATTTCGTGAAAAATACCTGTCACAGTATCCTCGTCGCCAATCACGCAAATCAATGCTTCCCTCTTGCGGGCAAAAGCTGCCACATCGGATTTAGGTGGAAGGTTACAACAACACTTCGAGATGCAACTATCCGGAAAGATACAAAACTGCACAAGAATGGGCACAATAATGCTGACTTCAGAGACAATACTGGATCAAATACCTGCTTTCTTGTCCCCCATGAACCTTTCTATGAAAAAAAGCGTGTTAGGCTCAAACAGTAAGTTAAAGTCGAAGACAAGAAAATGAACCACCACCATGACAGAGTCATTATATCAAATCTGCTACAGGAAAACAATGCAAGATCGATCAGTTTCAACAAAAGTTGCAAGGATCACTATTTGTCACGATTAATTGCTGGGGAATGTGAGCAACGTGCAATCAGCAATGCACAAGTGCCGTGACCGATTGTTCACATTACTTGAATTTTAAGTGATGATAATTAAACATGAACTTTATGCTATCAACTGTATGCACAGCAAGAACAGCACAAGAAGCCATCAACAAGCAGCACTGTCGCGTCTTCATCCATTTCGGACATTACCTTGTAGGCGCCGCGGAGACTATGGCAGGGTAGGGTTGAAAAATCTGGTGGGTAGGGTACTACCCCTACCTTGATTTTTCACACAAATGTTTTAAATCGAGGGGTAAAAATCTTGCTTCAAAACTTTCATCGTAGGGTAGGTGGCCATGGAGTTTCTAACAGGTGGGGGTGGGGTTACTTGAAAAAAAAATCTACGACGCCTGAAAACAAGCCCGCCCGAGCGTTAAATTAGAGAAAGGCAGCTCCTTCACCATGACGCAAGTTGTCTCGTTGTTTGTTGCGCTGCTGTCCTTCGCACAATCTCTAGCTTGTTCCTGAGGCGCACCGCACTTGCTTTGTAGGGCAAGGTTTCCCGCCAATGTGAGTTTGTGGTGGTAGTTCATGGAAGGGAACAGAGAGCGGGGAAGACGAGCAAGAAGGAGAGAACGTGGCAAAGGAGAGTTAAAGTGTCGAAAAGGGACAACAAGACGACATGAAAGTCTTTAGGTTTGGTTGTAACCATTTGATCATTGTCATATCGAATGTGGGAACAAATTTAGCAAGGAAAGTTGACGATTTGACTGACCCCATGCAAGCAATGCCACAGGAGAAGAGGAAGAAAACTGAGGAGGAAGTCGCCGGAGAAGATGAAACGGAAGCGAATCCGGAAGGTTTGAAGTTGAGGAAGGACTCAGCTGGAAATTTCTGGGCAGAGGTATGGCACTTCACAACAAGAATCAGCCTTCGGTTAACCTGTGAATCTAGCTGTCCGACCCCAAAGAAAAGAGAGGAGGGAAGACCCAAAAGAGGATAACTGTCAACAAATTTAAGGTCCTCGAATCAATTCACCACAATCATGATGATTTTTGCTTTTTAGGGGAATGTAAATATCCACCTGAGGGAATATTATGAGAAAGACGGGGATTTTCTTCCTGGGAAAGCCGGTGGGAACGAGTTCAAATATGGTATGAGACTATCCGCTGAAGTCGAGCAAAGGTATTGCATTGAGTCAAGAACAATGGAAACTGGCCATTTCTCTGGCGGGTAAGCGAGGACCAGTTTCAAGTACCTTGAGTCCTCATTGTTGTGTTTCAGAGCAAGTGAAGGAAGCGGTGAAGGCACTAGAAAAAGAATGATATTCCCGACCTTACTTCGAATACCAAGTGAGCTTAATAAGGGTCTGATACGATGCATGCTCGATGCTTTTGCCAACACGTTTCAACATTGATTACATTAAAAACAAGTGAAAACATTGATTACATTCAATCGCTGTCCGAGCTTGAATCTTCCAACTCTTCCTCTATGGCTTTTGCCAACTTTTGAATCTCTTTCTGGCAAGCCTCCTTTTCAGCTGTCATGGCCGCAGCTCTCATCGCAAGATTCTCTTGCTCCATGGCAAGTATGGGCTCATTGGGGATCAACTCGTCCTCGACCGCCAGTCGACGCCGCATGTACTCGTTCTTCTGCCGCTCAGCTCGGATGTCAACTTGAGCATTGAGGATCTTCATCTTGAGCGAGTTGAGATAGTTCAGCGTGACCTCAACCCTCCCAGACGCGTCATAGGCCTGAGCAAACAGGTCGTGGAAGGAGTCGTTCAAGGACGCGACCTGCTGCTTCAGTTTGACATTCACTCGTCGCTCGAGCAGATGCGCGTGAGGATGGAGACTGTGGAGGCCACGATGGTGAAGGATGTCTGCGAGCAAATCCTTCTCCTCTGCTCGGAGTGCTTGGAAGGAAGACTTCTGCTCGCCGTCAGTCTCCCAGGCCGATCGAATCGGCTTGAAGAGCTTGAGGTCTTGCTCAGTTGGGATGCTCGATTCGTGTTCAAGGGGCTGTGATTGAGGCTGATCCCCCATCAACCCCTTCTCTCCTTTGATCTGCTGCTCACCCTGATCAACAGAACAAACACATTCGACAATAGCAGGGGATCACGTTTTCAGCTCCCAGTGCTTCCCGTCGCTCCCTCGGCATTTCTTCGCCCATGACGACGTGGCCAGATTCAAAAGGGAACTCATGGTACGTGAAGAGAGCCGAGGCTTGCACGCGCTGCCTCAGTCTCGAAATCCATCGCACCATGACGATGACGACAGCGATGAATCTTCCGAAGGCAGTCAGTTGGATCGAGAGGCGGGAAGCTGCAAACCTGGGGTCAAGCCGTTTCATCGCAAGTTCCTTGATCTTGTTAGAGAGTGAGTAAACCTCCTGAGGGAGGACAAACAGCTGATTGTTGTGAGAAAACGACACTGCTATGAAGGCAGCAGAGGACAAGCTCGCTACGACGAGGAGAACGGGGCCTGAGCAAGCAATCACAAGGGGATTTACCGGTGAAGGCTGTACCTTGTTGGGAGTGATCGACTGATCGAGCTGTTGACATCTGCATTGAAGTCGCTGAAGAAGTCAGAATGCAGAGAGCGGTGACGGCATGGAGGCACGACTCCAGGATGTTGTATCTGTTGTCCTTGAAGGGACGGAAATAGTTGGATGCAAACATGGAGATTGCGCTGATCACGAGGGCGACCGTGACCTGCGCCAATGCAGAGACAGGAGTGAACAAACAAGAAGGATAGGAGGAAGAAAGTCACTGAAAGACGATCATTCACCTGCAGATATCCGTAGCTAGTCAGAAAGACCGCTGCCGAGACGTAGCCGATGCGGCGGAGGAGGACAGTGAAGTACCACCACCAGTACTTGTCCTCATACGCGAGATAGAAATCGGAGAACCGCAGCAAGACGTCTGGATCCTGGAGCTCAGCTTCGAGAAAGGAGTAACTGAGAGAGCGCATGATGAAGGATGGGAAGAGGACGGCATGGCACAGGGCTGTGAGCGAGCCGATGGCGAGCAGGCCTACGTGCTGCGGCGTCCAACATTGCACGTCGGGGATGGCCTCCAGGCTCGAGCGCTGGTCCGTGAGCTTTCGGCACCTGAAGAGCTGCAGGCTGTTGGCGAGCGAGACGACGAGCAGCATGTCGTAGAGAACGAGCCCAAGCCGGAGGTGCTGCCCGCTGACTGAGCTCCTCCACTTGGTGTATGTGACGTTCAAGTCCTTCCGCTGCCCCCCTGTCCCTGTCTTGTCGTGTTCCTTCGATCCTGCTGGCTTCTCGCTCCCAAGGGCTCCGCCTTCGTTCGCTGTCTCCTCCACTTCCTCTCCTTCCTTGTACGTGGCCCGCGCGTCACGGGACGCGCTGATGAGCATGATCGAGTGCCAGGAGATCGGCCAGATGCCCTCCAGCTCTGCTCCCTGCTGCAGCTTGCGCAGTACCCACCGACGTTGGATCTCAAAGGAGAAGAGGAGGAGAGTAACGAGCATAGGAGGCAGCGGAGCAAGCAAGCACCTCTGTGCGACAGAGGACAGCTGCAAGCCGTAACATGCCCACGGAAGGAAGTTGAAGTTGAGATTGAAGAGGGAGAGCGAGCTCGCCAGGAACTTGGTGACGGCAGGCATCGGCCAAGCGAAGTAGGTGAGCATGTTGAAACACTGCAAGCAAGTCAACGGAAGCTTTCAGTCATGAAATCATCAACACGTTCACCAAGTGCGTCAGAGGGACGGCAAGCAACAGGTACAAGAATCGGCTGCACTCACCTGTCCCCATTCGAGTACCAGGAGATGCTCAGTTCGTCTCTTGATGAAAAGTTTGACAAGCTGAGCAAAGACAGTGAAGACAAAAATGACGGCGAAGAAGAAGAGAGCCGCTGGCTCTCCCGTGCATATTTCACAGCTCTCATCGAAACTTCTAAAAGCTCCATCGGCGCAGGCTGTACAGAACCTTCCCTGGTATCCTTCCTTGCACTGCGAGTTGTCCATCATCACGTGCGAGTAGTTCCTCGAAGCGAGTCTGCAGTCTCCTCCCTGCATCAGCCCTGGCAACGTTCGGTAGCCCAAGTCTGGTGAAGGAACAGACTCAGATGTTCTCTACTTACCCTCCTCCCTCCTCCCACCTGAGTCAGCGTATCGTTCCAGACCGGCGCAGTTGTCTCTCAAGGCCCTGTAGTTGCACTCGGTGATGTCTGCTGCTGTTCCGTTGATCCACAACTTGGTGTCTGACCAGAAGCCTGCGCGACTTAGCGGAGCGTTCCTTCCTCCTCCACAGAACATCCCGCGAGGACAGGGAAGGCAAGGCTGACCTGAGGAGGCGTCAGGAGGAGAGAAACTTTGAAAGGCTAAAGAAGAGGAGGACAAGAAAGAGGATGTTGAAGATGGAGACGTTGTGTGTAGCAGATTCAGGATGAATTCGATGACAGTGGAGAAATGAGCAGCACCTGTACACCCTCCGACGTTGAAAGATCCAATGGTACACTGACAATCAGTTGCATTTGCAGCGGTGAGACTCATCGTCTTGGTCCTGACGGGGCAGGAAGAGCAGGAGGTTCTGCCCTGTGCCTGGTTAAAGGAGACTGACCCACAAGAGAAGCAGGACGTCGCGCGATCTACTGGCATCATCCTCCCATACCCGCACTCCTTACACCTCCAGGCTCCCGGTTGATCGGAGAAAGTGCCAGGAGGGCAGGGAGAGCAGGAGGAGGAGGAGAGGCGAGAGGAGAACATTCCTGGAGGGCAGGGGGCGCAGGATGCACTCTTGGCTGAGGGTTGAAACGTGCCTTGCGGGCAGGAAACGCATACAGCTTGCAAGCCACTTCCTACCTGGTACGTTCCTCTCTCACAGTCCCGGCAGACGCTGCCTCCGAGGGGAATCATCCTGCCCGGTTGGCAGAAGACGTTGAAGAGGACGAGGCCGTCGAGGAAGCGATCTTGCTGCGTGTCGGTGAAGCGATAGCGGAAGCTGTCGACGTTGGGGCCAGCGGCAAGGCCGTAGGAGGAGAAAAAAAAGAGCTGGGGATCAAGGAGAAGTGTGTTGGCTGTCAACTGGTCACCAGCCGAGCCCGTCAGGACTCCAACCCTGGTGCTCTGGAGGAGGAGGAGAGAAGAACTGTTGAGCTGTGCTGCCAGTCCCCGAAGGTCCACAGAGACCCTCCCTCCTTCCTCCACATCCACCACAAGGTCTGGCAGCTTCACCTGGCGTACGTAAGGTGGGATTGGAAAGGAGGAGGAGGAGGAGGACTCAGCATCGAGCTGCCCGTCAGACACAATGATCGACAGGCCTTCCCCTCCCTGAAAGTTCTCCTCCGGTACATAAAAGACCTTCCCTCCCCGTAGCTGCTGCGGAATGCTGCCATGGAAGCCACTGACGAAGACTTGCGATGAGGCCCTGAGGTAGGATGGAACCTCTCCGACAGCACTGAGCGACCACGCGCCGCACGTTACGAGCCGCAGGGAGGTAGCCGGCAGCTCGAGTGGAGGGAGGAGGATGCGGAACACTTCGGGAAGCTGCATGACCTCCTCTGCCACCCCCACCCAGACTTGCACCCACTCGCTGCTGTTGGGCACGACACTCCACGTCTCCTCCATCTCTCTCTGCCTCTCGTGGGAAGCAGTGAGGTCGAAGCGAGTAGGGGGCGAGGAGGAGCCTCTGCTGTACAGCACAGAGGTGCGATCCTTATGCCGAAGGTCGTGGATGACGTCCCAGTCCACGTCCTCGCTCCTCACAAAGAGCCTGATGGGAGAGGAGAGCGGAAGCAGAGCATGAAGCTCGAGCTCAGAGACGTAGGTGACCCTCTGCAACCTGATCTCCTGCAAACGGACTTCAGGAGGAGGAGGAGGAGGAGGAGGAGGAGGAGGAGGAGGAGGAGAGCAAGAGTGATATACCAGCCCTTCCACTCCTGATGTCCCGCATTGCTCCTCCAACGACAGAGCTGTAAAACCATATCAGCACTTCTTTCCTCTCTTCTTCTCCTCTATTCACGGTTATCTCCCCCATCTGAAACCATTCCCCTGCCCTCCTCGCCCTCCCTCCTCTTTTCCTATATTTCCCTCCTCAATGTAGAACAGCTCACTTGGATCTCGGTTCCTCCTCCTGATCACCCTTGCTCCTTGAGGAACAGCTGCTGTTCCTAGCATGTAGGTCTGAGTGAGGGGAATCGACCGCTCGAGCCCCGCCACTTCCTCTACCAGGCCTCCCATCCTCGAGCTGTTCCTCTTGGAGGGGTTGAAAACCTTCCCTCCACGAGGAAATGCGCTGATGCGGAAGAAGAGCGCGTCCCCGTCGGGGTCGCTGGAGCTGTAAGAGATGGTCATCGTCCTGTCCTCGCCGCCTCCCGGCTCCATCCCCAGCTGTGACGGGAAGGGAGCTCGATTGATCGGGGTCCCTTGCACAGAGACGAAGGCGCTGCGGGAGAATGAAGAGACGTTGAAATGGTCGGAGCTCTTGGCCCTCCCCGGCCTCTCGATCTTGAAGGAGAAGTTGGAGGTGAAGGGGACGAACGCGGCCTGCGACTGGACTTTGACAAGGAAGAGCTCGTCCTGCAGTCCGTCTGAGAGTGGAGGTCCCTTGAAGGAGCAGACCGGCGGGCCGGGGAGGGAGTAGAACACATCCGAGTTGAGTGGAAGGGACGCGCAGGTGGTGCCTGTGTCTCCGATGGCCGTGGCAAGGCGGGAGGGTATTGTGGAAACAGAGCCAAGAGAACAGTTCGCTGAGGACGAGTACTTGAGAGCGTCCTCGAGCTCCTGCCTCCTGCAGGTGTCGGTGCAGTTGATGCAGAGATTCGTCGCGGCACAGTTGGAAGAGCAGCACGCAAGAGGATCCGTACAAGCGCCCCAGGTGAGGAAGTAGCTCGGGAACTCGAGCATGGAGAGGAAGAGGAAGTCCAGGTCCTTTCGTTCGTAGTCGATCCAGGAGAGCTGAACGGGAGCAACGATGCCCTGCTGGATGGAGATGCTCTGGTTGACCGGGATGGGGAGTGTCATAGGGCGGACAACATACTGTGTAGTGATCCAAGGAGGAGGGTTGTCGGGGTCGATCATAGCTTCAGGGATGAACTGAACGTCGGAGATGCGGATCATGAAGGTGTCTGCTCTTGTGTCGATCTTCACGAGCTCTCCCTGGTCGTTCCATCGCATCACGTTGGGCTGCCCGAGGTCCACTGGCTCGTACCACACTTGCATCTTTGGGCTGAGGATGAGCGGCTTCGTCCTGCCATCCCCCCTGTCGATGATGGTGGAGGGGTTCTCAGAGTCGTCACTCTGCCAGAGGTTGCCAAGGGTAGGGAGGGTCTCAACTCGAGCATAGAGCTTGCTCTTGTTTGTCTCGAAGTCCATCATCTTCAGGTCAATGAGCTGCCAGGACCCCAGAGGGACAACCACGTCCTCCACCTTGGCTCCCACCAGGGGAGCGTCGCTGGGGATTCGCATGGGAGAGGCAGCCTGCGAGCCGCCCCCAAGGAGCGCACTAGTCATGATGCGATTGAAGTCGTTCGGCACCTGAGAAGACCAGCGGTCGACGTCGTCCATGGTGTAGTAGAGCCAGAGGCTGAGGTTGCTCACTGAAAGGATCGAGGGGTAGGACAGCACCGTGTGTGAGTCAAGCTGCATCTCGATCTCTGACCGCACAGACTTATAGATTCTGAGTTCGTCCATCAGTCCCTCGAAGGATCTCGTGTGATCGAACGCGCCTCCTCTGCAGCTGCATCCCTGCCACCCCGCGTGAGCGACGTTATCATCCAGCCTGCACCTACCTTGGGGATTCCTTGGAGGAACGTCGGTTGTCGCTGCCGGTATTCGCCGGAGGACGTCACGATCTCCTCGAGCGCTTCCATCCTGTTGACGATGAGCAGTTGCTCATAGCTGCTCGAGTAGGCGGAGAAGGTGGACGCGGACTGTGCGCTTGCCCTCCAGAGCTGCCTGGCGCTTGTGTAGTTCACCGACCCGCTCTGTCCAAGGATGAGGTCGCCAGAAAAGGCGATTGGAGGGCCAACTGGCAACGTCGTCCTGTGTACTAACCTGCCATCGATGAACAGCTGGACAGTCCCGCTGATGTTCCACGTGACCCCGAGCTGATGCCATTTACCGTCATTCACGCTGAAGCCTGCTCCCTGCGTCACGTTGTTCCCGCGCACAACCCGCACATCATTCAGATCGCGGATCTCAAACTCAATGCCCGCGAAGGATATGAAAGAGAGCGGCACCTCCCCCTCCTTGCGGGCTCCCAGCGTCTTGATCCACATGCTCACTGTTATGGCTGACTCAGGGAAGTCTTGTATCGGAGTATAAACATGGTCGTCGGCGCCGTCAAACTTCAGACATTGGCCGGCGCCACCGCTGAAGGGCAAGTTGTTGCTTGCCTGGACCACTACCTTCACCCAGCAAGGGTCTGAAACTTGAGCAGGCCCGCTTGAAGGAAGAATAAAGGACCTGTAGTAGAAGGTTGATAGCGGCCCATCCGCAGAAGCCTGCTTCGGGTATGGGCGGTAGTAGAGGGCGTTATACGCATTCACTGTGTAAGGCACGGAAGCAACCTTGGTGCCTTGTAGCAAACCCTTACTCTGCATGTACACTTGCTCGTATAAGTCCCCCATCTCTGGTAGAGTCTGGAGGATGAAAACCTCCTCCGAGGTCTTCTGGAACTGAACCACAACCCTCTGGTCTTGCGAGGAGATCAACGTCAAGTTCGAGCAGACAAGCGCGTTGCAACATGTGAGAACTGTCCCAGCCGTGACGGCAAGGAACAACAACACGCTCGCCATGGCCCATCCCTCGCCGCCTTCAACCGCTCCCTGATCTCATCGCACAGCCCATCAAACTTACTAGTGTCTTCTTTACTCAAAGTGTCAATTCGCCGAGGCGGGTTTGCAAAGTTGAATACCCTGAAAATGCAGGTCTTGCGCCTCATCTCGATTGCGGTCGGCATGGCTTACCTGTCCCCGAGCGAGGCCTTCATGGCTGCTCCTCACCTGCACCTGACGCGACCTCGACCCTCTGCATCCACATGCCCAGTCTCTCCAGTGCACCTGCAGAGGTCTTGCCGGGCTCGACCCGTTCCGATGGTGATGTCCGCAGAGGCTGTGCCGATCAAGGACGAGCAAGTTGAGAAGATCAACCTCTCGTTCATGCAGGGCCTGAAGATGCTGGAGGATGGCAAGTCGATTCAGGTGAGGACAAGGGGCGCGGCGAGATGCTCAAAGACAGCATGCATCTCAGGATTCTCTCTCTGGTTTCGTTTCGAACGTGGCAGACATGTACGAAATAGGGACGAGGTATCCGAAGTGCAATGATAGAATCTGAATCTCACAACCATCGCTCGGCAGTTTGTCAAATCTTGAAACCAATCTGCAAGAGCATGCGTCAAATCAGGAAGTGCAGGTAGGGTGAACAAGCAGGCATCATCAACGTTGAGATTTGCTCGAAAGGGTAAGCGGCAAGAGTTGAGAAGCAGGTTGCTAAGCATCATATACCTTGCCTCGGAAACAGCAGGGTATTGCTGGTTTGCTGCGGAGACTTTCAATGATGAGCCTGCATGTCTTCAGATATCCGAGGAAGCAACAAGCAGAGCTTGGAATTCCTGACGACTTCCGTTCATCCTACAGCAATTTTGTTCGCAACCTTGTGGTCTTGAGGAAGAACGGTGGCACTCTACAGGTTTCTGTGGTCTTGAAGCATCTTTGACTGCTAATGGTCGATGTATCTCAGTCTTTCGAAGAAGATTTGATCAAAGAAGGGGACAATGCTTCCTTACCCAGCGGACTGGTGGAGCTAACAAAAATTGTACTTTTGACTTTTGAGGTATCGCTTGCTGCTTGCTTTACCTGCTCTCTGATTTATTCTGGCGACTTGGCAGGTTCTCATCTCAAAGAAACAATAGCTAATTGCTGTGTGTTTCTAGCCTTCGCAATCGATAACAGAATGTTGACCGAGTTGTAATGAGGAATAGTGGCTAGTGGAACTACTTACTATACAGGGATATGGACAGATTCCAAATACATTTTAACGTGAGTTCAAGGAATCGGGGAAATCATCGTCTGAAACGATTGCAGCTCCCTTTTATAGGGTCTTGCTGATCAAAGGGTCCTGAAAATCACGAAGTTCTGGGCTGCCGACTAGCAGCCGGGCTGTCGAGAGTCAGTAAATAGTTTAAGATCCAAGAATTCTATTACCTCCCTAGCTTCCGTCGGAAAAGATCTTGATCCTGATTCACATACCTCTGAAAGGGCATCACAGGGTTCAAAGGAGGTACATCTGTTTCTTACCTTCTGCCATGGCTTGGTAGGCAAGGGGATCATACGTGGAACAAGGGTTGGAGACATAGATCCCGTAGAGATTCTCTTGGGAGAGGTAGACGAGAAAGAAAGTATATGCGACGGTGACGAGGGCTGTGACGAGGGCCGGAGATTTTGCTGCAACAAGTTCAGTTCCTTCTTCGTGATTGACAAGCTTACGGTACCAAAGGAGATGAAGGCGGAGACAAGGAGAGTTTTAGCGTGCTAGGACTGAACAAGGATAAGCTGCAGAACAGAACAGGCTCACAAGCCTCTTATTTGAAAACTAACCTGTTTGAGATGAGTGAATTATATATTCTTTCCGCTTGGGTCCTTGGTGTGAAGCGCATGGGAGGCTTCGGAAAAAAAGTTAGGGAGTTTGGATGTTGGAGATTATTCTTGCCTGAATCTCTTTAAGAGGTTTTCTGTCCGAATTTGCGAGCAAAACTTCCTTTCCACCTCTGGATGCAAGTCACACAAAGGAACGTTAGGGAGAATTCTTCCAACCTATGTTCATCCCACACGGAGGCATAGTATACACCGTCGAATTTTTCGAATTCGGAGCTCATTCGGATGCGCTCTCGCTCCACTATATACTTTCCAGGCGATATATTGCAATGCGACAACTCCTTTCTGTAACATATACTTAAGAGTAGAAGTCGCTTTCAATTACACTCACCGCTTGTCTCTGCTTCGGAATTTATGCTGACTGGGATGAAGCTTTAAAGGTTCATGGACGATAATGTCTCTATCTACATCCAGTCGATCAATAGGGCTCATGAAATCCTGCATTTGAGATCTGTCCCGCTCCCGTATGCGATAATTCTTGGCAAGAATCTGATTCACGAATCATCAGCAATCATCGTCTGTGCTGTCGTCAATAAGAGTTTTTACGTCATTCTTCAACTTGGTCCTTGCAAATCTATCTTCCTCCTGTCCAAAGAATGCATTATTAACGGGACGTAGGGCACAGAGACACGAGTTGAGGAACACGAGCTTATGGCAACTTGACAGACAAAATAAGACGATGGCAGTGACAGCTCAGGAGAACGATGAACAGCTGTCATGATACATACCGATGGAGTCGCTGCATCCATCTCATGCTTTCGTACCGCATACAGCGAATGCATTGATTCGGTGTTCACAAAGTCTCCACAAACAGGACTGTTTTGTGATGCGGACCCAAACCAGGGAGACAGCGGGGGCGGTGAAAAAAGGCGAAGCTAGCTGCAAGGAAACGAGAACTAGCAGGGACTAGATGGAGGAGGCGAGAGAGAAAGGGGCACGGATAAGGGAATGGAGGAAAGGAGAGGGGGAGGAAGAGAGTAGTGAGCGAGGGGGTGAGAACATGGGAAATATCAGGGTTGGTACAAAAGTACCATAGCACCCCCCCCCCCCCCCCCCCTCCAGGGGTAGAAATGAACAGAAAAGGGGGTAGTGATCAACAGAAAGGGGGGTAGTGATGAATAAAGATCTGAAGGGTAGGGGTAGTCTGGAATCTTGACGCCGGCGCCCGAGGAAGGTAGGTCAACGGCGGCAGAGACCCACAGCGCCTTGAATCCGGCGAAATGAGTCGGCGGCCGCGCCGCCGCGGCCGCCGGGCCGGGGGCCGGGCTTGAGCTGGCAACGCTATGCCCGGCGCCGTTCAAGGCTAAAGCCGTTACGGGCCGCAGGACCGCTGTGCGTACTATCAAGAGGCTTAGTAGTGCAGTGCGGCCGGGCCTCCGACGGAGCCTCGGAGACTAGCCGACTCAGTTGGACTGAGTCACAGTGACCGTACTGCAGTGCAGTGCGACAGGCCCGGCCGGGCCGCTCAGTCTCGGTTCAAGGCCCTGACCCGGGCCGGATTGGCGGCCCCCTTCCCAGATTGTACATGGTGAGGAAGCAACTTGCAGAGCTGAGGAGAAGGGGAAGGAGATAGCAGAGGGGAAAGACCGAGATAAGGAGAAGGGAGAGACTGTGCAGTAGTAGTGACCTGTTGGCGGACTTGTCAGAGGGAGGGAAGCGGGGATAGGAAGAATGCTGGGAGGAAAGGAAACCGGGAGGATCGAAGGCCCCCGATCGGCACACAGGTCGAGGATCGCAAGGCTCTCAGTACAGTCGATCCTCTTCCTGATCCTCTTGCATCGTGTTCAAGGTAGAATGGACTTTGTGCAATGCATGAGCGACTTTTTGAGCCCTCCAAACAAGGCACAGCAGATGACGACGCCCGTTGTTGAGCACGCGGACCCGGCAAGTCCTCTAATAGGGGTGATCTCGTCCATGAAAAACATTCCGAGGATGCTGTACTTCTTCAAGGAATCCATTCCTTTTCTACTTCGCTATCGCTTCGAGGAGTGGAGGATGCGATTTGTCCAGGACAAGGAGGAGAGGGAGAGGCGATGGAACAACCTCCACGACGAGTTTGCCCCGAAAGCGTTCAACTCTGTACAGTTCCTCAAAGGGTACTACATCAAACTCGGGCAAGTTGTCTCATCCAAGGGTGACCTTCCTCACCAGTTCGTTGAGATCTGCAGCGCGCTGCAGGACGAGGTCCACAGCATGGGAGAGGAGCAGGTCAGGAGGCTGCTGCGGTCAGAGCTCAGGACGGGGTTGGAGGATGTGTTTGAAAGCTTCGACTTCCGTCCGGTAGGATCTGCGAGCATCGGACAGTGTCATGCAGCGAAGTTGAGGACAGGGGAGCAAGTCTGTGTGAAGGTGATGAATCCAGATGCCGAAAGCTTCTTCAGGTCCGATCTGTTTTCCGCCAAGTTGTTCTGCCGTTTTGCCATGCCGGTGAGTGACGATGGTGCGATGGTGGGTGTACGAAGTGAGCTGAGAGAGGGCAGGAGGGAGGGAAGGCGGAGGAGAAAGTAACGGGGAGGATGACGGGGAGCGTGCAGGAATGGAACGGAGTCATAGACGAGATCGAGAAGCAGTTCCTCAGCGAGTTTGACTACACGAAAGAGGCGAGGAACCTTCAAGGTGCTGCCCCTGCTGCTTTTACGGCTGCTATCCCCTGAAGCATGTTGTTGCTTCTTGAATTGAACTTCGCACAAATCAACAGAGATGCGAGAAAATCTGGAGAAGAGGTAAGGGCACGTTGCATGCAGTGCAAGAATTGGTACTGTGCGAGTCCTGCTCTGTAGAGCTCATGTTGAGGTTGCGAAAGACCCTTCATGTAATCTTGATGATACGTGTTTGTTCTCTATTTTTCTGCAATCTCAAGATAGAGCTGACTGGTCTCTCAGATTCCATCCCTCGATCGCCCGCATCCCTAGGGTTTATCCCCACCTGTGCACCAAGAGCATTCTTGTGATGGAGTACTTCTCCGGAAAGAAGATCATAGCGTTCGTACGCGATCTGACGAGCCAGCTGCTGGGTAACGTGACCCTCCGTTGTGCTGAAGGGACCTGAGACTGCGCACAGACAAGCACAAGGGCAACAAGCGCCTCCAGGAGTTTGTCAATGAGAACTCGACTGTGGATGCCGGTGGGATGTCACTGATGGGAAGAAGCTTGTTGACTTCATATTCAGCCTTTGTTCGAACAGAAGTTCTCAGAAGCCAGCGATACTCCTCCTCCTCCTCCTCCTCCTCCTCTCCTTCATTTGTTCAACCCTCTTCTTTCTTCTCATCTCTTCTCAACCTCCCACTACTCAACGACCTCAAATACCTCTACGATTTCTCGAATCAAATCTTTCAAAATGCGCTCGAAGTCCATGGAAGTCAGGTGAATCTTCTTTCTCCCGTTGAGACCTATCCCTCCAGCTTCCTCCTGCTACAATTTCCTCGTCCCTTCCTCTTCCTGAGCCTCTCGTCCCCCTTGGTCCAGATCCTGCTTGATGGAGCTTTCAACGGCGATCCTCACCCCGGCAACATCCTCATCAGTCCTTCAGGGGCCCTTGAGCTCATCGACTTTGGGCAAGTGAAGCGTCTCACAGAGCAGCAGAGGCGAGACCTGGCGAACATGCTGGTCTACCTCGCCGACGGAAAGCTTGAAGACGCGCAGGATCTCTTTGTGCGAATGGGATTCCGCACCAAGAAGTAGCTTGCCTTCCTCCTCCTCCAGAACCTCTTTGTCTTCTCCTTGATATGCTTTCCTCCTCTCCGGTGGCCGGGGTTCAGGCTTTCCTATTCTTGACCTCTTCCTCCCTGACCCTCTTCCTCTCTCACGCCCTTTCCGCAGGATGGACCCCTATGTCATCCAGACTATGGCGATCTTGTACTTTGACCGCGACTCCAAGGACGTGACGCAAGGGATGGACGCGAGAAGTTTTGTGGAGAAGCTCCAGCAGCGAGACAACTTTGAGAGCGGTAAGAAGAGAGCGATAAAGTTTCTGCAGCTGACGCTAATGGCTGTGGTTGCACCCACCACTAGTTCCCAACGACTACATCATGGTCGCTCGAACCTCCGTCCTCCTGCGAGGGCTGGGCTCCCGTCTAGGAAAGAACGTAAGAGTCCGATCCTGCCTTACTGCCTCTCCCTCGCTGTGACTGACGCTGCCTTCCTTGACCGGTCTCCTGCTTTCCCTTCACTCTGCAGGTGAGCATCGCCAAGGCCTGGAGACACCTGGCAGAGCAAGTTCTCAATTCTCCAACGACCACACAGACATTTTAATGAAATTCAACATAAACTGAGCCTCATCTTGGCTCCTTCCCCCTCCTCCCCCTCGCCAACAGGCGCAACATCCGTCACTTCTCGTCTTATGGGCAAGTCTTGCATACTGAGGTCCTTGACGGCACCCAGGGTCCCGTGCCAGCCTCGAAGAAAGGGGAGCCGGTCAGTGGCTGGCCGTTGAAAGTTGCCCAGCTCTTCTCCTGCACGCACTGATCGTAGGCGCTGGTAATGAGGGTGGATGTCAAGGCCTTGCACTCTAGACTTGGGTCAGCCGAATACTGTCGGAACTCCCACTCGAGTATGTCATGACTCTGCCACATGCTGCCAGTCGCAGCGGTGAAGCCGACGAACGCTGCTCCTTGGTTCAACTTCATCGCGTACTTCAAGCTCAGCGGCATGTTGAGGATGGCGCTACTCATGTCGTCGATGAACACCCGGAGCGTCCCAGCACCGTCTGCCTTGATGAACTGGTTCAGGTAGCGCTTGGAACTCCACTGCTGCTGGCTTTGGGGATTGAACTGAACCCCCGGGGTGTAGACGATCATCACCTGATGTACCTCCCCATCCTGGAGGAGGCGACCTGTATTACGAAGAGAGCCGTAGGACGCGAGGCAGGTCTGTTGTGATGCGGAGTTTGGGGTGCGACATCCCCCCGTGTGAACGGCCACGTGCAGGTCGTTGATGTCCCCGATGTCTCGGTTGGCAAACGTGTCGAACTCGATGGCAAGAGAGTCAGGGATCCCACCGTAGCCCAGCTGGTCTCCACTCTCTCCCACCGACGAGCTTCCGTTGCTCTGCAGCACAAAGGCAAACCCATCTCCTCCTCCCAGCCCGTACACCCTCTGGTTCCACTCAGACGCGTTCCATTCCATCCTCAAGCATTGATCCAGCTCGAAGGTCAGCGCAGTTCCCTTCATTTGGTCGGCATGCGCGTCCACCACCTGCCTGCAAAAGCGATTGCGAGCTGTCAGCTGGAACTTGAAGCTTGTGATGAAGCCGTTGGTGACGTTCTGAGGAGTCTGGTACCAGATCGACCCCTTCCTCGACGGAGCTGCAGGAGTCAGGCGCATTCGGTTGTCGCAGGAGCTGTTGTAGTCGTTGTGAGGATGGATCGCCTGGTACTCCTTCGTGTGCTCCTTAAACAGCTTCTCGTCCCTCTCAAGCGTCAAGTTGTACAAGTTCGAGATCCTCGTCACTTCCGCCTGATACATCGCGATCACCAGCCAGATCTGCCCCTCCGTCTCTGACTCCAGACCCATGGTCAAATTCTCCCTGCTCTGCTGGAGCTTCGTCAGGGCTGTATTGAGCATGTACCGTAGCTCGTCCCTCCTTCGGACAACCTCCTCGAAAGGTGATCGGGTCCAGTTGTAGTTGACGCTCCGTCGAGGAGAGACGACATAGTCGTAGGCAGTCACCTGCTGGAAGAGAATCTGCGGGTTTGCTTCAGTGTCCTTGCCAAACACCGACTCGATCCCTTTGAGGCCAGGCACGATGCCATTCGGAGCTTTGAACTGTGAGCAAGTTTGAAAGTAGGACGCGTCGTTTATGTACAGCCTGGAAGAGGCATCTGCGTTGAACGAGGTACAGCAGGAAAGTGTTCCAGCATACTGGGCGACACAGGTCAACGAAGGGTCGCAGACTCGGCTGAAGTCTGGATAGTAGAAATCTGCTCTGGCCATGAAATCTTGTTGCAAGAACGCCATGAATGCGACTGCTCGGAGCGTCCAGAAGCTGAGCCAGGGACGCATTTCAGAAAGAATCTCCCCTGACGTGGACGGTTTTCCCGCTTTGTAAGTGTTTCAACCAGGAGTTCTACTGACGAGAGGGAGAGAACATCAACAACACATAACTAGTTCTGCTCGATCTGGTATGGGAGTCTGTACATCTCGATCTCAACCTCTCACAATCTCTCTCCATCCTCTTCCTCCTAGTTTTCTTATCCCTCTCACCACCTGTTTCCTCCATGTGCTATCCGATCGTTGGTTGGAAAAACAACCCCACCCGCCTTTTCCTTTACCCCCCCCTGTTTATCAAGTGATGAAATGACCGGTCCAAAGGGACCAAGCACCCCACCCTACCGTTGTACTTTTAACTACCCCTAAATCGTTGTGAATAGAGGGGTGTTCTCTCAGGTTGGATCGCAGCATGAACGCGCTGCGGGCCATCACGCGGGTAGGGACAACGTCGCGAGCATGCGACATGTTCATGCGAGCCAAGGCGAAGGACAAGCAGAAGGGACAGAAGACAGACGTGAAGAAGACATCCAAGAAGCCCAAGGCCCCTGCCGACGCGTCGAAGAAGAATCAAGGTAAACCACGGGTTGCCAGTGCATGTTACTGTCACTGGGGTTATTGAGGGTGAGAAGCCGAGGAAAGATCACTTTGTTGTGTTCATCTTGTCCAAACTGACTTCAAGAGTCCATAGACGATGCCACTCGTTTCCGTGTAAGCATACCTTGAGATGGCTCCTGACTTTTCCACCAGGTCCAAACAAGGCCTTGGATTTGTTTGCCAAGATTCTCAACGACGCCGAAGGTCGACCAGAAAAGGTCTTCGATCAGGCATGGGTCGATGATTGTTTATTAACTTCTGTCTGCAGTACATTCGCAGTGAAGAGCAGATGAAGAAAGACGCGGAGATCGCAAAGGAGTACACCAGGAACCTGTTCAAAGAGCACAACGCTCGGATGAAACATTTAACATGGAAGATCAAGTGGAGGGATGCGGCAACACAGGCACTTCCAGGTCAGCCCAATTCTTGACGCTCATGCTCGTTCCTTGTGCTGATGAGCTGCTCGAGCAGAAGAGCTGCAGGAAGAGGCCTTGACTGAGGACTTGGAACTCTACCCTCTTAATCGCAGATTGTTCACTGACTTCCCTCCTGCTCCGGAGCATGTGAGGTTGTAGCCGGGGGTTGAACATATAACATTGAAGGATGGTGATCAACGACGACCCTTGTGCGACCTCATCAGGTCCTTCCCAGTCCTGCGTCTCGTCTCCTCTTGGCGAGGGCTACCGTGGCGAGAATCACCTGCGACGTAAAGAGGCAGGAGTCAGGAGGCGAGCGAAAGCTGAAGCACGTTTCACCTCTGCCTTGAAGAAATGGATGCCTTCATTGTAATGCACTCCGTCTGCTGTACAAGAATCTGCCGCGGGGGAGTGAGAGGAGGACGGACTTTGGTTACCTGTCGCTGCCTGCAGCCCTGCCGGCCATGCGCCAGGAGTCCAAGATCAAGATGCCCTCGTTTTCCTCCTGCTGCACAATTCAACAGACAGAACTTGCCGCCCTCCTTCTCCCACAGCTGCAGGGATGTTGGAGTCCTCCATGCTGGTATCATCTGGTAGAAAGCTTTCATCTGACCCACCCGTCCTCCCTCCCTTCTGACCTGGGCATGACGCTGCTCCGTGCACCAAAACATGCTGTATGCACTCTATCGCTGCCTGTGAAACATTTTCTTACCATTCTCACCTTGACCCTATTCATGTCGTGGCTGTCACCTGGTTCATGGACGCGATGTTCCAGTTGTTGATTACATTTTCCGGGCGTTTGGTGCTGGCCGAGACGATCAGCAAGGAGGGAGAGAGGGAGCGGGCCATAACACGTATAAGGCTCGATGAGGCTCTTGATGAAGATTGTTTCAAGATGCTGGTCTCTTGCTGACCTGCGCCTCCCCATCACTGCACCAGCACAACTTGAATAATGTCGAGTACTGACTTAGCCGACTTGAAGGCATCCAGTAAGTCTGGAATGTACCCGTCGAAACCGGCGCGCAGGCCATCGCTGATCACGGCACGTCACAGTCTGTCGGTAGAGAACAAGGCGACTGACCCTCCAAGGATAAAGTGAAGCCCACAACCGTCGATGACGAACAAGTCGTGCGCTCGCTCAGACGAGGCCTGGGTGAAGGTCACAGGATGAGCAGGCAAGGAGCGGACGATGACCAGAGAGACATCAGCGATTGCCGACATGGCCGATGTGATATGCTAAAACTTCAACGTCAGAGGCACCTAACGGCAGACATCCCAACCTGACGATGCCAGGCCTCCACGAAGTGCACTTGTACAGAACCTCCGCACGCGCTCTTGGACATCGCGATTGCGCCCGAGCACGCTTCTGGATTTTGATACCTTTGAGGTGTGAGGAGCAAAGGGGGAAGGGATCATCGGCCATACCTCAAGTTTCCGCCGCAGAGATGAAGGAAAGATTCAGGGACAGCAAAATCCTTCCACTCGCTTCCTGTTTGCACCTTCTCACGTGGAAGTAGAACAAGACGACAAGTCACCAACCCACAAATGCAATCCTGCTGATGTTTCCCGACCTCGCAGACGTTTCTGTCGTAGACGACAGGTTGCGATGGGGTGTTTCACCCGTTAGCAACACGAGGAGCCCAACTACACTGAGAGGTTGAAAACAGAAGATCGTGAGATTGTGAGAGTCATGGCACATCAATTGTACAGCTGTCGCGTTCTTGAGTCTCCGATCAGCAAGATGGTAGTGTTCCGTAAGCTAGAGCAGTCTTGCTCCTTAGACGCGTGAAAGGTTAGAGGAGAGCAGCCACTCAAGGTATTCATACCCGTTGGAAGGAAGGAACTTGTATGTCAGAAGCCCAAGAGAGCGGATGATGATGTTCACAGTTCTCATTTCTCCTAATCTTGCAGCGATATTCTCCGACGCTGCAAAATTGCCATCACATCACATTCTGTTTCCCTTCACATGCTCTACCTATTGGAGCTCCTGCTTCTCACCCAACGCCCCTCCGTCATTGACCGCAGGGTTTCTCTCAGACTCATGTTCCTCTCTTCAACGAGGTGGAAGAAACTCCGCATATCGATGCAAGACTGGTGCTGGCCCCTCTCCTTCCATGGGTTCGACCGCTGCAGTTGCTCAGAAAAAGTCAACTTCTTGTTTCCCAGGACCACAAATTCGTTTAGGATGAACTTGTGAGAATCGTTGTCGACGAGATCAACTTGCAGAGCAATGGCTCTTAGATCAATCTTGTGGATGAGTAGCCTGATCTCCGGCATGCCAGAGAAGACATACCTGTGCGATCGCGCAAAGAACGTGTTTGCAAGAGGAACAACTCCGGTACTGGTTACTGTGAAGCGATCTAACTCCTCCCATCCTTGGAAGTCACCATTCATCATCCTTGAGGACGAAAATAGGTATTCCTGCAGGGCATTGTGGTTCCCTGCTGGCCAGTACCATAACCTGCAGGATACGATCCGTCGGTCATTTCTCCCGTAGCCAGAAAATAGGACTATTTCATTCACGACACTATCTTGCGGCAAGATGAAAATGATTCTTGGCTTTCTGAGGCCATGAGCAAGAGATGACCAGCCATTGTCTTCGCTCAGAACACCGTCTATCGCATCGGATGGGTGGTGTTCCTCAAGCTCGGCAGTGGCGACCACACTCCCTCCACGCCTTCCTGCCACCAAGTTTTCACTCCCCGATTCTGAGCTCCATGAACGTGCAGTGGGAGCTGCCAGCGATCGGCACACGAACCAAGATACGAGTGTGTGCAGCAGGAGGCTGGATCCTCCTCCCATCACCCACCTCCAGCTTCAAGTCCCCTCGTCATCCCGAAATGCATTTTGCATTTCCCCGATTGCAATAGGCGGAACCGCGAAGAGCGGTAGACCAGAGCTGCAGCGCCAGCGACACTGACCTGCGACACTGACAGTAATAAGTCAGAGCCGCGCCGCTGCGCCAGCGACGGTGACGGTCTGCAGCGTGTGCGATTCTGTGTGCGAATGCCAAGTACTGTATGACTGAACTTAACGACGTTGACTATGACATGTAAGCAGAACAGTCCAGTTGAGTGAGGCTGATGGCGGCAGACGGTCGGGCGACGGGCCTCCGGAGCCTCGGACGGTCAGCTAACAGGCAGGGCCCCGACCGTTAGAACTTCGCAGCACCAACGATGAAAGAGAATATGTCTTGTTTATTGAAAGAAGCGAAGAAAACATGTGATGGAAAGATTGATCGTTGAAATAAAAAAAAATATCTTTCTCGTTCACTGTCAGCGGCAATGACAGCTCCGAGCCTGGTTACATTACATCAAATCAAGAATAAAAGGAATTTTCAAATTACAATCATAGTTTCGAACAAATACAAAATTTCTGCACCAAGGCACACACACACACACACACACACACACACAGTTACAATTATCTCACACCCATGACTTGCAAGGATAATCAGTAGGCCCGGTGATTGAACCGCGCCCGGCTTGCTTCGTCGTCATGAATCTTTGTTGCCCATTTTTTTTTTCTGATTTTTCTGTTTGCTTCACCATGCAGTGCCACGGTGATCCGGGGCAATTTTCAAGCCTCTTGCTCCCCCATAGTTTCTCGCAGCCATTTCGCACCGCGCCCCTCCTCCCCCCGCGGTGGATCCTCGAATCGAACGTTGAGCTTCAGCTCGTCCAACTTCTGCCCGATACTCCTCAGCTGACCTTTTGGCTGGATGTTTGCTCTATAGCTGTAGACCTCTCGTGCAGAAAGAGCCTTCGCGAGCGTCAGGCCTCGATCTTTCATCTTTGCGTGCAGCTCAGCCAGGAAACGAGGGTAAGCTCGAGTCGTGTCGAAGTCAAGAGGATATGTCAGGACGACGACCTTCTTTTCTTCATGGAAGTTGTAGTGACTAGATGACCGCTGATACGTCGCTCGACCGCAAGCTTGCACGACCTTCTCTATGCTCATCTGTTTTCCTAAAGCGCAGATGAGGTGTGTTGGCACACGTTTCTTCGAAACAAAGCTGTCGCCGCGTATCATAAGACGATATCCAAAGATAACAAGGGGGGTCTCGATTCCAAAGTTTTCGTCGACCTGCTCAATGGCATACGAGGCAGTTTTCCCCTTGAACTTACGGTGCAAATCTAGGAGTTTCTGGTCCGTCATGGGAGTAAAAGCATTGGTTGCAAGCATCGGTTTCGTGGGCGGCTTGAGAGTTATGCCTTCATGCGAGACGATCAGAGCAGCAACATGAGGAAATTTTCTCAAGACTTTTTCGGCTTGTGCGAATATACCGCTGGGTCCATGAACCTTTGGATTCGTGATAACCAGGGTGAGGGATCCTCTTTTCTGGAAGGCGTCCTTGTATACTAAATCCATGGCCTCCTCTGCATCTTTCTTATCCTTAGGATTCAAGAACACGTCTCTTCCATCACGTTGGGGAGGCACAAAAGATTCTGCGCCCAAATAATTCGATCCGAGCTCTGTGTAAATGATCGATTCGCAATCAATCTCCTTCTTGTCCTGCTTCATGTGCATGACAACTGGGATCAAGGTTGCGGAAACATTCCAGCGCAGGATCGGCCTGACGATTGCAATGAAGGAGTCCATGGCTGCCTCCAGCTGGGTAGTTTTGTTCTTCCTGCGGTAGAACGAGTCGGCTTCATCCACGATCAGAATCATCGGAAGTTTGCGGATTTCGTCATCCGACTCGAACAACTCAGAGATCTTTGTGATCTTCTGAGCCGTGTCGTTGGCAAACAGAGTTGCGCTGATCATCACGTTCTTCTTGATTGTTTCCTGATCTAATCTTCGACCAGCCAAACAAATTGGAGGAACGGGCATCTTAAGCTTGTGCCTTGTTCCACGTTCGGTGGAGCTATCCTTCTCTTCCTCGGCGGGTGGATGGAGTTTTTCAAAGAGGGACCGAGTTCCTCGCTTCGTAGTTGACAAAACAACGGATCCTACTTTGAAGTAGTTGCAGATCCAAAGAACCACAGCTTTCACCATGGTCTTGCCGTTCTGTGTTGATCCTCCTGCTAAAATTTCGGAGCATGAGAGTTCTGTGCCTAGTTTCCATCCGCCATTTCCATCACGTGCTCTTTTGAGGGCATCAAGATTTTGAACAATGACCCTCTTCACGTCAAAGTTGAAGTCGCCAGCTTTGCAGGTTTTGTTCTCCATGAAACAATTGAAGAAGACTGGCAGTACTTCGGCTGCAAGATCCCCTGTGTCCATGTTATCCAGTTTTCTCTGGATATCTTGATAGCTCGTTGCCGCATCCGAAGCCATGGTGGCGGACGAGACAAGTTGTTTTATATCTCTTAAAACACCAGTTTTTATTCAGTACCATGATTGAACTGAAGCAGTACAAATAGAGGCCCACATCGAACTTTCACCCACCCCTTGACCACCTGACGCGAAGTGCCTCACCCTGTACCCCCCATTTCCCTCAAAATAGAACTAAATACACCGGGGTGATGTAACAAAGTTGTGAAACATTTGACCCCACCCTAGCGGACAAAGCAACCGATCCATCAAGCACAGAGTCCACATCTGGTATGCATTTAAAATGTTGTCATATTTTAATTTGTTCATAATGTCTCTATTTTTACTGTTTCGCAACCCACCAAGTACTGGATATGAACAATTCATCTTACGAAAAAAAAAGACTTTGTAATTGCAAATTTGTACTGTGAAAATTCATCGTACAACATCACGTTCCTGGTACAAACAAGATACTACACAGCAATGAAGCTTGTGGGTAACCCCACCCCACTTTTCCCATCTGAAATGAGGATGAAAGATAGGGTACTCAAGAATAATCCCGCCAACATACTCACCTGGCAGTAGGAAAAACAAGCGTCACCTGCATCCCCCCGTGCAGGCTTGTGACCGCCCCCTCCTCTGAGCAGAGGCCTTCCGAGCTGAGGACCCCTTCCGTCCTCTCTGACAGCATCGAACGACTCCATTATCTAGTTTGAGTGTTGCAAGTGCGAAAGATCGCTGCAGGTTCATCACTTGTGAACCAATGTCTTGGCATGATGGACGATGTTCTCACTACTAGGTTTTCGTCACCTTTGGTATAACACTGAACAAACAGGAGGAAATGAATTACTGGACCCTTGGGGACGCCGATTGTCATTCCAGCCAGCAATGTTAAGATGGACTATACAACAGCTGGCGCTAGGGACGAATGAACAGACGAAGCGGACGCATAAAGCGAGGATGAAAGTGATGCGACTAATAATCCGAGCTATCATATAAAAGTGCAGTAATCATAAAGTGATGCGAACAATCATCAAAAAAAGCCCTTGAGACATTGGATTGCATGAGTGAAGTTATCGCTGAGCTGGGAGAGGATTCACCGTCTGCTGTACTACAACTAGCAATGACATGTAGGGGATCGACATTGGAGTTGTCAAGAACCAGCCGAATATAGCCCACCAGCAGAGAATCTGCCATATTATCAACTGCTCGCCATCAAGTAGGTTTCAGGTTCGCTTCATTTGCCTTGGTGCTGAGCCACTGAGGAGCTCGACAAAAGAGGCATAACGAGATAGAAGATTGAAAGATGACCTCATGAATAACAGCATGTGTACAAGTTTGATAATGCAGCGCTCAATCTTGGTTTGCTTATCATCCTCTGCCAGTCTCTGGTGCGAGGAGTAAGATCTATTCTCTTGAAAGATTAAGAGGAAAGGATGCTCATCAAAATTGCCTTTGTACCCTCCGTGACCTGACCACACGTTAGAGAGCATTGCACCCCCATCCCCCCTCTCTAGTCACCTGAGCGTTGTTGGTCTTCACTGTAAGCTTGTACGCTTGTTGGGCCGAATCAATCTCTAGACGGATCACGCAGTAGACGTCCCCTGCGCCAAGGTTGATCTTTGCCGCGCCGCATACGTTGTTGGGGTTGGGGTCCACTCCTTGCAGAGCCGAGTAGTTGATGGTCTTGACCACATTCTCTACATCAGTCCTGACGATCGGACGAGGAGATTTGAACACGTTGACAGACTCGTTTGGCGCCCCTGTGATTTTACCCCAGACTGCAAAGTACTGATCTTTGTTGCATGTGACCGGCTGCTGAAACTTGCAGACGTGAACCGGAAGCCAGGTTGTAACTTGCCGCGGACTTCCTTGGGCTGAGAAAGACAAGGCGAGCTTGGGGGGTTCCGAGAAGTAGGTCTTGGCCTGCATCTGGACTTGTTGTGTTATAGTCGCGTTGGGTGCAATGGAGGTGGCTGCGTCTTGCACTTGGAACAACATCGCTGGGATCTGAAAGCTCCAAACGTCAGTAAAAGAAGAATTACAAATCCTTCACACTTTTACCTGCTGCACTGCAGTCTTGAATGCAGAGATCTCCGAAAAGGATTTGTTTGTGTAACGCAGCAAAATTTTCGCAACATTCCCCTGAACTGCAAGTTGCGCCTGAACGTTGATGATCGGATCTTCATAAACTACAGAAAAATGATTTTAACACGAAAAAGAAAAATGAATACAACTCACCAATTCCTGACCCGTTGGACACGCACTTGAAAACAACGTCCAGCCCCTGCGCCCCAGAGCCACCAGCCTTGTGCATGTCAGCAGGTACCGACGCAGAAGCCTGAGGCTTGCTTGGTCCGGATAACAAATCGTCCAAAGACTGAAAGCACATTCAGAAATGGATGCAAACCTCTGAATACAGACCTGGTTTGAGCCAGCTACAGTTGCTGCTGGGGCACTTCCCAATCCCAGCATATCATCCATTAGGCTGCCCTGCTGGGCGCCGTGGGCTGGTGGTGGTGGCGAACCGCCTCCGAGCAGATCGTCCAGTCCACCCAAGTTCTGAGACTTCTGGGTTGCAGCAGGCTGTGATGGAGCTCCAAGTAAATCGTCAAGATTTCCACCGCCGCCGCCGCCGCCGCCGCCGCCCATGTGCGAAGGCTCCTCGGCCGTAAGGTCAAGCAAGTCGTTGTGAGGGTTCTGCGACGGAGAGAGTTGAGACTTTGCTCTGCTTGCGCTTGACTTGACAGCACTAGCAGACAAGTCAACAGTTTGTGGACCATCTTCATCGTCCTTGTTTTGTTCACTCTTGATCTGTGCTGCTGTCCTATCAGTCGTTGAAACACGCTCTCGCTCCTTGATCTTCTTTGTGAGAATACTCTCTCGCTCTGGGAAGTTCGGCATGACATCCAGCACAGTTTCCAACATGGTCTCTTTCCCAGGAGCAGTTAGCGCAAGGTATTCGATTGCACGCTGCTGCAGCTCAGCGTCGATAGTAGTTGTGTGCTTCTTGAGGAGTTCCACCACAGCCCCTTTGATTTGCGGATGAACATTCACGAGCTTCACGCAAGAGCTGATCAGAATCTGTTTTGTCTCCCACTGCTCACACGCATGAAATTTCTCTTTCAAGATCATAAACTGATTGTCAGGCGAAGTTTCGTTCTTGTGAGCAATGTGATGACCGAACTCTCCAAGGATGTACCCACCACATTTGATCATACTCTCATGCACTGACTCACTCTTCAGAGATCGATAGCATGTCTCAGCCGCATATAGCTGCAACTCCTCATTATTGGTTACGATCTGCACAACTCGCATCCAAATGTGATCGGAAACGTAGTCACCAGCAAGAGTCATGAGCTTAAGAATAGTGTCCACGTACCACTGCAGGTTCGGCGAGAAACGTTCTGCAAGGATGGCGACACGAAGAACTAATTCCTCCCTGATAGCATAATCGCCTCCCTGCAAATAGTCTAGAAGCTCACCCACTACTTGTTCAGAATTCTTGCTGTCGCACATCGAGTACAGAACATCCAACGCCCTTCGTCTGAGCGAAACATCGTTGTCTTTCAGCGATTTGATAATAGTTTCCTGGTGCTTCTTGAACTGTTGAGCAGCATCTGGAATATGAGACATTCTTTGCATTGCATCAAGAGCCAAATAGCGATAATTTGGTTGATTTGATGCAGTCATTCGCTGTCCCAGCATACTGACTGCAGAAGATATCAATTCTTTGTTTGTTTCCATGTGGATAACATAATTGATTGCCTCAAATACAACACTATGGGCCGAGTTATTCGTGTTCACGTTCTTCTGCATTTGTGCATCAGATATGATATGTAGGAGAACGTCACAAAGCTTGGTGTGGACTTCATGTCTCTCAGGTGGAGGATAATACTGCAACAAACGGAGTATTTTGACCTGGAGCCAGGGGTTGATGGTCTTGTAATACACGTATTCTTGACCAAACTCTTTAGCTGCGTTGGGATGATTCAATTTCGATAGAAGTTTGCAGCATTTGTTCACAGAGTCAGTCCAAAGTTCTGGGTTGTGCGAGACCAAGCCAATGAGCAACGACATGGTCGCGGTTACAACTCCAAGCGAGGGGTCTTCCAGAAGATCGTAGAGAGAATCTCTTTGGTCCTGATTTCCACCAATTCCATCTTCACCGAATGCATCTGGATATTTTCGAAGCAAGCGGAGCATGCAAAGTGCCGCTTTCTTTCTGGCTTGTGGTCGTGAATGGTTTGAAAGCAGGATTCTCTGAACATCTCCCGCCAGGGTTTCAGCAAACTCACGTCCACCAACATTGGCAACACACGCCAAAGCCAGGCCTTGGATCTCTTCGTTTGCAGACATCAGGTCATTCTTGACACTGCAAAAATGCTTCAGCTTGCATATCCTACGCAAAATGACTTTATCACCTGTTGATGATAAGGCGAAGAAATTCGTTCGTCTCGCTGAGTAACAAGACACAAGCAAGATATCCCACCATTTTTTCGCTGTATCCTTGCGCAGTGATGAGATTCAAAGCTTCCATGTGCCCAAAATCCACTTCATAGCCCAATACGTAGATGTACAGCATCTTCCAAACATATTTCTTTTTCTGGTACCTGAAACAGGCGTCAGCGCCACCGCGTTAAATGTTACAGTAGGATCTTTGATTCAATCTTCGTCTTACGCTGTCAGTTTGGTGGCTTCCTTGAAGTGCTTCCTGATGTTGGCCATCTCCTTGTCGACACGTTTTCTCTCCTCTTCCTTGTTTGCACAGTTTCGGATGTCTCCGATGAACTGCGTCAAACCTCGCATCGCCATCTTGGAGGATACTAGATCACTACAATGAGAGTCACACCATTCGCATCACAGAAGAGAACCAGCCCACCTTCGCCGGTGACCTCACTTTGCTGTCAACCTCGGGAACTCGAGAGTCCGGCCTGCTCCATGAGAATCAACGAGAAATCAAGAATGTTCGGATCATGGTGGGCAGGATAGAAACCATTCCATCAGATGGCATTTGGATATCAACCATGATGATCATTCAATCTAAATATTCTGACGAAGTCAGGTAGCATCAATCTTCTTATTAGAGACTTATCTCTCGCAATCAATCCATGCATATCTGCTCAACACCGGTTCACACATGGTAGAAAAATAGCATGTTGAATGTCTGTGCTGGCATTGGTAGCGATGCGACAAGGGACACGTGTCCATTGCTCGCATGGAGCCGGCATCATCAGAGGGGCTAATCCTCCGGTAGAAGCATAGGAAAAGAAAGGGGGTAGGGGTACTCCGAGCAGCGGTGTACCGCTGCGAAGAAAGGGAAGTACGGGTACTAAATACAAGAGAACCCTACCCAAAGATATGTTTTGGTGCCGTACATCTGGCATTTTGGTGGGTAGTTGTCACAGTACATGTAATTGCAGGGGTGGGGGTCAATCACCAGTTGGGGACTGGGTAGGTAGAAAATTTTCATTTGGGGGAATGCAAATTTTGACATAACAGGGGGTAGGGGGATGTAAAGTTGGGGTACTGACCGTCTGGGAGGGGGTGAGAAAGCAAGAGGGTTTCGGATAGCCACCAAGAAAGGATAATTTATATGTATCTTCATAGGATATTTGCACATATACGATTATAGGACAATCCACTTTGAACAAAAGAAGGTGTATGAACAAGGTCGGGTCTATAGGGTGAACAAGCTTAGGGTGGGTGGTCCAAGATGAAACACTTAATTCAGTCTTCAAATATGCACATGTGATGTGAAATAATTTTTGAAATTCTACGCCGCCTTCGTTTATTGTAACTGAAGTGCTCAGAAAATGTAACGTCCAAACTCGCCTCGGGGCAAGCGACCAGTCGAAATAAATGCTCGGATGGGAATATCGTTCGGAAGACGATGAGGATTATGGTGAGAAGCCAAGAACGACGAGGACGAGGAGGAAGGGCAAGGGATCCAAACGAAGCAGACCAAGGTAATCGTCAATCTATCTTGATCTTCTCGCAAAATTAGTGTGAGAGCTCTCAAATCAGCAATACGGTGTTTGACCACGAATGTTTTGACAGCGATGACAGTGAACATAAAGCGATATTTGGGATTCTGCAGGTCTGAAAATGTATATGAACAAATTATGAGTAAACGTGGTAAAAGGAGATACCAGAAGAGATCATTCTAAGAAAAATCGTTGCAAAGCTACCCCAGAGGTCGAAGCTTTTCCTGCAGGTACCAGGAGGTTTGTTGGTGCATAGCGATTTATTTCAATCAGATAGTTTCGAGGACATATAGAAACCTTTGCAATAACCCGATGTTATGGGTTCATCTTGATGCTTCTCAGTCTGTGGTATATGATGTTTAAAGATCCGCATGGCACCTTCACATTATTGTTTGCAGATCGGGGTCGGTAAAACTCGATCGGGTCTGTGCGCTTCTAACTCATGATGAAGCCTGATGTGTGTTAGGTCGGTTGTCATTCCTTAGTCCCACCCCGCTTTTCGTCAAATGCAGAGTGAGGAGCATCAGCTGTGATAATGAGCTCTGATTCTTGTGTTGGCGTTGGGCAGGTTGTGATCGAGCAGGCGAAATTTCACTCTGTGGTGAATCGATCGATCTTCTTCTTCGACTTCGTGATGGAGAATCAACTGTATGCCTTTGTGTAGGTTTCTGTCAATTTGCAAGGGGTGTATCTAGGGCGCCATGAGAGAGGAACAGTGAGCATGATTTTTTACACTCTTCTCCCGACCTCTGTTCAGACCACAGTCCCGCTGATGGTCAACTAGGGTCCAAGTCTATTAGTGCATCTTTTTTCACATTGCAAAAACATCAGAAGGCTGAATTTAAGGTTGTATATCGACATCAGTGAGGATCTTTTGAAACATGTTGAAATTGGCCTGCTGCAAGGGATTGCACCACGGTCATGAACTGTGTCGGAGAAAGCGAAGAGGAAATTCTCCAAACGCTGTTGCTCCGAGGCTAAGGTTTGATTCCATTTCGGCAGGCGATAGCAAAGTTTTGCCCACAGATAGAGGTGCATCCTAGGCCTCAAATTGTGGAGCTTTGACCTGCAAATTCAGCATCTAGCGATCCGATCTTCTGTTGCCGGTGACGCGATTTGGGTCTGTTCTTGGGATTAATCTGGTACAGGATTGAAGATTCTGTTGAACAATTGCATGTGGCCACATACCACCATTGTCGATGACTGAGGAGACTTACAACCTACAGGCAACTGAAGAGCTTACATCTGTTTCAAGGATCCGATCCTGTTTATGTCCTCAAGGAGTCATCAATCAGACCTACCCTCAAAAGCGTTCGATTTGAAGGTCTGGAGGGATGGAATTCAGATGGTTGTGTCTGATCGTATCTCACATCTCAGGTTTGCGTGCTCTCTCTCTCGATCAAAGGGTCAGTTTTCTCGATTCATTGACCCAGTCCTGCACAATCTGATTATTCTTTCAAATGATTGCTACGAAGACAGTCCGCCATACCTTGCAACCTCCATGAACTATTTCCGTCCCTTATCACCTTATGTCTATCCAACTGTACAGATGTACGTTGGTTGCACTGCTGTTCACATTTTTACACAATCTCAGATTGACACTAAAGCGATTTCCAAACTTATTCCACTCTTTGGAAAGATAGAGCAACTGGTTTTGGTGTTGATCGCATTGAAGTTTTGAGCTTAGGCCTTATTGAATGAATCGCAGCATAGTATTCATCTACAGGAAGAAGTATTTTTTGAGATGATCATGAAATGTTCAGGTAATTCGCTCCCCTTTGTTTTCTATCGCATTGTAACCCGAACATCGCAGAACTTCGTTCACTCGCTCTCATCGATTGTAAAACTATTCCCGTGATAACTATTCTCCAAACACTGTTGAGGTATGCAGATCAACTTTCATAGTCCTGCTTCGCTGATTACAACCTTGTATTGCGTTGAATCAACAGCTATGGAGATCGGATCAACGATGTTTTCTTCCATGGCGACAAGGCGTGTAGCTCTACACCCCTCTTCAAGAGCTGACAGGACCTGCCAAGGTTTCCATGGATCGCAGCCTGCGGCGCGCAGACTTTTCTGCCCTTGCAAGAAAATTTGAGGTGCATGATGGATTGGGCTGTGATGACGGTGAGCGCTGCGAGAGGCCTTCGGGGCATTGTCTTTACCCAGGCTGGAACTTGACGAGGCGGTGACTCTGACTGTGAAATCAGGCTCCTTTCAGTTAGTCGGAGAAGAGGTGTTATCCCGATGGATGATGGACAATTTCTTCAAACTGTCGCAACCTGGTGACAGTCTGGAATAATCCTGCCATGCTCGGATCCAGACGGACCGTACCGTACACGGTAGTGGCGGCTGCCAACCGTGAACCCGGTCTATCTTCAACAAACTATTCCAGCCGCAGTGTCTACACATTCCTGTCCAGTCATTCACAGGGCAGGTTCCGACTCCACTCACGGTGACTGGGCCATTTAATTTAACTTAACTTCAAGTTGAGTAAAAGAGGTTGTACAGTCTTCTGATCGTTCTCGTACTGATTTTTAACTTAACTTTGAGTAAGGTAAAAGATGACTGATTTTTGGCTAGAATCCACTCCTCGAAATGGCTCTTCAATGGCGGTAAGCATGGGACAAAAGCGTGCAAATGTGCTATACAACCGAACACCAAAGACAAGATCAATTGTTTCTAGGCATGTTCACCCATGTGCCTTGCTGTTTTGTTCGAGGTAATGAGCGGCAGGATACAAGTGGCTGGGTAATGCATCCAGACCTTCATGAACGAGTAGATTTGATTGGTAGCCAGGGATGAGAGATGGGAGAAATCGTTTTTGTGTATCACTGTCATGCATTCGCACTGCATTTATGAAAATGGAAAGGTGACTGACTGTGGTTATTTCCTTATGTTTTGTGCTGTACGTCATCTGCGGAACTAATCCTCTTGCAGGTTTCTTGGAGCGCTGTTTGCGACAACCATGCTGTTTGCATTGATTGTAATCAGCCGTTCGGGAAGACACAGCAACAGTGTTTTGAAATCAAACACTCTCTTATATCGAAAGGTTTCTGATTTCTGTGCGCATTGTCATGCCAGTGACGCTGCGGGCCAGTTTCTGCAACCTGAGATGCAAGTGAATCCACAGGAGATAGCATTGGCGTATTCACCCATGTCTGTTCTTTCAACAAGGTTTTGCAAAGATACATGTAGAGGTGACTACAGTACTTGTGGGCAAGTACTTGGCCGGGATTCGCAACCATGCTTTTATCTTTTCATCGATTGTGTTGAGAATGATTGCCAAGATCCGAATTGGCAAGGGAAAGAAGTTTGTTTCAGCAGTCTGAGGAACAATTACCTCACTTGTATCCGAAACAATGAGAACATTGACTATTGTCAGAATGTTTTCCATATACAGAAGGATAAATGCTAGTTGGATGACAAAGGAAGGTGGATGAAAAAGGACGAATCGAGAGGATGGAAACATCGACGTCCCTTGTTATGATTCTGATAAATTGTAATCATAGATACGATCTAAATTTTAAAGAATTCTCAAAGCTAGCTTCATCGGCTTTTTTTCCTGGAAAAGCAATTTCTCATCCTTGCAAAGGATGATGGGTTGGTTGATCAGAATCTCAAAATGTAGCAATGTACAATTCATACTTTTTATGAAGACAACAAAAAAAAAAAACAGAGTCGATGTTTGCAAGAGGGCAATTCTACAATGTCAGGCCACGGCCTAACCGGAAAAAGATACAACAATGTTGCTTTCCAATTCACAGTCCACAGAAAGCTTCGAATGGCGGATAAATCGAAACGTTGCCATCATGAGCCATGTACCATGCGATCCAATCCGGTTCGAGAGGCAAGCACTCCGCACAGGCCAGTTGATCAGGACGTATTTCCATTTGCGGCAGAACATCGTTCTCGTATTCGGACAAGGACGATGATGAGAGGTAGTTCGAATCATCGTCGTCGGCTGAATCGTCCACTGAGTTGACGCCCAGCATGCAAGCAATGTTGTCCTCCTGCATTGTGGGCAGTGTCTCCTCGTCCTTCTTGATTTCAACCTCTGGGGTCAGAGACTCATTTTGTTGTGCTGCACTGCCGTTCTCAATCTTGCTCACCAAACTTTGCACGGGCTGTTCAGCAACCGGTAGTGAGTTGGTCTCGCCCAATGCTGCAGGGCTCAGCTGTTGGCTTTTTCTCCTGATTGTTTTCCCCTTTTTCCCGGGTTTCTGATATGGCCACCTGCTCACGCCAAGCTTTCTGCAGAGCTGCTTCATCGCGGTCAGGGAGATGCCGAGTCGCTTGCTGGCTTGCAGTTGTGGAATATCGAAGAGGGATTGTAGGACCGAGAAATCGATCACGAGAGGTCGTCTTCCCTTGTGCGGAATGACTTGTTGTCCAACTTTTCTTCGGGGGAAAAGATGAACTTCCCGGTCCCCGCCTCCACGATAGGACATAGAGGAATGATTGAGCAACATAGACGACATTTTGACGCTAGGACAAAGTTCACAAATCAAGTACAGTTACACAGGAGGCGAACGAAGTATTAGAGGAGTGTATGGATGTCTCGAGAGAAGATATGGAGAAAGGGCTGACAGCACTAGAAGCAGCTCAGGTTTGCTCGTGGCAACGATCGTGTGGGAGGGTTGGTGAACTAGAGTCCTGCTTAGCCAGAGGAAAGTAGTCTCACCGCGGATCTGCTGACAACTTTTAATTCTCGAAACTACATCTTTTCGTCATCCATCGTTGGAACCTTTACCACACGAGAGCTTCCCTTTCATTCCGAAAACAATTCTTTTCCATGAATTCCGGTAATGGTTACGTCATAGTGATAGACACGTGTGTCAGCAGAAAGTCGGTTTCGTGATACAATCAGGGAAACGCAGACCGTCCATGTTCAACAAGTCGGAGGGTAGGGTGATATTATCTCACCGATTCAATGGGCGAAACAATGGAGACTCTGGGGTGGTGGGTAGTTACGTCACCGGTTGCCCCATGCACCTGGCAGGTTACTTGTAGAGATCGCAAGGCTTCCCTGTCTATAACAGTAGTTTTAAATAAGATGCGCCTGGATATGGTGAGCGTCACGCATCTCCAGGAGCTTACAGAGGCGCATAATATCGTGACAGGAGTCAGCCAAGCGTGCCGCACTTTGCAGCAATGGTACAGCCCGCAGTCGCAAGTTTTAGTTAGTAAGTCAGCTCAGGCGAGACGACTCGATGTCACACCCTTTGTGTTCATGATAGCGTCAGGCCTGCTCGCGGTCCGGGTCACGGTATCTCCTCGTCCTGAAAGTGAAACTTCTCACCTGTAGTAAATACCGCATGATCCAGTCCCTTGAATTCACGGAAGAGACGCCAAGAAGGCATCGAAAATGTTAGCCCCTGATATTTTCACCCCCTGATTGAAACCCCACCCCACCATTGTTGCCGCAGTGCGGCCCTCATCTCCACCCCAGCTTCCATGTTTTTTATTCCTTACGCCGTCCCTCGGACCGACCACAGGGACTCGAGAGATGCTGACAGTATTGTAGCCGTGACCATATCCGTCAACACCCTCGTTTCTTCGAGATCACTACTTCTCGCGGCGGCGCAGGTTCGGGTCGTAAGACTCAGAATCAGACAGGCTCACGAAATCGCATCTTTTCGCCGTCTCCCCTGCACCGCAGCAAAATACGACTGGATGCGGAAGCTCGGCGGTTGGGGTGGAGCCTCACTGTTGAAGTGTCAGACGGTCAACAGATGCAAATTTCGGAGTTGCTAGGGGGTGACATGTACAATCAGTTAAGTTTGGGGGACAGCAGTTGGCAGGATTAGGTTTGGTTCTCGCTGTCTTTTCTCTTCTAGCCGTGTGGCCAGTTCGACACGTACTAGTGTCAGGTTCAAGCCTCCTCGTCTCTCCTGATTGTCCTCGTACTGATTTTTAACTTAACTTTGAGTAAATGGAGGTACGAGGATCACTGTGACCGCAGCCAGTGACTCGATTTCGGTCCGGGCCGACCCCCCCCCGGGGCCGAGCGCCAATCTCCCGAGCCCTGAGGCAGGCTTGGAAGATTTCCCGCCGCTTGATGGAGCGTCTGGAGCGTACGTGGGGGAGGGAGTGAGGGCGCTGAGGTGGAAGGGAGAGGTGGGTAAGGACGAGAGTCGAGACCTGCTCGAGGTGAAGTATGCTCTGAGCAAGGCACCAGCTGGGTGAACAGGTTCTCATTTCCTCATAACTCGGTCCATCCCAACTGTTCATATTCCTCCCCCGCAGGACAGCAGGAAGCGGACATGAACCATAACGTGGTTCTCTGCCTGGTGACGCTGCTCCTGTTCCTCCCCATGCCTTCTGATCGGCGCTTTTCTGCAGGTTATTTCGAGCATTGCTGGTTTAGCGGACTCGATATGGAACGGGACCATATTCGCTGGTTACCTGTACGTTATATCAAACTCTTCCAACACCAAAGTTGTAAGTGAAGCACGATCCAAAATGCCCAAATACCTACATCTTTGCATGAACAGAACCGAAGCTCAAAAACGAATTTCTGACACGGCATGGCAGGGTGTGGTGGAGGCTGTGCTGGGAGCCTCAACCTTGGCGTTCGCGCTTCCTGTGGGGTGGATAGCCGACAAGACTCCCAGGCATCGCATCATCGCTGTGGGAGGGCTGGCGTACCTTGCGGCCATCTCCTTGACTGTGTACGCCGTCTGGCCGGGCAACGCAGTCACGGCAGAAAAAGAGTACCAGCTCCTCCTCTTCTCGGCCATCGTCTGGGGGTTCGCCAATGGAGTGTTCACAGGTCCCGTGCAAGCTCTCTTTGCTGATTGCGTGCCTGATGGAAAGAGGAGCACGTGGTACAACTATCAGTTCCTCTCCTACCTCATCCCCTCCTCCGTAGGCCCAGCGACGAGCATCGTCCTGTTCAAGGTCTGGGGGAGCGATCAGTGGACGCAGGATGAACTTCGACGAGTCCTCCTGGCCGGCGTCCTGCTTGAGATTCCAGTCGGATTCTTGCTGATGTTGTTCCGGCCATCAGAGGATGCAGCTCAAAACAGAGCAGGAGGAGGAGGAGGAGGAGGAGAAGCGGGTGCTAGTGCTGGTGCTAGTGCAGGTGCTGGTGCTGGTGCTGGTGCTGGTGCTGGTGCTGGTGGAGGTCAAGGAGAAATTGAAACAAATAACACTGAGCTCGAAACTCCCGTCGAGGACAGTGAGAAGCAGGAGGTCCGATCTTGCGGCTGTCTCACTCGCGCATCAATCCCTTACATCCTCTTCGTCTCCGACCTCCTGGTCCGTCAAGTTTGCTGACGCCTCTCCTCTGACCGTGTTGGGCAGGTCGCGCTGGCTTCCGGTATGACTATCAAGTTCTTCCCCCTCTTCTTTAAGAGCAAGGAGCACGGCGTCGGACTCTCTCCTGCTCAGGTCCAGGGGATCTATGTCTCGGTTCCTATCCTCATCGCCATCTTCTCCACTTTCGCTCAGTTCCTGTCAAGGAGGTTCGGGAGGGTGCAGATCATGATAGCAGCTCGAGCCGTCGGCGTCTCGTTCCTCCTACTCATGATCGTCTTGAAGGAACAGCGGCACTCGTGGATGGTGATGATCCCCATCTACCTCATCAGGACGGCAGCCAACAACAGCACCTACCCGCTGGAGGAGAGCATCCAGATGGATTGGGTGAGCAAGGAGACCAGAGCCCGCTGGAAGAGCCTGTCCTCCCTCATGCAGTTTGGCTGGTGCGGCAGTGCTGTGTTCGGAGGGATTCTCACCGATGCAAGCTCTGGCGACTACACCATCACGTTTCTCATTACAGCGATGATGCAGCTGGCCGGTGGCCTGTGCTATTTCCCCCTCCTCCCTCTCGTCCCCTGCGAGTCTGAGATGGAGGGCAGAGGAGAAAAGTCTGGAGGGCAGGGAGGGAGGAAGGCGGGAGCGTCAGAGGACGTGCAAGATCCCCTCCTGCAAGCTCTGGTGGAGGCTGGGGAGGTGGAGGAGGTTGCTTGAGGATAACTTGAGAGAATTTCATCAAGTTTGTGTTTTATTTCTAAAAGAAGAATTGTTTGCGTTCCTCTTCTCATCTACACCTTCCCTATCTCACGCCTCTCCGTCCCCTCCTTCCTTCTCTCTCAGAATCGACGCCGGACTGTCAAAACAGATCGATAAGCAACCAAGACGATCTCCTTGCGCGCCCTGCCGACGCCTCCCGCAACTTCAAAATGATCCGCCCCCCCCCCCCCCCTCTCCTCCCCTTCGTACTTTCCCCCTCCTCCTGCCACTTCCCCTCCCTCCCTCCCTCCCCTCTCCTTCATTCTCTTCTCACCTCACGGGCTCAAGCTCGTGTGACATGTGCTTCGCGTATTTCCTCCTCACCGTCCAACGCCGGTGAACCAGAACCCCGATACAGACACAGACGAGCACCTGAGCTGCGAGTCAGGCAAGAAGAAGCAAGCGAGCAGGAGGGGGAGGGGGAGGGGGGCCAGGGGAACTTACAAACAGTGCGGAGGTGAAACCACCGAAGTAAAACCCGACGTCTCGGCTCGTCGCATGCTTGATGATCTCCACGATCTTTCACAAGTCAGCAAGGATTGCAGGGAGAGAGAAGTAAGCAGACGCTCCTTACCCTTTCCACTGTCGTCAAATTGCTGGGTGTCTGGCCCAGCATTGGAAGTTCCTGTGAAAAATTCATTAGCCTCCTCGTCCTCCTCGTCCTCCTTCTAGTTTTCCTTGTCCTGCTCCTGCTCCTCCCTCTCCTCCTCCTCTTGACATCACCCGTCCATCGACGCTCACTCGGAAGTGGTCCACTCGGAAGTTCCGCATGCCTATGCTGCGGAAGGAAGCCTGGAGGATGCTCTCGGAGGCAAGAAAGTCGCCGATGGAGTCGAGGTAGGAGAACATCTGCCCGCTCACCATGTCATGCAGCATCGTTTGGTTGCCCTTGAACCCGACAGGACGCGACAACTCCTCCAGGAGCGACCAGACAAGCTGCGATGGGTTGTCGGTCATGTAAGTGTTCACGGTGATGGTGAGGAGGAGGGGACTGTAGGAAGAGTCCCAGGGCCTCCTGCCGTATCGGTCTGACGACAAGGTAAGCAAGAGAATACGAGAGGAAGAGAGTTGAGGAGGGAGGAGGAGAAAGGGGGAGGTTTTTCGGGGGAGAGGAGGAAGACGACGACGAGGAGGAGGAGGAGGAGGAGGAGGAGGAGGAGGAGGAGGAGGAGGAGGAGGAGGAGGAGGAGGAGGAGGAGGAGGAGGAGGAGGAGGAGAGACCGTCGATGACTTGCAGGTCCTGCACGACCATGTGCGGGATGCTGACAAAACTGAGGGGAACGCGGGCGCTCTCAGCGAAGACTTGACGTATCTGCTGTGTCTGCAGGAGAAGGTGATGAGGATCCAGGAGAGGAGGACAGATAGGGGCTGCAGAGGGTGAGGGAGGGAAGGAGGGAAAGAGGAAAAGGAAGGAAAGGAGGAGAGGAGGGAAGGAATGTAAACCATATTCATGATGGACTCCATCGTCTCGTTCACAACGGTGAAACTGACTTCAACGAATGGTTGGAGCAAGCTGCAACTCATCAGCGCAAGGGAACATGCAAGAGAGGATGATGCCGAGGAAGGCGAAGGGAAGGCGGCAGGGACCGAGAGTGAGGAGGGGCAGGAGAAACGTGAGGAGCAGGAGGAATGGAAGTCGGGAAGGAGGACGTCGTGCAGGAGCAGGGAGGCACCTTTCGTTCACTATCTTCCACGTCGCGTTGAGCCCTCTCCCGGCCTTGGAGGCGTCCGACTCAAACAAAAGTTCCAACTGAGGGCACTCGAGAGGAGAAAGATCCATCGCTATCCAGCTCCACCCCCTGCTCACCGAGCACACATCCTGCTCCTCCAGCCAGCCGCAGTCGGCTTCCTGCAAGCAAGTTTAGGGGGTGAGGAGGAAGGGGAAGAGGGGGGGTGAGTCTTACCCCCCTGGAGCATGTCGGGCAGGGTGCTCTTCCCGTGAAGGTCGTGCTAAACAGAAAGGAGGAGGAGGAGGAGGAGGAGGAGGAGGAGGAGGAGGAGGAGGAGGAAGCCTGCGCTGACTGTAGGCAACTCAGCCCAAACGTGTCGGAAAACCACTCGAGGTCAAGCCGAGAGATGTTGAGCCGGAGCAGCTGGCCTCGAGCCCTGTGAGAGCAATCAGATGCTCCCTGCTGCTGCTAGCTGCTGCTGCTGCTGCTGACTGCTGCTGCTGCTGCTGCTGCTGCTGCTGCTGCTGCTGCTGCTGCCTGCTGCTGCTGCTGCTGCTGCTGCTGCTGCTGCTGCTGCTGCTGCTGCTGCTGCTTCCCCTTTGTCTTCTTCACGCTTCTCCTCCTCCTCCTCCTCCTCCTCCTGTGTTCTCATACCGAAGATGCCGAGCATACTCTCCTTACTCGCGCATGCTGCGTCCTTTTCGTTCA